TTGTATTAGGACTCTGATTGTTTCTTTTATGTTAATCATGTTGTTTCAAGTAAATTATGTCATTCGGGAACTGTGTTATTAGTTATAAACTAAAAGATGCGTTTAGCAACATTGTTTTGCCAGTTTACCTCAAATTTTAGGTATGCTATCATTGGGAATTCGTGGGAAATTATACATGGACAGAGAGCTGGATAGTGTGGCTACAACGTCCAACAAGTTTGAAGTCGGTAGACTAAATACATTTTGACATTATGCAACATCTTTCTGGCCGAGTTTCTGTGTGTGTATTATTTTCTGTTTGACTGAGCTGTCACCGGCCCGGGCTGACATAGCTAGCTGGCTAGGCCTATATCTCAAATTTTAGGTACAGAATATTTTCCCCAGTACATGTATACATGTAGAGAGCTGTATAGTTAGGCTACAACGTCCAACAACTTTGGACCCCATGGACTATTATAACTGGAGAAAATTTGACATATACGTAACGTAAAATTCATATAATATGTTACGTCTAATCATAGACGTTATGCGTCAACGCGAAGTTGGAGGGCAATCGTTTTGTGTGATACTTGCATAGACATGTGAGTAAACATTTGTGTATTCATTGTTACATAATTAAAATAACAAACAATCCTCTGAGATACCCACAACGTATAAAGTATATTGCGTACTAAGGGCAATTCACGGTACATGTTAATCCACCGACCTTCTTTATATCGACCGGCAGGAAAGCATGACCGCTTAGTATCACGATCATAAGTTGAGATGCGTGACCATTGATAACAGGATATACGTGGAACCCTTACGCCAATTATAAAAAAAATAATTATCTTAGTTTCTCGTCCTTGCCTGCATCCTGTTTTCCTACCTGTCTTCTTTCCCCCTTTTAAATCATCATTTTCAATAACTATATCTTGTCTTTTTGTTTCCAGCAAAACTGTAGCTAGGTATGAAGTTCAAAAATCTGTGATGGCTCTTTTGAAGACCAAATTATCAGCAACTCGAGAAAATCAAAACGCCATCCGCCTTTTTGTAATATCCGCCAAAAAGGACTACCTCTTTTTTTTTTCTTTCAAAAAGCCAGGACGGGAAACCTTTTTTTTTTACTTGGCCTTTTTTTGTTTTTGTTTTTTTGGTAACCTTCATTGATCAAGTTTGGCTGGTTTCTGAGGGTCTATGGGCAGCCTTGAGTCCATCATACAGAATGACTCACCTTGACTGACTCACTGACTGACTCATTGTCATGTGAGAGTTGGGCAGTGCTATTGTATAGGATTACCCTGTAATGCCAATGAATAGGCTAAATCCGATCCATTGTGTAGACCAGATGCATTGAAAATACTTCCAGTGAATAGCCATTCTAAATCAATTGAATGAAATCACAGCTTACCAGACCGTTGTCTAGTCTTGTTGAAATTTGACATATCTAGCAAACTAGCTTATAAGAAATTTCAACATCTTTGGAATAAAGTGGCCTCAGACAACAGTCATCCTCTGAATTTCTGAAAGGCTTTTTCAGTGCTGATACTACACGTACTATTTTATCCATGGATTTACTATTCTAAAAAAAACCCAAGTTGTCTTTATAGTTTTACGATACAAGGAGTTAGTCATGTTTTATTTTTGGAGATTACTACAATTACAACGATATGCTACAAAAACTACAAGCAGTAAATGTGGGTGATAAAAATAAACACTTCACTTCGGAGTTTAGTTATGATACATTTATCACATTTGACAATGAATTTTCAATTTCATAAACACTGTTGTAAAATTAAGACCGCGATTCTCCCCTTTTGATGAAGAAAACCTGAAATATAATTCAGTGTCTGTCACATATATATCAGTGATATAGCTCACATGTATGAGGACGGACAATAATTAATTCGACTAACCTTGTATGCACGATGTTCTGCCGCTGATGCTGCAGCGAGTCGAGTCGGGCAAACAAAGATCTTATGATTGTATCCACTGACTGTTTGCCTACTGACTCAAACCAGCAAATATATACATGTACTCTTGCCTGTGTGATACTGCAAAATGCTATTCGGTAATGATAAGCAGCGCCATATAAGACGGGCAACAATGCACGCTATCGAACGAGGAATTTGATTGGATGATAAGATAGTAAGGTGCCGTGTAGTCAGTCCTGATTGGCTAACTGGTTGCCTAGCAGGGCAGTAGTATCCCTCATTATTCAAATGAGTATAGAACTGTGAACTGGAGCTGTATAATAGCTTATACATTTTACAAGCAAGGGTATATTTCAAAGGCGGAATATAGTTTTCCCAATATTACATTCAATCAAGCAGGGACATCAACCATAATGAGCGTCGTGCTTCACGACATTAATATTAAATGCCAGTTTATAATAAGGAAATATATAGATGGCTTGCCGTTATTAAATATTGTGTTTAATAAGACCGGCTAAGTCTGGACGCTGATATAATGACACGAGCCGAAACATATCTTTTCCCATTCATAAATACACTTTTTGGCAAAAAAAAAATTACGCAGAAGAAGAAATGACAAAACGTTCCAGCAAGTAGAAACGTTGACAACTTTCCGACGATGTTTTGTTCGCGAGTTTCGGGTTAGTTTAATAGTTTACTATCCGCGTTCTGGGGCCATTTCTATGAACAGTGACTGTAATATTATTCCTTCCTCCATGATTCTACAATGCACCAAATATACAACCAAGAAAACGCCATGAAAGAAGTTAGGCCAAAAAAAAGTCTCCGGTTTCTGGTATACGCGCGCTCGCCGTAGCCATGCGCGTCGGCAAAATGAAAAAGTTTTTTTTCAATGAAAGATGATGTCTCATAACCGCCAAACTCACTGGTTTGACTGGAATCCTGCTGCTGCACAATTCTAACGTGTTTTTAGATTGGGTTATGGTCGAGAATAAGCTTTATGTGGCCTCTCTGGACTCCCATATATTTGCACTAAGTTTAGTCGGGCACCATTTGCAGTCATCAGCCGACATTTGAAGCAAAAAAGTCAGGTAAAAAAAAAAAAAGCCGCGTCGCCGCACCACTTTTTGGGCAAGCTCCATACCAGAAACCGGAGACTTTTTTTTTGGCCTTATCTTGAGGATTTTTAAATATCAAACTTACCAATCTTTCTAACATTGTTTTAACGTTAGGTATGTTTTTACCATGAAACGGGCAGACATATAAGACAGCCTAAGCAAATCGTTTGACACTTTCGTGATACGCTATCGCGCTATGTGATTTTGTGAGCAACTTTGTGAAACGTAAAACCATGGAGAAACTTTTGGTAAACCATGGAAACGGTATCGTAAAAAGCGTCTCATTTTTAAGCACATGTACATACCAATGACCTTTACCGACAGTTCCAGGCAAGAAAAGTTCGTCAATACGTCTAGATGTTCGTGTTGTTTTCGTAGAAAGGTTCGATAAAAAATCTCGCCAACCACAAGACTGACGTGTACGCACGCGCGTATCGATCTAGTTGGTGAATATTGTGTGTACTTGGACTTCGCTGGTACTTGGTATAACTGCACCACGTTCACGTTTATGAGCTAGTGGGCGGGGCGCCAGCAGACGACATTTCCTGCAACCTTTTTTTCTCTCTTTATTCACCATGTTCTCATTCTTTTTCACACGAATTTAATTAAAAATGATGTAAAATATTTTTCCATAGAAAAATTTCCATTTTTTTTCTCGAACTTCCAACAAATTCTGAAGAATTCTTTTTCGAAACCAGACTTTTATTGTCCCTGTTCAGGGGCCACCTTTGTTGCTTGCCGGTCTTGAACACGTGTTTTATCATCGTTTACGACCGGCCACGTGACGAGCTCTCGACCAATAGGAATGGGTACTCTGTCTTTGGTTTTTATGAATCAGTACAAAGTATTATACACCCAAATGCCTCTAAACCTGTGTTCCAGAGAGGGGGGCGGGGACCAAGTGTGGACGTGGGCAAGTCCACAATGCGTTAACGCTTAATTCTTGCATCCGTGCGCGAACAAAGAGGGCGTGTTTTCACCTTTTTTGAGAGCTCCGTGGACGGGACACACAGTGTGCGTGTACTGAACTGTGGTGGTTCTCGCGCGAGCGAAGTGCGTGCGAAGTACGCATGACTTCCTGAATGTGCAAAAGCTATAGCCACCGCGTCTTTGCGCGAACCAGTCTAGGTCACCCCCAACTCTTCTTTTTCTGGCCATTGATGGGGTACTTAATTGTGCATGGAGCCCATAGAGCACACAGTCTTGCACTACATAACTCTCGAGGACAAGCCATTGTCCATTCCTTTGTCCCTGTAATATAAAACTCTCACACAGACTAAGCTCATAACAACTTGTTCGAGGACCGTTTTCAACAAAAGATGAACTCTCGAGGACAACAAAGAATCTGTTGTTCTCCCTTTGTCTGTCGGTCCTCGGGTTTCATGTAGTGCACGTACACACAGACACCCACGTTTGTTTATGGTGTAAATCGAGGATTTTCTTTTACTCCTCTTCCGTTTTCCTTTGTTTGTACTCTTTAACTTTTTTGCAACAGCTCTCTTTGGTTTTGTACACATTTTCTAATCGAGGTCGTCCACGATTTGGTTCCTGTCCTTGACTTATTGATGGTGTTTCAAACACATTTGTGTCCTCGATTTACACCATAAACAAGCGCACACTCCCTTACTTCTTTATGGGCTCTGTGCACCAACAAAGAGGGCACCCTTTTACCTAGCTATGACGTCCCATGGGCGGGACACATACATTTCGCTGGTTGACGAGCGCACATCGTTCCTTGTGTGTAACGCACATACATCACCAGGGGATTTGTACTACACGCAATGGCCACGCTTCGCGGCAAAATATTGCAGTCAGGCAAGATGGCATCGTTCGGTCACCCCAACTGTACTTTCTTTGCCGGTGAGGGGCTACTTGTGAACAGAGCGGATAGTATAGAAATGATGATAGAAATGATGATGTAAATGGTGTAATTATATATGCAAAGAAGTAGAAACTTCTTTCAAATCAATGACTGATATGGTGACATCAATTTATTACAAATATTATCTTAATCAAAAATGGCAATTTGAAAGACTTTACAACCAGTATGGACAGCTCAAAATATAAAATGGCATTTACAAAAAACATCACTTTGTAATAAATTATTCGATAGCATCTTACACATTCATGCTAAAGACTGTTATCTTTTGTTAGAATATCAGAAATATGTTTGTGTCCAGTGAAAATATGTGAGGCGTTCTGGCAATATGAGAAGATATTACGAAATGCAGATATTACGAAAGAGAGTAAAATTCTCCCACAAATTTTGGCAGTTTAAGGTTCGCACTCATTCACGTCAAAAAAGTAAAATACTGACAAAAAGGCCTTAAAAGTTTCTATTGTTTTGTAGTTGTGAAAAAGAAAGATGCCAATTGTTTTTCCTTAAAAACACCTTTATTCCACAAATTGCGCCTCACATGCCTATTAAAGTTTTTATTTCAGATCAGTTGCCATTTGCTTGCCAATAGCAAGCCCTGTTAATAGTTTATAGACAAAACCTGAGAAATTAATCATGCATATTCAAGACACCAAGTAAGGCAAAATGGCGCCCTCTTGTGATTCTCATGATAACCTAAATCTCATGTACAGGATTTTTTTCAGGACTGGAAACCCTACCAATGAGCCCAAGTCTTACCCCAGCTGAGCCCAAGTTTTCCTTAATCACAGTATGGGAATTCAGGTTGACCGTTTAAGGGGCGGGTCTAGCCCTATGAATAAATGGCCCTGATTTGGAATGTTTCCTCGTTGTTGTCCTGGTCGTCATTGATGAAGATGAGGATCTCCGCAATGCCTGGTTGCTGGCATGGCGCAAAACGCAAGCCCAGGCCATACGTCTCACCACCTCCAATCTATAAAAAAAAAAAAATTATTAAAAAAGATTGGTTTGCCGTTATACATCCTCAACAAGGTCCAAAACATGAGAAACTTATATTCAACCGATGCAGAATGGAAGTCTTTTTGTGTATCTGGTCTTCATAAATGGACCGGATTTGTAATCCTATACGATAGCACTGCCCAAGGGCGGATCCAGGGGGGGGGGCCAAAGGGGGCCATGGCCCCCCCCCCCCCCCAACGAAACCAATTTTTTTTTTTTTATGTGACATCGCAATAAAGGCAGGCAATGAGTACACCACCATCTTTTCCTCAAAAAAACATTGGTTAAAGTGGTCAGAAATTGCCTCAGATCGCACCACAGAGCATCTAGAATCCTAATTTTTTTGACCCACTTTTTTGGGGGACCAAATACTTTTTTGGCCCCCCCCCCCCCAAAAATTGTTTTCTGGATCCGCCCTTGGCACTGCCCAGGTCACAAGTGACGTCAGTCAGATGATAGGTACAAAGAGGACACTAGGCTCGCCCTCTGGGACCAGCAAAAATAAACAAAATAAACTTGTATTGCCTTGCTCAAAAATGTAAATAAAAAATGTAAGTAATGCCACTTATGACCTTTTCATTTGAAATGGTAAAAAAAACCTCAAATTTTAAATTGCAGTTACTTTTGAATGTAAACTGTTCTTACGTATATATTATTGTTCTGAATATTTTTGATTCCCCCCGTGTTTTAAAGGTTTAACATGCAATGCAAATATAGGGTTGTCATAAGGCTGCTATTCATTGTAATACATGTAAATAAATAAATGAATAAATATAATAAATTAACATCCATTTCTTTTTGTCTGTGCTGGTTTTGTCGGTTACAGAGACATGGTGCTAAGTTTTCATCTTGTTTATGTTTTCTGGTTCAGTGGGGGGGGGGGGGGGGGGCAATGAGTGGTGTCAGTATTTTTCAACTGGATCAGGGTTTGAACCTGCAACCTCCGGATTGCCGTTCCGGTGCTCTACCAACTGAGCTATCCAGCCCTAAGTTGGCAGTTCCAATCAATGTTAAGTGTACAATTTGGACAAACAGAACTAAGCGCAACATCAGTGTTAGAAGAGCTTACCTTAACTCGTCCCTCTTTAAACTGCAGCAACTCGTCCCTGTTACATCGAATGTTGAATTCTTTACTTTGCTGGTACGGATTAGTGTAGGTGATTCGCTTCATGGAATAAAAAAAAAGAAAAAAAAATCATTAAAAAGTGTAACACTTTAATGAACTGTCAAAGAAAAGTTTTGTCAGCATTTATTTTTTGAGTCTTCAGACTGCGAGTAGACTGGTTCTCGGTCCATATGGTCCTTACTGTTTTGATACTGATGTGGAGCCGGAGACCAGTCTTCCCTGCGAGAACCAAAAAATTAACGAGTTGCAAAAAGGAAAAAAAAGGGGAAAAAAAAAGAAAATTTTGGAACGTAATTAGACTTGATCCGATGTCTCATTTAAAAGTGAAAAAAGAACCTACGTGGGTTATTCTATAAATTTTGTGTCCAAAGTGTGGCATTTTTCCTGTCCCTGTTTAATACCTTGGTACTTTGTCATTCAAGTATCATTAAGAAGGACTTAAATGATTTTTTTTTGTTGAGTAATTTGCTATTCATATCACTCTTGGAGGACAATTGCGTTAAGGAGTGCATCAGAATTATAAAACCATAGCTGTCAGATGTAACAGGGACAGGAAAGAAAGTGGAAACAAAATTTATAGAATGATCAAATTTTTTCCAAAGTGAAATTCAAAAATACCATGGACTTTATATTTTAAAAACTTTTAATCTACCCCCCCCCCCCCTGGAATAATCAGAACTGATTATTTTACAAGAAAATTAGCTCACCTTGTTGGAACCTTTTCCGCCACCAACTGGTAACTGAAGCTCAAAAGCCTTGGAGATGACCGGTTGCCGACACTGCACGCATACCAGCCAAGACCGGATCAGCTGATGATATTCCTTATCTGAACAAAAGCTAAGAATTTTCTTTTGTTTCATGTTCATTAATTTGATACAACGAAACAGTGAAAGCCTAGTAACGCTGGTCCCAGAGTGGACAAAGTTCTATTCAATTGATTCAGAATGGCTATTCACTGGAAGTCTGTTCATGCATCTGGTCTGCCAATGGGCCGGGTTTAGCCCATTCATTGGTGACAAAGGGTAATCCTATATGATAGCACTGCCCAGCTCTCCTCGGCAGTCTATAAACAGTCCAATCACAAGTGACAGACAGTCAGTCAGTGAGATCGGTACAAAAAAGACAGCAAGAAAAATAAGAAAAAACAGTTAAAGCTATAGTCCATCATTTGCAGCCATCCGAAAAGTAACTGGCGTATTTATTGTTGAAAAACTAACTTAGTTGAAAGATAGTAAGGGAACTAAACTCCCTGTGAAATTATTATTTCTGGGAAGCTGTCATTTTGAAGTAATCAACGAAAGAAGGCATTTCCAACGGTGATTCTTAAGAAGCACCGTAGGAAAATTTAAATTAGTAGTTCGTTTTGTTATTCAGCGCAGCGCGCGCAAGTATTGGAACGACACACACGCGCGCGCGGTTGTTATAATTCGTCGGATCAGTGCGCGACGTCGCATATAGCTGCAATTCAAAACATGATTCAGTAACTTTTGATTTGAAATTGAGATCCTAGAATGCTGTTTTTCTCGGAATGTACAGCTGAAGCTTAGTTGAAACTTTATCAAGTTAGTTGCTCAGTATCCTTTATTAGATTTTGAACTCTTTTGTTGCTTCAAACGAACAAAATGCACAAATTACAAATGATGGACTATAGCTTTAAGAGACAGACCCTAATAATGATGGCCTAAATGCTAGTATTTTTCCAAAGGATACCGACAACATTGATGTACATGAATTTGCTGCCGACCGATAGCGGGCGCACTCCAATATGGATCTCGTATACAGCATGGGCAAGAAGCATGAATGGTTCCGACGGCAGAATCTTAACACGTTTTTAAAAATAACATTGCAAATTTAGTAATTTTCATTAGTCTCAAAAAAAGAAAGAATACAACATTAAAGAACGGCAAAACTACCGTCACCCTAAATCCATTCAATTCCTAATAACTAACAATTAAGATCTTGGACAAAATAAATAACTGACAATTAATTAAGACCTTGCAAAAAAAAAAAAAAAAATCAGCTGTTTTTTTAAATCGGCCATAACTCAATAAATATTTACTCCATTGAAAACATTTTTTCATTGTTGAAAAGCAAAGGAACTACAGTCTCCAAATACGCATCGATATTTGCGATGCAGTTTTTTAAAAGCTATGTAAAAGAGGACGCTTTGAGGGTCTTTTTTGGGGGGGGGGGACACCCTGTATATGCACAATGAGTATTGCAGACAGATATTACTAATGGTATGTACAATAATCAATAATAATTAACATTCTATAAACGATTATCGATCACATCATAATCTTGAAACTTATACCTGTAATTTCACAACAATATGTTTTTCAAATAAACCACAAACGGAAACTGACTAGGTGCACTTATGTTATTTTTTTGATTATTAAGACTTGACTAGAGCAGGGTTTGAACCTGTGACCTCGGAATCGCTGCACCGTTGCTCTACCAACTGAGCTATCCAGCCCTATGTTGGCGGTTCCCCATTTTGGCTTCTGACCAGCGCCCCTTGAACAAAGACAAGGACCAAATGGGAAACCACCAACATAGGTCAATTTTCTTTGTTCAACCTAACAAAAATCACACCAATATGGTTAGACCAATCATGACTGTACTGGAGAATTGTACCTGCATTTCAGTGGGATGTGAGGAGAAACACTGCACTTGTCTGGACGCGTGCGTTCCTCTCAGTATGAGAGACTGTCGGCTGGTCTGACCTTCGACACACGATACGTCCACGCGCTGGAGTGAATGGATGTAAAACTGCCAGATCTGCAGAGGCTTGGACATGTAAGGCGTGCTGTAGATATAAAAAGAAAAATAAATATGCTGATGGGATTATATAATAATTATAATTTGGGGCTAATCATCCTTACTCGCAGCTGAGAAGCTGAAATTGCGAAGGACGCGGCTACAACGTGGTCGAGCTGAAGGCATGTAAGACGCCTTAGGCAGCCGCCATACGAACCATGTCCGACCAAGGAGCACAGCCAGAGATTGAAAGTGTAGATTTTTCCGGAGGGAGGAAAACCGGAGAGCCCGGAGAAAAACTCTCGTGACACAGGAGAGAATCAACGCACAACTCTACTCACATATGGTCCGAGCCAGGAATCGAATCGGGCCACAGTGGTGAGAGGCAAAGCTTTACGCACTAGCCACACATGCAATTATAGGCTGAGGGATTTGAAGTGTTATTACATGTAGCTGTGTCATAGACAAAGTCACTACACAACAAACAGCACTGTGGAGAGCAGTGAAGCGTGACTGAATCTGCATGCTTGCCCTGAGCTTAACCACACACAAGAATTGTGCAGGGATTTGACATGTTATCTGTACTCAACAAAAGATTATAATAATAATAATAATTGTGCTTTAAAGCGCTTTTCATCGTTCAAACCCAAGCATCTTCGTACATGAGTCAAACGCCGTAACCACTGGACCATGGCATTCTATTATCTCAAAGGAATTTGAAGTGTGGGTGCTAACTCTATAGGCAAAAGTGGTTTTGCAAAACTTTGAGGGTTGTGAAGTGAAGAAGACTAGGAAGGCTAATACTGGTGACATTTTTCTGGGGAAGGAAGGGTCATAACTTACGAGTATATCAGGATCAACATCTTCTTGACCGAGGGTGACGGACCGCACGCAACTTTGAGGAAGACATCTTGCGGTTCGCCAGCCGGCTGCAAGAAACGTATGCAACAGGAAGCAACCTTTCAATTTTGTTAAATAAAAGAATGCTGTGCTGACAAAAACAGGTGCTGTATTAAATACATTCCGAGGACTGCAACATACAGAGAGAACAACAGATTCTTTGTCGTCCTCGAACGTAAATTTTTTTGTTGAGAATGTACATTTGTTTTGTTGAGAACGGTCCTCCAATGTAAGTCTGTGTGCTTAGTCTATGGGAGATTGTTATATTATAGGAACAAAGGGAAAGACAATGCCTTGTCCTCGAATGTAATGGTAAAACGTGACTGCTTGCAACGCTGAGTATCAAATCCAAAGACTTTGCTATTATTTATGAAATGTACGGATCAAATCTAAATACACAATTTTGCTGACAAATTTTTTCAATTTAGATTTTTGTCCACACTTACTACCGCTTTGGTGTCACAGATGACGTTTTCATCGCTGCATTTGACGAACAGCTGGCCCAGGGCCCCGACACCATGCTGTATACCTGCAAAAATACAAGAAAAAGGTTTCTCATTTCGGTTTTTGCCCTACGTCATATAAGTTTTTTTAAAGTAAAGTTACAACTTTAGTTATGATGGATCTTTAACTCTAACCTAACTCAACCCATCAAACCCCAACGGCATGTTTTGTTGGAATCTGTTAGGATGGGTACAGTAGCCCTAAACTGACAGTCTTTTACATTGGGTTGGCACACCTCCAGAAACAAAGTCAGAAATATGTGTTTGCAGTTTCCCATATGTGATGCAATCAAGCTAAATGAGTCGTTTGGCGACCCTGGTCAAATTTTTTTTTTACAGATTTGAAGAGGGCACAATCTCAGCATTACTGCTGTGAAAACCGCATGCTGGTACCATCTTCAGTTCAAAAATTATGGAAGTCGGAACACCAAGAGATGTGATGAAGTGATGTGATGAAGTGGCCCTATTTTGGCCTGAATCTCCAATAAAAATTCCTGACAAATGGCTCATTTAGCTTGATCGCATCGAATATGGAGTTGGAATTTGCCAGGATGGGTATGGTTCCTAGTAAATCATGCAAGGTTATATACAACATTGGCTTTTTCTGTAACTTTCACTATATGAATATTTATAGAATTCCGCTCAAAACGTTCTGAACTGGAGCGCGCTATTTAAAACCACTTTTTAAAACTGTATAAATGCCTGCAAATGAAAGCAAGCAAATTTATTTTTTACAGGACATAATATTCTTTAAAATTTTGCTTGGAAAAGAAAATCGCAATTTTGAAAAAGCAAATTTACACCAGCTTTAAGAAGGCAAGGGAAAAAAAAATACCTGCGATGGAGTGGAATGGCGGCAACCTGATGGACTTTTTTAGGAAGGATTGCTCAGGATGATGGAATCGGAACGTTTGATTGATGACATGAGGCTGAGGTTCCACATTGAGAGAGAGAATGGCGATAGGTTTGCTGTCCTGTGTCTTGAAGTAGATCTGTCGCAATAAAATAACATCAAAAACATGAAAACAGTTTATACATGTATGTACAAGATGGTGAACTAAGTTTAAATTTTCACTATTAGAGGCATATAGGATCATTTGCATTTATCCCAAAAGTAACCTACCGAATTATTACCAGAAAGCTTACTTGGATTAAAGATCGTATTGGTACTAAACACCCCATGAAATTATTCCATCTGGCTTGCTGTCATTTAGAAGAAACAAGAAATGTAGGTGATTTCCAACGATCAGTCAATTGACTGATTTTTGGAAATAAAGAGTGCTATTGACGAAATCGTGTTTCGTGATAAGAAGGTTGTGCACGGTTTTTCACTGTTTTCTCGAAAGGTGTAATATCCACTGAGCTGAAACTTCAACAGGTTATGTTTTTAACATTCTTTGGTTGATTTTCAGTGGTGTTATTATTGGAAACAAATATGCATAAAAAAGGAAATGATCCTATAGTGGCATCGACCGACCAGAATTAGAAGCTTTTACCACGGTGGTGTCACGCTCATGCGCATGCTGCACGTGTTCTTAAAGACGAGGCGCACGCGTATTTTGGTATTCCTATTGGTCCAAGGAGCCCGGAGTGCATGCGTACTACCTGAGCGTGACTCGCGCAAGCCTTGTACCACTGCAGAACATGGCTGCCGACAGATTTAAGAAAACTTCATAGTGCCTGCTTTATAACATGTTTGAACCATGATTTGTTTCACAACAAGAAGGTTTTTGAAAATTAAAGAAAAAATACATGTACATGTTCACAATATTTACCTTGATATTTCTAGACTCCAAAGCAAGATCGACTTTTTTCTCTTCCGGTAAAGTCTGCATCTTAAAATACGGTTTGGAAGTAACTTGAGGTCCCTGCAAGGAAATACAACAAAACAATAATTATTCGTAACATTCATGTTAAGATTTGGACACGATTTATACAGAAAAAAATGAGCTAAAACACCTGCAAATTTTGATAAAAACCAGCTAACTTCCTGAAAATGTTTCAAATAAACCACAATAAGAAACTGACAAAGTGCATTATAATAATTTATAAGTTGAACAATCAAATTGACTGGAGCGGGGTTTGAACCGGCAACCTTCGGATTATTGTACGGACGCTCAAAATACTGAGCTCTTCCAGTTTCAGGGTCATAGTTTAGGATGTATTTAACTGGTACCCAAAAGAGAGAATCACAAAGCAGACTTCAATCCTAAAAAGCCTTAAAAAATTATTTTTAAATAATTATATTCTGAATCACTAATGCAACAATGTGTGAAAAGACTATCACTGAATTCTACACTTATAGTAAAGCCCGGTTCATAGTTCACGCGAATGTGAATGCGAAATGATTTTGACGTCGTGAAACATTTGCTGCGAAATTCACCCGAGTTGAAATATGTTCAACTTTTATGAATTCGCAGTGCAAATACTTGCCACGACGTCACAAATTCGCGTTCGCTTTCGCGCCAAGTATGAACTGGCCTTTAGGAGGGATCAAATGAAAGTTTTCACTGTTTCACAGCCCCATAGGTTTGTGCACAAATTGCCTGGTTTGTCGTCTATACCCAGAATGTATTGCGAATATCAAAAATATCTATTTACCTGGGGTTGTACAGAATGACTGGCCTTGAAGCTGCGATACTTGAAGGGGATATTCACAGTCTCTTTGGGTCGGAGGAACAACTGGAGGCCTGACCCGTTCACGTTTTCTTTGTTCTGTTCGGTGAACATGTTTTCCTCGACTGCTGTGTAGGTTTCGAACAGCTGCTTGTAATGCCTCCATTCTCTGGGATCCGTGATGATGCTGACAAGTTAATTACAAAAAAATATTGGGTTATTAATTATCTTCAAGCGAACTTGAATCCTCCGTCCTGATTGGTCGATTCAAGGCAACAACAGTGCAGGATTTCAAGCAAACCAGGTGAAAAAGAAGAACAGTAGGATCAAAATATACAAAAAGGACAAAAGTAGGACTTTGGAGGACAATAGCAGGATAAAAGTCGGACCTTTGCGGGCTTTCAGGAGTAGTTTTGTCCACAGCATCATGAGCCTCATTTGGCATGTTCTGTACTCACAACACTTGTGCTCCATCCTCAACTAAGCTCTTGGAAGTACAGGTGCAGTACTCCTGCGCCCAAGCCCTTCATTGTGTGATTTACATGACAGTGTGTAACACTGTTATGAAAAATAATCAATACGATTTCATTTTTTTGATGTGTGGTAAGAAAAATTAGGAATTTCAAGAAAAAGTAGGAAAAGTAGGAGCAAGGTAAAAAAATAGGAAAACGTAGGAAAAGTAGGAACATCGTGGGTTCCACAGAAATTGTTCGCAATAGCGATCATTCGGTTAAGTGATTTTTAGCTGCCAGTGCTCTGATACCGACTTTTCAATTAAAATAGTGCCCTTTGGTGCCTATTAAAGAGCGCCCTCTCTCAGCTTCCTGTCCCCATTACTTTGGAACTTTGTATTTTGCCATTCAAGTATCATGGAGAATAACTTCAAATGATTTATTTGTTGGGTAGGTAGTTTGCTATTCATAATCACTCTTGGAGGACGACTGCATTAAGGAGTGCATCAGAATTATAAAATCATAGATGTCAGATGTAACAGGGACAGGAAAAAAAAAGTGGACCCCAAATTTATAGAATAACTTTTTACTGACCTCAATTCTGGATCATCCCATTCTATATGAATGGTGTGCTGTACATTGTATGGATTCCGCAAAACATACTCCCAAAACTCAGCTTCACCAAACGAAGGATGGATTGTGTGTTCAGTAGTAATAGCTGTCTGAAGCATCGATAGAATTCCTTCTTTCTTGGTTCGATCCCTGAAAGTAAAATGTTAGTAATCAAACCGAAATTCCGGAGGTTGTAGGTTCGAATCCCGCTCCAGTTAATTTCTCTATTCAATTTTAAAATTCTTATAATACACCTAGTCAGTTTTTCTTTTTAGTTTACTTTTAATCCCAAGTTAACGATGAAGTTGAAGAAATTTACTGGAGCAGGGTTTGAACTGCGACTTTCGGATTGCCGTTCCGGTGCTCTACCAACTGAGCTATCCAGCCTTATGTTGGCGGTTCCCCAGTTTGTCAATATCTTTCTTTGTTCAAGGGGCGCTAGTCAGAAGCCATAAAACTTGTATCACATTAATAGCAAATTACAGAACATGACAAATATTTTAAAAAAAAATTCACTTGCTCTTACCGATACAGCTCCATTGTCTTCAGATCTCTGGTTCGGTGCACCTTCTCTTCTTTCTTCAACTAGAAAAGAAAATAAGCAAATATTAATAATACACAACCTACAAACTTTATCATAGCAATGAATCTGTCAATACGTGAAGTACTTGGTCTCGTACTCATACGTTAGAACATTTTTTTTTTACTCACTGTACTCCGGAAAATGTACTAACCCCCAAAATTGGCTGTACTACTTGAAAATGTACTGAAACTCATACTAACATTCATTAAGACAAGATAAGTTTGCGGTAGCACCATGTCAATAAATCTCTTTTGTGAGTATGTGTGGTTCTGAAAAAGAACCGGAGGGACTCAACGTCAGCATACTATTCGAAACGTTGAGTCCCTCCGGTTCTTTTTCAGAACCACACATACTCACAAAAGAGAGATTTATTCACATGGTGCTACCGCAAACTTATCTTGTCTTAGTATCTTTCCACCATGCAAACCTTCAAATCTCAACATTCAATTAACACAATTCGAAATGGAATTTCAAATTAATATATATATGTATATGCAGGAAAAGAACCCCATTTCTAATATACGTTTAATGACCTGAGTGTAACTGTGATAATATTAATACGATCTGCATCAGTTGGCGCTAAAAAAAAAATCAAGCCCCAAAGAGTAAAATTCAACTTTGGCTACGTGATGGAACGTGTTCCTGACAGGCAGGAATCAATTGCAGTCAACCTGTGTGAAGTTACGACGTCATGTGTGCCTCCGGATCATCTAATTTTATTGTAAATCGGCATCGTGTTGTGGGTGACAATTGCAAGGTTGCCATTATACTGTGCCAGATGATGCTTGTTCAACACTAATCACTCGATTTCTCATTTTTGTGACTTGAGCCTGACTTTTCTTCTTGATACCGAAGGTTCGGTCGTTCTGCAAGCAAATCGCAGGTTGACCTGAAGCCGGCTTAACGTACCAGCAAACTTTGGCTGAGTCCCTTTCTCTGTGCGTCGTCAGCCTGCGCTTGTCTTAAAGCTTCCATTCTCGCCAGCTTTCGTTGTCTCTTATAATCGCCTTCCCTCTGCATTGTCGGGGACGCGTTCTCACTCGGTCCCGTGCGTGTCGCAAGCAAGGCTGACGCGAGGTCGCGATCAGCTGCTGCCATGTGGGAAGCGACGTAGCTACGCTTCTGCTTCAAATTAGCCAGTCCAAGACCTACAATTGTAAATAAAATAAAATTCATCATGGGATCACTTCTGTGATAAATGCAAATGATTCTATATGCCTTTAACCCTAACCTTCCCAAATCCTCCAAAATCCTCTTTGCGAAATGGAGGATTCTGCAGGATTAAGGCTACATGTCAAAAATGTGTGGCTGATTTTGGAGGATGCACTGTGTCAAGGTCTTAGGTCGGACCTTGTGTTGTTTATGCTCAGCCGTACGTGCATAAATTCAGGTCTGGATTATATTTGAAATCCGCCGCACTGCTCCAGGATGTCACTTGCTCTGCCTCAACATATTGACGGCGATTGCTGGAGGATTTTGCAGGATTGAGGCAGTGGTCACCCCTCCGAGGACCACATTCAAGAAATAATGGAGCATTTTGCAGGATTGAGGCTGCATGCTATTTTAACATGGAGGTAATTGGAGGATTTTGCAAGACTGAGGTTGAATCCTAGCAAAAATACCTAGGGAGTTAAGGTTAATGATCTTTCTAATTAGATGACCACCACAAAATGATTCTTTAAATGATTAAACAACACAAGTCTTCTAATACTTATTTGCCGAAGACTTTACCACTTGGTCTGGAATTGAGATTGACGCTTCCTCCTAGAAAAGCACCGCTGTCGTCCTCTTGCACCACCACCTTTGAATCATGAGGATGCATTGTCGTTGCCTTGACGACCTTCACGTCTACGGGATGACCGATGTTCGCTAATCTCAGATGAAGGTGTCCCTTTAAGATGGATCTGATTCCGACAGGACGTACACTGCCACTTCTTGCCTGAATCCAAAAAAGAATTTCTCATCTCAAAAATACTACAAAAATTTATATCTGTCACCACGATATGAGCTGTTTGTGTATAATTTATGTTCGGTCATGAAACAGTGGTTCAATCACCTCTGTCCTCCAATTTGAAAACAGAATGGTGCGGCATCATTAAAAATCTGGGACAGGTAACAAGAGCAATTCCTTTACTTCAAACGCAAAGCTGTGAGAGTCTTGAATCAACCTTGATAAGTTGAGCCATGGCAGGCTCCACGACAATCAATATTTGTCAGTAACATAGTTCATTTTTAGTTGCTGCGCCACAACTTACGCCACCTTAAATGATTGCGTAAGTCACGCCACAATTTGTTGTACTGTGAAAATCTCGCGAAATGTTGTGCGGCGTGAAATCTTGCGCAACTTACACAATAAATTAAGGCGCAAGTGGAGTTACGCCATTGCACATGATACTGGTCACATGATACTGGTCACATGATACTGGTCACATGACACTGTATTCAGACAATTAACTGAAGTGTTTTGCGCTACAGAATACTGGCAGGTGACAAGAATAGCGAGTGATATTTTTTGCACTCACCAAGTCCCCAGTCATGACGTTGGTGTCCTCACCGTACTCCGTTGTGATAACGTCCAGCTCATGGGTCACCTGTACAGCTTCACGACTGCAACGTAGGAGATGCTAACGAAAGTAGAAACATAGGACAATATGTCATCAAAGTAACAAGAGGTTACAGAAGTTGAAGAAAATGGAGTAATTTTGGAAATAAAGAGTGCTACGGACAAAATCGTGTGTCGTTATCAAAAGGTTGAGCATGTTTTTTCTTTGTTTTCTCGAAAAAGGTAATATCCACCGAGCCGAAACTTCACCAGGTTTGGTTTTGAGCTTCTTCTTTGGATTTTTGAGTGGTGTTATTATTGGAAATGAACAAGCAAATGATCCTATATGCCTTTTATCACATTAAGTGCATATGCCATGCAGTTGCAATTACCATGTGGTATCAATTAACATTAAGGGGAATATACAACATTTGCAAACATCAAAAAACAAACTTACCAAATTATTTTGAAATACCTTACTGAATTAATAGTGAATGACAGTCTAAAGCATCCTGTAAAATCATAGCACCTGGTGTGCTGTTATTTTTAAGAAAAGTGGTATGTGTATCAATTTCCAATACTGGTTGCTGACCAGTGTCGGAAAAACTGACTTTCCCCCCCCCCCAATACTGCCCCCAATTTACCACATTTAGTTAGTATGCATTTTGTTTGCAATCGATTACACAACTATGAACGGGTACAAGCCAGCTAGACTGGTTCCCTGACCTTACAATTTCCTGACGTCTATAAATTGCTCCGTTTCATCATATTTGTGGGAACCAGACTACATGATTGTTTTTCTTGGTTTTTCCAGTATCTATGAACACAAAACTTCAAACAAGCCGGTGTAACAATATGTGCTATTAAATACTTATCCCGAAATAACAGCAAAAGCAAATGTTGTATATTCCCTTTAAAAAAGAAAGTATTAAACACAATTTAGCATAAAAATTACTGTAGGTTTAGAATGAGGAACTGAGCGATCTCCAAAGGTAGTGGTGTGTAGTACAGATTTTGCAATATATAGAGTCGCTGTGAAAAATTACCATTTTCAATGTTATTTTCACAAGTGGCTTATTGATGTCGTTCGCGTTTACCTTAAGTTCAACCGCGCATGAGCCGATGAGTAGCAATGAGTCACCGTCCCATACATCAATGTGCAGCGTTTGCTGGTACAGATACTTGACGAAGAGTTTATTCTCGCCAGGCTTCAAGAAGCTAGGGTCCACATTGTAGCGAACCTGAAAAATGACAGGGGTTACAATTGGGCATCAAATGTCTGGCTTGGAACAGAAAACAAATCATCAAACACTGCGTTGTATTTGACTATCTGAATTTGGATTTGGTCGAATATTAGAAAAATTCCAGTTTCAAACACTGTCTGTGCCAGTTTGGTATTAAAAATATGCCACTGATCAGTTTATGCATGCACTTTTCAAAAATGGTTAAATTAATGAGCTTTAATAAAATATTCAGATCATGTAAAATATTCAGATCATAATCACTATATTTTTCACGGTTGCTGACAAGCCGATACTTGAAAGATTTTAAAAATAGAGTTTGTATTCTTTAAAGTTGCATATCATGGGCTATTCGAGATAGATATTTTTCTCATAATGAATTTTCAATTTGTGTATGTTTTATTTTAAAACACCCCCCCAACAAAACCTATTCAATAAGTAAATGGTGGATTTTGTTCGTACAATATCTCAATCAAAAGTGAAAAACTTTTGTATTGCTAGGAAAAAAACACTTGAAAACACAAATCTATTTTTGTAGGTGAAAGTCAAAAATAGCACAGGGAATGCATCTCGCAAATCATGCATGTAAACTGATTGTCGACAAAACTGTGGCATTTGATCCCCCAAAAAGCACCTTACTTTTACAATGTTTTTCTTTATCTTCTCAAGACTTGTAACATATTTCAAAAAGTCAGTCAGTCAGTCACAAAGAAGACACTAGGCAGGCCCTCTGGGACCAGCAAAAATAAACATTATTCTGTTTTTCATAAATATAACTTCTACAACAAAAAGAAGAATATTTTTTTACCATCCAGCCGGGTATTTCTTCCGTTTTTGCCTCTTCGTTACTCATCTTCCTCAACACGCACGGTAAACTCTGCGAGTCGGCGGTCAAGTTCCCCTCCACGTCCCCAAGAAGCATCCTGCGCCAAAAAGATCGGAGAAAAGGAACGGCAAGATTACAATGTTGTCTGAATCTACTTGCTTAACCAATTAACGCAGGAGGACGTGTAACAGGATCTGGCGATACAGGACGAGTCAAAAAAAAGGGAACCCAAATGGTGCCCCCTATTTTTTTAAAAAAAAGTTCTGCATGTAGAGCTTTCCAGATCTAGGATATGAAAGCCCAATTAATAAGCTTTCTTTTAGTGAAAGAATCATTCAAATCGCTGTACTTTTCCAGTTATGGAATTTTGAACACAAACACCGTTTTTAAACCTTGTCCTCGGATCTTGTTAGTAGCCATCACTATCATCCTCATATTTTTGAGGACACGAGATTTGATGAGCCTTTGACTTGAAGTTGAGTCGAGTCATTTGCCTGTAATGACTCAAGTGGCGTTGAGTCAACAAAACTTGCTACTCAAATCAGACTCGAATAGAATCATTGACTCGACTGAGTCATTAAAACTCCACATATTAACCCTAACTCCCATTTTTGCTAGGATGCAAACTCAATCCTGCAAAATCCTCCAACTGCCTCCATGTAAAAATTGCATACAGCCTCAATCCTCCAAAATCATCTGTTATTTCTTGAATGTGGTCCTTGGAGGGGTGACCACTGCCTCAATCCTGCAAAATCCTCCAGCAATCACTGTCAATATGTTGAGGCAGAGCCAGTGACATCCTGGAGCAGTACGGAGGATTTCAAGTATAATCTAGGCCTAAATTTATGCACAGCTGAGCATAAACAACACAAGGTCCGGCCCAAGACCTTGACACAGTGCATCCTCCCAAATCAGCCACACACTTTTGCCATTTATCCTCAATCCTGCAAAATCCTCTTTTTTGCAAAGAGGATTTTTGAGGATTTGGGAAGTTCAGGGTTAATATGCACTCACCTCTCAGTTGTGACAGGTGGATATCTGTAAAACTGGAAAGTGAAGAACAACGTCCTGGGAGAATTGGGAAGTGCTGTCTGTTGAAAATTAAGCACCCTAAAACAAAATAGGTCATAAATATAATAAATTAAGTGAATTGAAACGATGAACATAATTAAAGCATTACAAATGCAAAGAGTGGAAAACGTTCACCGACCTGTATGTAATTCACAAACCGCATGATTGAAAATATTTCAAATTTGGGCTTTGGAGTTTTCTTCACATGACCGCATGATTTGAGCAAATTTTAGCAAATTCATTTCTGCATTGTTTTAAATGCAAACTGGGACAAAAATTTTGAAAAAAAATCAAGCTCTCCGAAGGTTTGTGCATAAATATGCGTGTGCTATTAAAGGATGTAACGTTTACACATCAAACAAAAACGATTCTAAATCTGTTTAAAGGTATAGTCCATCATTTGCAGCCATCCGAAAAGTAACTGGCGTAATTATTGTTGAAAAACAAACTTGGTTGAAAGATAGTAAGGGGACTAAACTCCCCGTGAAATTATTCTTTCTGGGAAGCTGTCATTTTGAAGTTATCAACGAAAGAAGGCATTTCCAACGGTGATTCTTAAGAAGCACCGTAGGAAAATTTACATTAGTAGTTCGTTTTGTTATTCAGCGCAGCGCACAAGTATTGGAATGACGCACACGCGCGCGCGGTTGTTATAATTCGTCGGATCAGTGCGCGACGTCGCGTATAGCTGCAATTCAAAACAATTCAAAACATGATTCAGTAACTTTGGATTTGAAATTGAGATCTTAGAATGCTGTTTTTCTCGGAATGTACAGCTGAAGCTTAGCTGAAACTTCATCAGGTTAGTTGCTCAGTATTCTTCATTAGATTTTGAACTCTTTTGTTGCTTCAAACGAACAAAATGCACAAATTACAAATGATGGACTGTAGCTTTAATTCGTCTAACATTACATCGACCATGTCATGTTGTACATTAAGGCCTCAGCTAGAGTTGTACCAAATATATAAAATTTGCTTTGGCTACAAGTATTTTATTTTGTTTCAAATTGGTCTTAGGCTCAGTCTGAATGTATTGTCCGTACCGATGAAATTGACCTATCGCGGTAGAATCACGTTAGAATCGCGTCAGCGCAGCTTGTGGTATATTGTCCAATTACATGATATACAAATGGACGCGGCACGTGCAAAATCTGAGACAAACAAAACTTAGTGTACATAAATTCCATTGGGTTGTCTAAGGGGCGTGGCTAACTCGCAAACGGCGATAGGTCAATTGCCTTGTGGTTGAAACTTACCTTGAGAAGGCTAGAAGTTGTACAATGATCTCGTTGCATTGTAGAGGATCCGTACTCTCCTTGTGCGGATTGAGACTGATTTGATCGGTGGGGTCGATCACCTCTGCGACCTCACCGTTCCTGTCTCGAAGATCAGCGAACCCCGCTTGGCTCAGACGCGCAAATGATGCTCGACTCAATGCATGGCCACTGTGGATATTATATCAAACACCTGACATAAGAAAAGCTTATACACAATCAAGGTTCAAAAGTTTAAGATTTAAGATCAACTGTTCATGGTTTCTTTTACGTTTAACCCTCAAACGTCTTGCTTTAGATTGATATTTGTGCACCAAAACAAAAGATAATCACTTTCGAATGAGACATTGAACGAGAAGTGCAGATGCCAGAAATGCTCAGTATTAAAAACACATCATTCATAAACCTTGTCTGAGTATCACCCATTATTCAAAGAACCCAGTCTCCTGTCTAACGTCTGATATATCTAAGCATGCAGATTTATGTGATCTCGCGCCTCAGCCAATCGGAGTCGACTTTACTAAATTGTGACGTCAATTCATTCCCAAATCAGGACTAAATGTTTGATTGGTCAATTCAAATGCAGTATTTTGTAATACAACGGCCAGGCACAGATCTATAAAACCGAGACAAGCTTTGCGCGTACCGCGTAACATAATACAGAGCGCATGACTACAGCCTTTGTTTGCTGTGTCTAGGTTTTTTTGTATCCATATGACGTGACAACTGGTGAATGACCGAAGACCCGATATAGAAAGCGCCCGCTTATTGGTCAAAATCTAGAGGTCAAGAGGAATTTGTCTTGCATAATAAATCAGCGAATCTGCTCACAAATCATAGACTATTACGTAAACTATCATAAACCAATGCAAACTTAAATTGAATGACTCAAACCAACTACCTTGACATGTACGGTCCCACAGGCATAATGGGTGCATGGACTGGCGTAAATGGCAGCTCTTCGAGATCACCGGGGCCACCACCGCTACCAACAGGGGTGGCAACCTTGGAAATAAAGCAATAAAGTTGGAATTAGACATGTCTACACGTACTCATTAGGGATGGGACTTTGCGTTTAGTTTTGTAACATTTAGTACTCCACTCTACAAAAGAGATCGCTCATTAAGGAGTGTCCTTTCTAGTGTGTAACAATTTGGGCGTTTCACAATGCAGTGCGCCACTAAGAGTTTGCCACAAAGAGTTAATTTTTCCCAGTGCATTGTGGGAGATGGTCAACAAATTGACAGCGCGGGACATATGAAATTGTTAGTTTTTCTGGTCAGTAGTTTCGTAAGCGTATGATTTGAGTATCTGTTTGCCATTTTCTTTGCTTTTGAAACCGGGTGGCTTTTGTAAGGCGGCAGAACGCTATGCCCCAATCTATAACAAATTAGCTCAAGTTGTCTACTGACACTCATTCAAGTGGGCCATGTTTTGTCGACTGTAAACTTGAAAAATTAACTCTCCATGGCAAACTCTTGGTGGCGCACTGCAATGTGAATCGCCCGAATTACAATTACCTTTTTTGATGAATCTATCCGATAAAATCATTTTGTTATGCTGTGAATTGTTCCAAATGTAACCTGTTGAAGTTTCAGCTCATTAGATATTACGCTTTTTGCGCAAACAGTGAAAACCACGCCCAAATTTTGATCACGAAACACGATTTTACCTATAGCACTATCTATTTCCAAAATTCAGTCAATTGACTGATCGTTGGAAATCACCTACATTCCTTCGCAATGCCAGCAAGCCAGACGGAATCATTTCACAGGGTGTTTAGTACCAGTACGATCTTGAATCCAAGTAAGCCTTTTGATAATAGTTTGATAGGTTACTTTTGTGATAAATGCAAATGATACTATATGCCTTTAAAGCAAACGTACCTCCATATGTTTGATTTCCATTGGGTATGCGGACGGAGGCAAGGCATGCAATGTCGTGGGATATTGCTGCTGAATACTGACGTGTTGAGGTCCTGCGGACTGGTTGGTGTTGAGTTGGTTCATAGCAGGGTATGGCCGTTGAAGGCTCATGGGTTGAGATGGAAAACCACTATACAAAGGTATAAATAATTAAGGGAATAAACATGCGCTTGGAAGGTTTGAAACAAGTACGTTTAATACCAGCTAGGGGACTTGACACGGATAAAAGTGTGGGCCATTATCTGCGACTAGGTCCCTAGCCAGCTTTAAACGTACTTGTGAAATCCTAACCTTCCCAAATCCTCCAAAATCCTCTTTGCCAAATGGAGGATTGTGCAGGATTGAGGCTACATGGCAAAAATGTGTGGCTGATTTTGGAGGATGCACTGTGTCAAGGTCTTGGGCCGGACCTTGTGTTGTTTATGCTCAGCCATGCATAAATTTAGGCCTAAATTATACTTGAAATCCTCCGCACTGCTCCAGGATGTCACTGGACATATTGACAGTGATTGCTGGAGGATTTGGCAGGATTGAGGCAGTGGTCACCCCTCCAAGGACCACATTCAAGAAATAACAGATGATTTTGGAGGATTGAGGTTGTATGCAATTTTTACATGAAGGCAGTTGGAAGATTTTGTAGGATTGAAGTTGCATCCTAGCAAAAATACCTAGGGAGTTAGGGTTAATACCGGCCTAGCACATATTTATTCCCATTTATTATTTCGGTCAAGAAGTCAAAACAAGTCAAAAATTATACATTTCCAACGATTTGGTTCAACAATTTTACTTCATGTTTTGTGAAACACCCCTCTATCTATGTTTATGGTATGTGCCTCGCGCGAGAAGTACTAAAAAAATCTCCTTATATTGAGATTTGCGCATGCTACGTGCCTCCTGCACGATGTGGCACAGAACACAGCGGGGCTGGTGTAGTTTATTTATTTTGTTTATTTCTATACCTTTCATGAATTCGTGGACTTCTAGGCAATGGTGGTCTGCTTGTTAGGGTAGGCTGCATATCATCTGCGATAGATGCCTGGTCTGTTGCTGTTGTATGTGATCGAAGAGATGCAACAGAGGGATGACGACCTGGGGTATCCTAACAATTGGTCCAAAAGTAACAAGTGCGAGTGCACAATAAGCTCTGGCGAAAAATGCAATGGCACATATGGAACACCATACATTTGGTCAATTTTCATTTCCTCCTTCTAGATGCTATCCAACCACTACACAAAATACCACGTGACTATAACATTACTCAGGGTTCGACCTTAACTCTTTTTTTTTTTCACTAACCAGCCGGGCTACTATAACAGACTCTTAACTAGCCAGCGGGCATTTTCACTAGCCCGCATGTTCTTCTTTTATAGAGTGTCTCATAAACAGCAATGTGCATACTTGCAAAACATGAATCCTGAGGCAATCTAGCCAGTGTTTTTAACAAACAGATCTAATAATTTAACCCTAAAACAGTTAATACAATTAGACACAAATTGATTCAGGTTTGCTTTCTGAATTTAATGATGTATTTCTTCCTGTTTGCTGTAACCCAATAATTTTTGACTTGCCAGCGAGGCTACTTAAAAGGAATAGTTGACTAGCCCGTCGCTGTTTTGACTAGCATTTGGCTAGCGGGCTACCTCTAAAGTCGAACCTTGCATTACTACACATATCTTGCCCCTGCTTACAAATTTTTGATAAGAAACTTTACAAATAGTCACAAACAATTTTTATAGTGCATTTACTGACAACGACATGGCAACAGCTCAATTTTGGTAAAATATGTTTGGTCAATTTTGGGGGACCAACCGACACCGAAGTGACACATAGAAGCTCCTGCCAGAGCTTAAAAAAGTACAAAAAAAATTGATGACGTTTGATGACGTCATCATGATGTCATCATCATGACGTTAACGTAAAAGCAAAGTCAGATGGATTTCATATAAGTGAAAAAAAATTACAAAAAATTCAACCAAACCCAATATAAATGGATAACTTTGTATTTTTCCGTACTAACAACATGCTCTATGTACCCACCAAGTTTCAAGTCAATCAGGCCTTCAAGATTGCATTAGTGTGACACAATTATGACATCATTCTATCAATTCTTACAACTCTGTGCACCTCCGTATGACCTACCTAAGCTATTACAAAAAGATTTCTGAATTTAGCATTCAGAAAATGTTCGAAAACTTTACTATCTCTAAAAACCTGAGCAAACGACAGGACTGAATGAAATACAGCTAGAAATAATTAGGTTTTTGTATTACCGGTGGTAGCGATGGCTGAGGAGAAATTGGCTTTGAATCACTGTCTCTCTGTCAAGATTCAAAGAAAAAGTACAAGACATGAAATAAATAATACTATTAGGGCTGTGCCAAATATACCAAATATCTGAATATTCGATGATCCACCAAATATCCGAATAGCATTTTATCAAATCAAATATTAGAAATGTGTGAGCTGTCGAGAAGATGATGAAAAACTTCTTTCAGTGATACAATTTTATTCATATAAGTTGAGAGGCTTTGTTTGTCAGATTCCAGATTTTTGCTGTAATTTGCATATTTAAATTTGAATGTTAACAAATACTAAATTATTCAAAAATGCACTAAAATACTAATTCATACATTTATCTTGCTCCAATTCCATCAAAATTTTTACATTAAAAAATGAACATAAAAAAAGTAATGCTAAAATAAATTGTCAAAAAAAATACAACAATAAAATATGTTGTGAATTAAACAATAAAATTTAAATTACAATTGAAATATAAATTGTAAAAAATATAAATCTGTAAAAACCATTAAAAAAATACAGAAATACACATGGCTACAACTAGAAAGAAAAGTAGTTCATTATCTCTCTTCCAAAGACGGCAATTTTATGTTTGCCTGGAAAGTTGCAAGATTTGGTCCAACAAATTTTACTGAGAAGAAAAGATACAACGCCACTGAGTGGAAAGCCACTGAGCTCAGTTGGTAGAACATTGGAATGGCAATCTGAAGGTCGCAGGTTCAACCCCGCTCCAGTCAATTTCTTTGTTTAACTTTGAAAGTTAAAACAATGAACCTAGTCAGTTTCCGTTAGCGGTTTATTTAAAAAATCAAAACAAATAAATGAGGGAAAAATTGTCAACAATTTTACCTTGATGTTGAAGTTGAATGTGATTTTACCCGCCGCTAACCTCGACATCCCCTTCTCGCTGAGTTCAGCGCTTTGATTCTTGTAGACCATGATGTTATCAGGGTTCGGTATGGCTCCGCCTTGCAGTTGTATCGATACTTCACTCGTTCTCTCCTTGTAGGTCGGTGTCCATGCGGCCCAACGCAGACCGATCGTTTGGGTTTGCGCCCTGTTTATGCTCACGGCTAACTGAAATGGAATCGTCGGAGGTATCATCTAATTTTGTCTAGTCTTTCAAAGTGCTTTTATTAAAAGTGGATTAAATTTTACACTAGCAACTGGCCAAGTAGTTAGGGTTCGTGACTCATGATCAGAGGGTCAGGGTTCAAATCCAGCTGCCGGCTATATGTTGTTTCTTTGGGCAAGCCTCTTCACCCCACTTGCCTCTCTCCACCCAGTAGTATAACTGGGTACCGGCATTAGCTGGGGAGCAACCTGCGATGGACTAGCATCCTATCCAGGGGGAGTAGAAATATTCTCAGTCGTTTCATACCACTGAAACCGGAGATAAACTACGGCCTGATGGACTATATTGGCTCATGACAGACTTTACTTCTAACACCTTGCTCAGTATGAAGAGACTACATGTATATTTTCTGTCCAAAATACTGTTGAACCGGGGTCTAGAGTTAAAAGAAGGTTGCTTAAGGTTCGTAAAGTCATTGTGAACTGACAAAAGCACTCTACTATAACTGAAGAGAAAGATGGACCCTTCGCCTCGCAATCGCCCCTCATCAAAATCAACTTGGAAGTTTACCTTTCTGTCTTGCGTAGATGCCGGCAAGGAGATGATGTACTCCAGTAGAAACACCACTGCGACGGCCGGATCCTCCACCAGATGAGACAGGGTGATCTTGCTTTTGACCAACAACGCCGCTCCTAGACTTTCTCTGAAGTACAAACAATTAGTTTGAAATTGTTTGATATTCAAACCCAGTAAAATCTTGTTTTGGTTCTTAATTTCGAAGTTGTCTGATTTTTTTAGCCCTACAAAGGGAAACTGACTAGGTGAACATTTTAATAATTATTATATATAATTTTAATAAGTCTCAGACTATCCGGTCTTTACTACAACACTGGCACATAGTCCATAACATCTTTTAAATGAAAGAAGTGCAACACAATCGTGTAAGAACGAATTGGTATATGTACCTCGATTCTGGCGCAGAAATTGAAGTTCCTTTCGTCCGCTTCTTGCTTCCTCTGTTGTGTCCTCGGGCTAACGTGTCCGGCGCGTCCAGTAAGACGATCTGTGGCTTTCCGACGTAACCCCATCCGTTGTGAACGCCAATCTGCAGCCTTCGCTCCAACACCGCTACGCTGCCTTTGTCGGACTGAGCTTGCTCCTATTATTATTGCAAAAAAGAGAAAACACAATTAGGGCTGCGCTGCACATACCCGATATTCGAATATTCGATCATAATCGGATATCCGGATAGCTTGTTTTGGATTCAAATATTAGGCACCCCTAACATCCCAGTTACTCTCTGGTCGCAAAAAATTGGCGACTGAAATGTTCCCGACTGTCATACATGTAGCCCAGGCGCAGCTTGATCCTGAAAAGTCAGTCGCCGACTGATCTGTGTTGTCGCAAGTTCGACCTGAGGGCGGCTTGGCTTGATCAGTGCATTTTTAAAATCGAATATTCAAATATTCAATCAGTTAGATTAAATGAAGTCTGTCACAAGCCAATGTGGCCCATCAGGCCAGCAGGAATTTCTATTCCCCCTGGATAGGATGCTAGTCCATCACAGGTTACTCCCCAGCTAATGCAGGTACCTATTTATACTCCTGGTTGGAGAGAGGCAAGTGGGGGTGAAGTGGCTTGCCCAAGGACACAACATATGGCCAGCAGCTGGATTCGAACCCCTGACCCTCTGATCATGAGTCACAGACTCTAACCACTAGGCCACACTCCCCCAAAGTTAGATTAATCAAAACTAAAATATTTGAAAAATGCACAGCCCTAATATACATGTTACTAACAGCAAGAATCTGGAGCACAAAAGATTTCTGAAGAAACTGTTTACCAAAGCAAGGCGGTCCAGATTGAGATGCTTGCACAATTCTTCTTCAAATTCATCTAAAGTTGGGTAGACTAGGATGGATATCTTGTCGAGAGCCGCAGAGAGTCGCTTCAAAGGCCTAGGTCTGCGTAGACTGTCTCCACCTGTTATGAACAAAATAATGGGTTAAGTATCCAAAAGACACGATATTGTAGAGTTCTAATATAATTGTGATGGACTTGTGGTTGACTTGTGATTGACTTGTGATGAACTTGTGATAATAATAATGGGTATTTATAAAGCGCATGTATCTACCATTATTGGTGCTCAAGGCGCTACATCATTATTACCCTGCTCATTGGGCCAATGAAACATTCCAAAGACAATCTCAGCTCCGTGGGGAGTATACAGCTCGATGCTGCCATTTCGGCGCAAAGCAGCTAAAATCAATCACAATAACCATCTTTGCCCTCACAGGTACACATTTACTCCTGGGTGGAGAGAAGCAATGAGTGACAAAGTGCCTTGCCCAAGGGCATACGCACCATAGACACAGGCCTGCAGATTTTCGACCTGCATATTTACACGCAGACCACGAATTCAATGCTCCAGACCACGAGGCCATGGCACTCCACAAGATGGACTTGTGATGGACTTGTGATGGACTTGTGATAGACTTATGATGGACTTGTGATGCACGTGTGATGGACTTGTGATGGACTTGTGATGGACTTGTGATGGATATGTGATGGACTTGTGATGGACTTGTGATGGATATGTGATGGACTTGTGATGGACTTGTGATGGACTTGGGATGGACTCGTGATGGACTTGTGATGGACTTGTGATGGATATGCGATGGACTTGTGATGGACTTGTGATGGACGTGTGATGGACTTGTGATGGACTTGTGATGGACTTGGAGGGACTTGGAGGGACTTGTGATTGACTTGTGATTGACTTGTGACTGACTTGTGACTGACTTGTGATGGACTTGTGATGGACTTGTGATGGACTTGCGAGTGACTTGTGAGTGACTTGTGAGTGACTTGTGGTGGACTTGTGATGGACTTGCGATGGACTTGTGATGGACTTGTGAGTGACTTGTGGTGGACTTGTGATGGACTTGCGAGTGACTTGCGAGTGACTTGTGAGTGACTTGTGATGGACTTGTGATGGACTTGTGATGGACTTGGAGGGACTTGGAGGGACTTGTGATTGACTTGTGACTGACTTGTGATGGACTTGTGACTGACTTGTGATGGACTTGTGATGGACTTGCGAGTGACTTGTGAGTGACTTGTGTGTGACTTGTGGTGGACTTGTGATGGACTTGTGATGGACTTGCGATGGACTTGTGATGGACTTGTGATGGAGGTGTGATTGACTAGTGATGGACTTGTGATGGACTTGTGATGGACTTGTGATGGACTTGCGATGGACTTGCGATGGACTTGTGATGGACTTGTGAGTGACTTGTGATGGACTTGTGATGGACTTGTAATGGACTTGTGATGGACTAGTGATGGACTTGTGATGGACTTGTGATGGACTTGTGATGGACTTGTGATGGACTTGTGATGGACTTGTGATGGGCTTGTGATGGACTTGTGATGGACTTGTGATAACTTAGACGAAATTGTGATGACTTGTGAATGACTTGTGATGGACTTGTGATGGACTTGTGATGGACTGTAATGGACTTGTGATGGACTTGTGATGGACTTATGATGGACTTGTAATGGACTTGTGATGACTTAGATGGACTTGTGATGGACTTGTGATGACTAGTGAATGACTTGTGAATGACTTGTGATGGACTTGTGATGGACTTGTGATGGACATGTGATGGACTTGTGATGGACTTGTGATGGACTTGTAAAGGACTTGTGATGGACTTGAGATGGAATTGTGATGAACTTGTGATTGACTTGTGATTGACTTGTGATGGACTTGTGATTGACTTGTGATGGACTTGTGATGGACTTGTGATGACTTAGATGGAATTGTGATGACTTGTGATCAGCTGAGTTGGTTGTGTTTTATTTGTGATGAACTTGTGATGACTTGTGATGACTAGTGAATGACTTGTGATAGACTTGTGATGGACTTTGTAATGACTCACAATCACCTCAACTCCAATACCAACACAACTAATGACTTGAATACACCTACCATCTTTTGGGTCCACCACCGTTACGCCAGGGATCTTGTCGTTGCCAGACAGTAGGACATTCTCAGGAACGAGATGCATGATCTTATCCATGTAACGATGGGTGCGTATCGTGTAGCAAAGCTGGCAGTCTGATATCGCTGTCAGCTTCTTGTTCCCTGTACAGAAATCACACAGGGGTAAAATTGGGAGAAACGAAAAAAAACACAAAACTTTTATGAAATAGAGCGAACCACATCTTTTTTAAACTTTCTTTTTGACTCACCCTGTTGAATGACCCACATGTATATTTTCTGGCTAAAATGCAATTCAGTCTATATATGTTTACCTTCGATTTCATTTCCCAGGAATAAGAGAGCTCTAGGGGAACCATGAAGTAGATCTAGTCTCTTGACTGGAGCTGGGGTACTCGATGACGTATCGCTGAAGTCTCCTGCAACATGAAGATAAAAGTGATTGTGAAATGAAGGGCCCCTCTTTATTTTTAGTTCTTAAAATGTTTTTTTTTATTATTTCAAAATGACTTTAGCGACCTTTAAGCACTCTTCTTTGAATTTTAGTGACCATCTTTTTCCGGTAATTTCCAATGATCTTGTTGTCCCCTTTAATTTGACACCACAAAATGTTGACGTTGTGATGCCTGCAGATCTGAAGATTTCATAAACATCAGGCATTCTGGCAAAATGTGACAGAGCTGAGCAGATGTCGAAATGAAGATTTGCAGGTATGACCGAGAATATAACGTTCTCCTTACAATGCTGTTGTTGCACTTCCATCGGACAATTAGCGGCTGGCATGTGATGGTGAATGGACCAATGGGAATTCGGCTCTCGATCATGAATATGTATGAGGTATAGTAACTACTTTTACTTCTTGATATGTGTTTAAACATCGACCAATGAAAGAGCTCGTTTGGCTCATGAATATGCACGAGGTGGAGTAACCATGAATGCTTTTATACCTTGATGAAACAGTCTTAGGATACCCCATCCGCTGGACATGCACTGTACTTGACCATTCCTTGAAGTGGTCACTCGTATGACTTCAACCACTACGACTATGTTGGGATCCGCCAACGATGTATGGAAATACACAGGCTGGGAGAAAAATGGGAAATAGTGCATCACAAAATAAAAGATATGTGTATGAGAGTTTTGCCGCACAATGAAGTGACGCATCATGGTACACAGTATATAAGACACTTTAACGGGGCGGCAAATCACCAGTTATGTCACTCGTGGTGGGACTGAAGATACAAAAAGACTTGTTGGTAGTGGGCACAATTATAACAAGCTTCAAGCTGTTTAGAAAGCTGAATGTTTATACAAGATTAGCATTGCCAGGTCAAGTGGCATCCAAAGTTAGACTCAGTTTAGGACATGACATGTATTTATACTTAGCGAGTGAGAAAGTTAGTCAGTTTGGGAAGTGAGTGAGTCAATCAATTCAGTCAGTGACTCGGGGAGGAAGTCAGTGACTTGGGGAGTCAGACAGTGACTCAGTCCATCTGTGACTCGGGGAGTGACCCCATGAGTCAGTCAGTCAATCAGTCAGTCGGTCAGTGACTCATTGATAAGTAAGTCAGTGACTCAATAAGTCAGTCAGTGACTCAATAAGTCAGTCAGTGACTCAGTTCATTTGTGACTCAGTTCATTTGTGACTCAGTTCATTTGTGACTCAGTAAGTGACTCCGTCGGGGAGTCAATCAGTCAGTCAGTGACTCATTGATAAGTCGTCAGTGACTCGGGGAGTCAGTCAGTGACTCAATAAGTCAGTCAGTGACTCAGTTCATTTGTGACTCAGTTCATTTGTGACTCAGTAAGTGACTCCGTCAGTCAGAGACTCAGTCAGTCAGTGACTCAGTCAGTCAGCGACTCAGTCACCTTGTGACTCAGTCACTCTGTGACTCAGTCAGTCAGTCATTAACGTAGTTATTCAGTGACTCAGTCAGAGATTCAGTGACTCGGGGAGTGACTCAGTCAGTGACTCGGGGAGTGACTCGGGGAGTCAGTCAGTCACGCAGCCACTCAGTTGGTCAGATGGCCACAGACTCTATGAAACCAGCAAAATGAAAGAAATACCACATTATATGGAAGCCTGGCAGTGTTCGTGGGGCCTTTTATCACACTCTGTCGTGGTCCAACCCATGAACGGCCAAAGAACACCTTGTACGTCACATCATAAAGATGTAGTCTGACTTCATGCTCAACTTTAATCTCTTCTTCCTGCAGTAAATAAAAGTCAACATTTTAACCGATGTAACAAATTGTATTTATTACTGCTATGTTTTCAATCTGTTTTAATGCACAGGGGGGAGATTGCGGGAAAAAAAAGAAGAAAAATCAACGAAATAACCTACAGAGAGTTTGAGGGTCACAGAGAACCCAAGAACAAAGTAGGGTCTATGGTATGTTTGCACTCCTTAGCCCAGAACTCAACCCATCAAACCCCAATGGCATGTTTTGTTGGAATCTGTCAGGATGGGTACAGTACCCCTAAACTGACAGTCTTTTACATTGGGTTGGGCAGACCTCCAGAATCAAAGTCAGAAATATGTGTGTGCAGTTTCCCATATGGTGTTGGAATTTGCCAGGATGGGTATGGTTCCTAGTAAATCATGCTAGGGAGTTTAGGGTTAGTGCATTCCCCTTCCAAGAGTGAGTATGTGAAGCAAATGACCTACCCATTACAAAACAAATAAAAAATTTGTTTGAAATCACTCTTAATGACACTTGAATGGCAAATTACAAAGTACCAAGATAACAGGGGCAGGAAAAATGTCACACTTTGGACCATACATTTATAGAATGACCCACATATCAATGCATGTGTATTCTTGTTTTGATTTGTTTTGTTTGTGCTTTAGTTTTTGTTTGTTTTATGTTCTTTTTTTAAAGCATGAATTTGTTTCATGATCTTGATACATCTGCTACAATGAATAAAGAAATGAAGATATTTAACATCACATTAAAGAGAAAGAAGTAAACCCTGCACACACACATTTCATGACATTTTGACTATTTTTTTTGCTGATAAAAGGTTTTTCCCCAAAGGAGCCATAACCCTTTCTTCATAGCTACAATTTTGTTGGAAACAAATACATGTAAAAAGACAACATATTGACAATATATATATATGCAAAATATATTTGCAAATATAGGCCTATGAATTAAAAAGAGAAAAAAAAGGAGGCGGACAGGAAAAAAATGAAGCAGGAGAGGACAAGAAACTGGATTTTTTTTTTTTTTACTTGGCATAAAAGAGACGGTACATCATTAATTAATACATGATTGTACAGTTGTACACTACCATACCTCATTAACGTAACCCTGGCTAAGTCCATCTACACAAACAATCGTGATACAAAACGGGACCCAATCATCGCTGCCACCTTCCTGAGCAACCAATGTCCGCCGGTAACTGGCGGGAACGACACGCCCTTTTTCAATCAGCACACCGATCTCTCGTACTTCGTCCTTGGTCTGCGACACTTTGGGCGTAGCGACGCGATCGAATGAAGGAAACACATTGGGAACCGGGCTTGGAAACGTGCCAAGTGTAACGGACACGTTCCCTGTCCACGACAAGTTGGAATTGGTACGAGTTGGTTCGAAGATAGGGGGCGTTGCCAGAGTGATAGTAGGCGGGGTCAGCCCCTTTTTGAAACCACGTTGTGTCAATTGTCCGGTAGACATCTTGTGTGGCAGTTATACAAGATAATTTACTGAGCTTTTATCCACCCTCTGTGTTTTTTTGTTTGTTATAATGTGTGTAGTAGAGGCAAAAATACGTTTTCCATTCATAAGTTCCTGTGGTCCATATAAGGCAAATTTCTCCACTGTATTATGAGTTTGTGTACAAATGGGTCAGCAGGCCAGATGGAGGTGTGTCTCTGGTGTAGTAGAAGCTCAAACCTGCTCCCATTCATACATTTCGGTTGTCCATATAAGGCAAACTCAGGCTGTGGGAATTGTTTATTTAAGTTATTGCACAGAAATTCCCACCAAAAATTTCTCCACTGTATGGTTTGTGTACAACCGGGTTAGCTGGCTATTTGGAGGCATGTCTATCATGTAGTAGAAGCTCAAACCTGCTCCCCATTCATAAATTCCTGTTGTCCGTATAAGGCAAAAATTCCTCCACTGTATGGTTTGTGTACAACTGGGTTAGCTGGCCATTTGGAGGCATGTCTCTCATGTAGTAGAAGCTCAAACCTGCTCCCCATTCATAAATTCCTGTTGTCCATATAAGGCAAAAATTCCTCCACTGTATGGTCTGTGTACAACCGGGTAAGCTGGCCATATGGAGGCATGTCTTGTGTAGTAGAAGCTCAATCCTGCTCCCATTCATAAATTCCTGTTGTCTATATAAGGCAAAATAAGGTTTTTGGAGTTGTTTTAGTCAGGTCCAAGTAGCTGACCAGAAATTCCAATTGACAATTTCTTGTTTGTGTACAAATGGGTCAGCTGGCCACGATGCATATGTGTAGTAAAAGCTCAATCCTGCTCCCATTCATAAATTCCTATTGTCCATATAAGGCAAAATAAGGTTTTTGGAGTTGTTTTAGTCAGGTCCAAGTAGCTGACCAGAAATTCCAATTGACAATTTCTTGTTTGTGTACAAATGGGTCAGCTGGCCACGATGCATGTCTTGTGTAGTAAACGCTCAATCCTGCTCCCATTCATAAATACCTATTGTCCATATATGGCATAAAGGTTTTTGGAGTTGTTTTGGTCAAGTCCAAGTACCTGTCCAGAAGTTCCCATTGAAAATTTCTCCACCATTAGAACAATCATCAATTGCAGACATGTTCATAGTTGCATCGCGAATAAACACATACTGAACAATCGAGTGCTCGGCGTTCATCTGCGTTAGTTTTTTTTTGAATTGTGTTAATCACGTCCACGGGAATAGGATAAAATCCAGCGCAGTGATGCTCGAAGAAGATAAGCGGAAAAGACGTCACTTCACAGATAAGATCGCTGTTGCTACCGGCAAACACATGTAGTTGCTACCGTCTCAATGACAATGTCGTCAACAGCAGACTTTCCATGGCAGAACACATTAATCATTAATGTCAGTCGTGCTTTCTAGCTACATAAACATTTACAACACGATCACAACGATGCAAAGGCATACCTGCATAGATAGGTACACGAACAAATACTGTTTCTTGATTTTTGATACAAGCATGCCAAATTGCGACTGTCAATAATTTACTAGTGTCTGGCATCTCCAGCCTACTCAAACACAATGGCCGCGTTGATTTGCGTTTCCATGGCAATTTAGTCACGCTACGATGGTTCCATGGTAGATGTATGTAGGCCGAGTGCTGTACAGGGGATCAATATCTGAAAAGAGGTCAAGATTGTTCTATATAGGGCGACCTCATTATGTCAACGTGATGGAGTGGTAGGTACAGGTATGCTCACAATGATTACAATCGCACATTTAAGCGGACAAATATTCGATAAAGAAGACAAGGTTACCTTTTGCATTCTGCTGCTTTTAAAGGTAACGTACAACATTTGCTTTTGCTGTAATTTTCAGAAATGGATGGATTTGGGGGTCAGTGCATGTGTTTGATAGCAAATAGTGTTACACTGACGAGTTTAAAGTTTTGTGTTCATAGATGCTGGAAAAATTAAGGAGAAAAAAAATCTGTTTAGGTAGTCTGGTTCCCGACCCCACTCAGACGAAACGGAGTAATTGATGGACGTCAGGGAATTGTCAGGTCAAGGAACCAGACTAGCTTGCTTGTAAACACCCGTTCACAGAACTGATAACAAAGAAAATATTGGCTAACTACATGTACATTTGGTATATGGGGGGCAAAACATGTATTTGAAAAAAATGCAGTTTTTTTACGAAAGACCATCATTGGAAATTTACACAAAAATTCCACTTTTCTTGAAAATGACAGTACACCAGGTGCCATGCTTGAGACTATTATTCACTTACAGTCAAGTAAGGTGTTTCTTAATAATTTGTTAGTTTTGTTTTTTTGAGGTTTCAAAATGTAATTTAGCACATTACCCTTAAACTGAACATGTCTACATTTACGTACATTGTGGCGCTACTATAGTTTTCCAGGGAAGTTTTATTTTTTTATACAATTTCTTTTGACTCGTGTCATCAACAATCCCCGTTTTCTCCAAACAAATAAATAAACATCTTCAGATTTAGTTTTTTTCTCCTACTACATCTTTTATTTTTTTTTTTTAACAGTATTTTAATTTGATCTTGAAATATTCATTAATTTATTGTTTATTGTTTAATGTATTTATTTCACAATCAGCCAAATTAACAATTATGAAATATTGAACATTTTTTCATATATTTGTAATTAGTTTTTGTCTATCAAACCAGAATGGAATTATTGTGAAGTAATAATTCAATTGCTGAACATGGGCCAATTGTTTTGGTCAATGTCTCATTCAAAAATGATTTACTTTTGTATCATCAATATTAGGTTTTGCCCTTCACCGACGTATAAACACTGTATACTCAGTGTGTTACCTCCCGACTGAAAGTTGGAAAAATCACTCAGATGGGACTCGAACCCACGACCTCCTGGTATTTTAAATACTTTTCCATATTATAAATACTTTTGTATCAATTACTAGAAACAAATAGCCATTTAGATAAGGAATCTATTTTTCAGAATGAAACTCGAAAATAGTTGGGGGAACATTACAATCCAGTGGGCTTTAACAATAATCATTTATTCACTTCTGAAGTCTTAATATTTCCCGTTTTTCGAATAATTCATATCTTTTAATGTTTGTTAGTCCATATTTTTGCAATTTAGCATTATTCCACAAAACTGTGGGTTTTTTTAGAGGCCAAAAAAAAAAATAGTTCTGCTTCCGGTTTCCCTACCTACCCTATTCTGACTTGCCCTACCCTAATTTTTTTTTTATGGGAAAGATGAGAAAAAAACACCCAAAACCATCAATTTCTACCTTTTAGCCTTGACAACACGCAGACGCCTCCATATGATCAATACACACAAAAAAATTGCCCCCCAAAAAAATTATTTCCCTACCTACCTACCCTATTTTCAAATGCCATGTAATCGGAAGCAGAACTATTTTTTTTTTTGGCCTAAATAATCCATCACTGAATTGAACTGAATTTCACAGCAAAAAGCAGAAAAGCAAATTACAGGTATAGACATAGTTATTGAATAAAATAAAATAAATTCAAATATAAAAGGTGCTCATAAATAATAAAAAATAAAATTTAATGAAAACCAACCTTTTGGTTTCATTTTTAAATTATCCTATAAAGACCATCTGTCACCATACATGTATACATGTGTACATTGTACTTGGCCTACACAGAGCCTCATTTTGAAGCGCCGTGGCAAACAATTGTCATAATGTAATTAAGGAGCATACTAATCATATTGTCAAGGGCATCCTCTTTTTTTTCTATTGTTCTCATATTTTTTGGCCGTTGAAGTATTGTCAGTCGCTTTGCAAAACAAAACAAAATCATGACAACAAAATCGCACATGGCACCATATGGACAGCCCAATAAAAATTGTTAATTGACCTATTGCCAGTTGGCCACGCCCTTTGGACAACCCTAGGGGGGGGGGGGAGGGGACGACCCCTTCAGCTGTTTCAAGTATTGTCAGTCGGTTTGCAAAACAATGACGCGCCGTGAAAACTGAATTTCCCCATTATATATAGTGTACACAATGCGGAATTACCATTGGTGCATATATGAATAATTAATTAGCCATAATTCCAAAACCCTTTAAAGCTATAGTCCATCATTTGCAGCCATCCGAAAAATAACTGGCGTAATTACTGTTGAAAAACAAACTTGGTTGAAAGATAGTAAGGGAACTAAACTCCCTGTGAAATTATTCTTTCTGGGAAGCTGTCATTTTGAAGAAATCAACGAAAGAAGGCATTTCCAACGGTGATTCTTAAGAAGCACCGTAGGAAAATTTAAATTAGTAGTTCGTTTTGTTATTCAGCGCAGCGCGCACAAGTATTGGAACGACGCACACGCGCGCGCGGTTGTTATAATTCGTCGGATCAGTGCGCGACGCCGCGTATAGCTGCAATTCAAAACAATTCAAAACATGATTCAGTAACTTTTGATTTGAAATTGAGATCTTAGAATGCTGCTTTTCTCAGAATGTACAGCTGAAGCTTAGCTGAAACTTCATCAGGTTAGTTGCTCAGTATCCTTCATTAGATTTTGAACACTTTTGTTGCTTCAAACGAACAAAATGCACTAATTACAAATGATGGACTATAGCTTTAACCTATAGTCATGACATTTCTTGGGTATGTTCATATTAAGTTGTTCTATGCATGAACCAAGTTTCATAATTTTTTGTCTCTTGATGGCCGAGATCTGGGGGGGGGGGGGGGGGAGGGGGAGGGCGGCCTGGTGAGTGTTTTACAATCCTACCGTTAAATGTTCTTTCCAATTAAAAGTTTGTTTGAAACATGTTTTATAATCCAATTGGGTGCATTAAAGTGTGTAATGTCCCTTTAGAGCTACAGTGCATCATTGATGGGTATAAATATACATAATTTGCACTTATAAGGCTTCTTTCTAGCAGTTTCTTTGTTAACAATACATCAAATTAAAATTAACAGTACAAACTACACTGCTGATTTAAACCGAGGGGGGGGGGGACAAATTTTATTTCCCCGAACGACATAACCGAATGGGGTGCAGGCTAGGAGGTTTTGGACTTTACTTCCCTAAAAACATGAGAAAAAAAAATATAAAGAAAAATAGAACTGAATTCCAACCTGATGAAATTTGGACTTTATTTCCCTTAAAAAAACCCATCCTACATAGCCACAAATTAGAGAAGAAACAAACTTGGGAAAATGTGATTTCGAACACCCTCTGATCTCAAAACCATGGCAGTATCCAGCTGAGCCATCGGAGAGCGCGACAGACTATAATTCCTGGCATTATATACCTGCATATGTATAATAAAAGTATAGTAGAGGGCGCTCAACAACCATCCATACGATGTTGTTTTGGAAAAACAATTTGCATGGGGGAGGGGAGGAGTGTATATTTGGAATGAATGTATTATTCAGACGCCACTTCAGCGGCTGTGTACAAAGTCTCTGGAGAGTCAAGTCAAGAATAGTTTCAAAGTATTTCTTAACAGAATTGGAAATGTTTTGCAGTCCCAGATTCATGTCTTTTCAAAATTTTCCCAAAGACTGATCTTCATTGAGAGGATAGGGGGCCTATACAATAAAAAAAAAAGTGGCGTAAGGATGCAACATTTTTTTTCTGTATATTTTCATCACGAACCGATCCCCAGTCGTTTTTGCTCTTGTAGTTGTACGTACCATAGTGTATTTGCACTGGACTGAACATGCACAGTGAATGTTTGTGGGAGCTAAACATTTTAAGTTTGAGAAACCCTTGTCTGGTTCTGTGCTAGCCCCATAAAGATGATAAGTGTGGCTCAAATACTGGACTTCCTCTGTACTGTGAGCCACACATCGGTCATACGCTGTTTTGGGGAAAGTCGACTTTGAGCAAAATCTAAATCGAGATTGTTTTTGTCATGGAAGAGATATACCTGTTTGTGTTTACTAAAATAAAATGTATTGAACAATGTTAAAACCACATCATATAATAATAATAATAATAATAATAATAAATTAAAATCTATAGGCTATTGCGCAGTCTAAAATGATCAAACGCGCATTACATAAAAAAAACACGGACATTACACTAGTTAAAAACAAGAAAAATAAATTATAATCAGTGAAAACCTATCCAAAACTTGGAAAATAAGATAAACAAATTGTGCACAAGAATTCTTGAAAACAATCATGACAAATGAATATCAGTTGCCTAAACAGAACACACTATGATTTCATTGGAGTGGCATCAGCATGATCAACTGAAAAGAAACAGTTAACAATGGTTAGGCCTACCTAAATTTAAAACAATAATAAAGCCTCTGGCTCTGTACTGAAAACGTCACACTTTGTTTACCTGTCATGCCTGTGCGCTTTTCTACGAAACCGTCGTCCACCGGGCTCTAGAACTGGTCAAACACACATGTAATGATGTATGTTACTAACTATGTAAACAAAGCGTGACGTCATCAGTACTGAGGTTGTAACTAGTCATGCTAGTTATGCTGTCACAAGCTGAAAAGTGTCAAAATTGGGTACATAGAATTCAAAGAATGCTGGCGAAGTTATTTGGAATGATAAAAACACTTTTAAGAACCAAAACGAACGAGTCAGAGTGCTTCAAAGTCGCCTCAACGACGAGGTCTCACTGATTTTTTTCTGTCCATGCTGTCTGACAAGTGACAGTTCAACTTCAAGTTCAATCAAGTTCAACAAGTTCAACATGTTAAACTTACCACTTTGTCATAATCACCCAGACCTTCCACAACTTGAACACTCAGGCAGTATGATTTCGAAGGACTCCTTGCAACTTCGTCACTTCTTTCGCCAGCAAACGGCTGTATCTTGTTGCTCGCAGCAAGGAAATCTTTCCATGATTTTAATTTCAGCGCCCTCGACTCGCCTCTGTTGCTAACACCAGCGGCCATTTTATTTACGGTCATGTTAAAGTACCCCCTCAACGGTAGAGTTGTTCGAGTGGATTTTGATAAAAACTTTGGCTTTTTCGGCTGTCCAAAAGGACTATAAGTTTTGTTTCTCGTTTTGCTTTTTTGCGGTTAAAAAAAAGAAAAGTGGATTTGATTTCGCTTTGTGGTTTTGGGGTCCGAAAAGGGAAAAGGGATTTCGGTTCTTTTTTGGGGGGGGGGGGGGTTCTGAAAAGGAATGGAATTTGTTTTCTGTTGTTTTTGTTTTTTGCTTTCCAAAATGAAAATCAAAGAGAAAATAAGTTTAATTCTCACTTCTTTAATTTAAGATTAAAAGGGTAACGGGAAAACAGTACAATTTATGCGTATTTTGTGTGCGTTCTGGGCGCAAAAAATTGTTATTGTTGAAAAAATTAATACTTTAACCCTTGGCAGAAATATCACCGTTAAACAGTCAGCGCGCCCTTTATTCTCCACAAGAGTCCACAATATAATTATATTAAATCAGACACTATTGAGGGCGCTATAACACCAACTTATCACGCACGTGTAAAAGTTGGATTTAATGTTTCCCGCATCTCAACTCCTTAATTCAGCCACCTTTCTACAATGATCGTCATCGCTAGAATGCTGAATGAAGCATTCCACTTGACGAAAATAAACTGTGCGAGGACATTCAGCTCCACCGAAAAGACATCGGCCGTTACAAAATTAGGTAATCAGTTGATGTTACGAAACTCATTGAATAATCGGGCATGATCGTTTATTTACACGGGTAATTGCCTTGACCAGTAGTGCTATGTGTTTACGATTGGGACATAGGCCTACTCAAACTGTCTGTTTCAAAACTGCATCGCATTCACAAGTGCCTTTTTTTATTATCCACTTATCCACTCCAAGCAATTTTGATTGACTTCACATTTTGTATTTTAGCATCAACCATTCGCCATCCAGTCGTCATTTTCCCTGTTACTACTACTACTACTACTAGTACTAGCCAATGTCATGAGCCTAGAAATAGAATTTGAAATTTTGAGCCAGCCTTGACCTAGTTTAAATATTTCTTTTTTTCAAACATCTATTAAATAATACTAGCCTAATTATAGACCCGTGAACGTGGCTATATACATAGCCACGCTTCAGTCTATAGTAAAAACACTCTATTGTGATCCGCTGTTACTAAAATAGAGTGACCGTTCTAGCCGAATTTCGGCTACATTTGACAGAATATTTGCATACAAAAATGAGTTGTACATAAAATCAGCAGAATATTTTTTCGGCAGAATTATGAAGATGAAGGAAAATAAAAAAGATTGGAAAGAAATATGGCACATTTGGTTTGAAAAACCTTCTTTTTTTGAAAAATCCTTAAACCAAACCCTTGCACAATGGAACAGCAATATAAACTGGGTGATTTGGCAGACTTTCGAAATGGATTTAGCAGAATTTTACAAGGTATTACGGTCATCTGACATTTAGTCGGGTACCAACTGGTGATACTCCTACCGTTTTGCGCATGCAGAAGCCAGGGTACCAGAGTGTCATGCCTGTCTTTGATTTCCTGATCATTTTGAAAAAATTCGTTGTGACAAAGCTGTGCCGTACTTTACATCAAATTTCTTGGCAATGGCAGATCCAACACTCGCGGAAATTTACAGGAGGCCCAACAAGTAAGTGATTCAAATATTGGCGAAATTATACATGGTTATATGTAGCGGATCAAAAGATAGAATGCTGTCGCTAGCATTTACCCGACGGAAGCGCGTGGCGTTGTATACAACGCCACGTTCACGGGTCTAGCCTAATTAATGATCGCAGTGGCTATTTTTACGCCCATGACGCCTTGTTTCCTGACTTGACAATATTCAGTGTCAGTATCTTTGGCTCTCGGAACCAGACTATCAACTGAATGGTTCTCGGGCTTTATTTCCCTTGAAAAAAAATCCTCAAAAACAACAGATCACTAAGAAAAAAATGAATCTAGGGCCTACTAGTACTACGTTAAAAAAATTTGATTAAAAACATAAAAGAAAAGAAAACTATGAAAAGTATTAAGACTAGAGAGTAAAACAGTAAAATAACTTGTCACAGCATGGATTTGATCCCTGGACCTTTTGCATAGTAGTCCAACGTTCAACCAATCGAGCTACCAAAGCGGAACTAAAAGGACAGTTTCAAATATGATATAGATTTGCAATGTTGTTTTTAAAATGCTGTAAAAATACCAGTTGAAATCTGCATTGCGACCACTGTAACAATAGCCATTGTGTTAATAATAATCATTGCTTGTACCTTTTTACTTGTAGGAATATTGCGTTTCAAGTTAAGATGTGTCTTGTGGATGGTGGCCCAGAGAGGCCACGCCAGGTCATACTGTCTTTACAACATTGGCCGCTTACGTCATCAGGCTACGACATCACAATTGAAGGCACAGTTTACCTGTCACAGACCAAGCAGAAACGGTGAGAATCCTTGGACGTTTAGTTTATGGAGTATGGATTATGAAATTAGGGAACACAAATCAAAAGATTCAAGGTTAGCTGTACTTAAAAATTTCACCGTGCATAATTGGTAAAAAAAAAAATCAAAATAATCGTGTTCACATCAAAGACATGAACTTTAGACACTTTGTTAAAAGTTATTCAGGTCAGGGCAGTAGCCTTTGCCAGCGTAACTTGATTTAAAATACTTCCCTTTAATAGTTTGCATTAATTTATTTTATTGCTTTTTTGACAGTTTCATCGCAGAACACTTGCAATGCCAATGTGAAAGATTCACCCAAGGAGGGCCGTCAGAAACCAGCCGAAGCGGAGAGTCACAGTAAACCACAATCAGAGACGACACCCTTGCCTACAGAGCCAAGAACACAAGAGAGCAATGCTGTTGCCTCTCAACAAACTCCAGTCCCGACCACTGCACAAAAATCCCTTCTCAGAATTCCCGATACAGAAAGAACGGATGGACGAACCGGAAAACTAAACCATGTTTCAGCATCCAGTCAGAGACAGGCTTTTAAATCAGCGGAATTACCGTCTGTTGAGAAAAACACTGTAGTCCCTACAAGTGCTTCGTCTTCTCGGCAAACGCCGAAAACATCCGCTGCAAGTAAGACGAAATCAAAGAAAAAGGTGCCTGATGCGGGAAAGAAAGATCTAAAACAACAAAAGGGTGGCTCAACCAATCCTGGCAAAGTAAAATCTCCGCCCGCAAAGCCTAAACCTCAGAGCAAGGCTGATACCGGGAACCAGGCTGTTAAAACCGGTAAGCCGCAGACAAAAAGGAGTAACACATCCAACCCGCGGAATGCTAAAACTGCGTCTGTGCAGGTTACGCCGAAATTTGAAAGCAAAAGCAAGGCTGAGAAAAGGAACCAGGGAAACATGACTGGTAACCGAACCACAGTGGGAAATACCTCAACCAATCAAAAGAACGCAACAACGTATTCAGCTCGGGATACTCATTTGGCAAATAATGCCAAGTCCAAGACAAAAGCGCAAGAAATCAAGGAATCGTCTCGCAAGACTGACTCGACAACGGACCCCAAAACTGCAGGTCAGCCATTGGGTCAAAGGTCAAGTGAAACTACAGGTCAAAGGTCAAGCCAGGTCATGCGAACACCTCCTGATTCTGTGTCATCAGAAAATTTCGATTCCGCAAGGATACGCAACTCCACCGACTCGCAAAGTGCAATAACGAACGAACCAAGTGCAATTCTACCGTGTAACTTTTTAACGGCCAGTAAAAATAATTTTTTCAGCGTAATGCAATTCAAAAGCATGAGACTTCCACAGACTACAACGTCAAGCAAGAGACTGAACGCATTTGCGGACGAGTTTCACGCAACCACGTTTTTGGACTCTGCGATTGACGAAGACATCGGAAGGCTCAACGAGCGGATCAGGATCAAGGCGAAGGCGAAATCTGCGAAGAAAGAGAAACGCCACAACTGGACCATCGTGAAAACCCCGCAAGCGTACCTCCAACCATTCATGGACGTCAGCATATTTTGTTGCATGGTTAGTTTTTGCCCCGTAAATGTGACGCAAACACTGGATTTCCTGTGTATTGTGTGCCACCCATCAATGCGTGCTAAATTTCCTGAAATTTTCCTAAATTTGAATTCCAGCTAATTATAATCCTGGATTATTAACCAGTATTTGAAAAAAGCCAATGTTATTCCTCTTCTCTTGAAAATGAAAGCATACTAAGCTGCTGTTATTTACCTACAATCTAGTAGGAAATTTCATAATATTTTTGGCATTTCATTTTTGAATTCTAATTAATCATTTCTGGTAATAAAACAAGGATTCCTCAAAAGCGCCCTAGGCACTGTAGCTCGCAAACCTGAAGAAACGTGTGGAGAGAAGACAATGAGAAGAAGTTACAGTTTTAGAGGTGGGAGGAAAAGCCTAGAAGAACATTCTGGGGAAAACCCGCGGAATCAGGCAGGGACTAAAAACCCAATCCACATGTTGGCCCAGGCGGGATTCGAACCCGGGTCACAGCGAAAGGCGAGGAAAATACTGCTACGCCAACCTGACTTTGCATGCAGTATCCATTACCTATAATGAGCATATTTAAACTCTGAAATGTCTAAAATTCAAATTTTGGGCTGAGAAATTCGACTTGATGTCTGTTTTTTTCCCAGGTTCAGGAAGCACAAGCACTGTTTGACTCTGCTAGACAACACAGTCAACCACTAGAAACAGAACATTACAACACCATGCTACAAGCATGGGCAAGAAAGGTTAGTCAAATGCTCTAAAAAATGGTGAGCATGTTCCTAAGAAAATGCATGAATGAGAACCCTGTCTGTATTTGTGTTCAAGTTGATCACAAATCAATTCACACTTCATCACAAGCTGATCACAAGTTGATCACAAGTCAATCTCAAGTCATTCTCAAGTCAATCACAAGTCAATCTCAAGTCATCACAAGTCAATCACAAGTCAATCACAAGTCACTCACAAGTCATTCACAAGTCAATCACGAGTCATTCTCAAGTCAATCACAAGTCAATTCCAAGTCAATCACAAGTCTGTAACTTGTATTGATTGTTATGGAGAAGTCATGAATAATTCATTGATTACTGACTTGATGGACCAATCGCTTTGTTTCAGGGAGATCTTGAGCAGATTCAGAGCTTGTTTGCTCAAATGATATGAATGGAAGAAGTACATTTGGTTCATGAATATGTATGAGATGTAATAACTTGCATTGCTTGTTATGCAGAAATCATGAATAATTCAGTGTTACTGACGTGATCAACCAATCGCTTTTATTTCAGGGAGATCTTGGGCAGATCCGGAGCTTGTTTGCTCAGATGATATCAAGTCAAGTCAAGCCCGATCTACAATCTTACGCTGCTGCATTGGAGTGCATGGGACGGTAAGATTCCAAACAACGCCATTTTCCAAATTCAAAAAGGAGAAGAAATTACAGTTTTAGAGGTGGGAGGAAAACCCCAGAGGAATATTCTGAGGAAAACCCACGGAATCAGGTAGGGACTGAAAACCAATCCATGTGTGGTTCAGGCAGGAATCGAACCCAGGCCATAAGGGTGGAAGGCGAAGAAAGTACCGCTGCACCAACCTGACTCCCATAAGGCTGTCTGAAGAAAATTTATCATTTTGTTTGTTTCCTTAGAATGAAAGATACGGATCATGTGATTGTCACCAAGTGCCTAGAGCAGATGGAATCTGAGCAGCTATCGGTCGCAGACATCTTCAACGTTTGTACCTTCACCAATGATAGCAGAGAGGTCATCTTGGGTTTGCTTCAAGATGTCCTCCCAGGGTTTGAGGCTCCACCCCCTGTGAAGCGCCCTCAATGTCGGCTGCGTATCGTGGAGGATCTGTACGGAGAAGGGAATTCAACGCCAAAGGTTCACAATCTAAGAGACTATTTAAGATCTTAAAGAATGTAAAGTAATTTTCAGAAAGTTGAACAATTGATTGGACCGGGGTTTAAACCTGTGACCTCCAGATTGCCGTTCCGGTGCTCTACCAACTGAGCTATCCAGCCCTATATTGGTGGTTCCCCATTTTGTGACTGCTTATCCCTATCACAAAAACTTGTATAGGAAATGCAGTGTTGCAGAGCATTATTGGTATGACGAGGGTTGGATTTTACCCGTGTAGTATAGAAGTTTTAGGTTTTATCAAAAATTCTAAAATGATATTATCTTTGTTTCAGATGGATGTAAGCTCTAACGCAGTGATCACCCAAGACAAGATTCGGAGCAAGCTGGATGAGCAGATGGCCATGGAGAAGATTGAGACAGTGATGATACCGTCCGTAGAGCAAGAGAATCCTTTAAGTCACCACACCCTTCAGAAGGTACAGGAGATCAAAGGCCACACCCCCTAAAATGAGATTTTGATGTACCCTTCCAATATCAAAAACTCTCAGAAGCCACACCCTAAAGATTATAGCCACACCCCTAGAGATAACCAAGCCCCCAGAGATTAATAGCCACGCCCCAGAAATTAATTGTCACGCCCCTAGAGATTAGTATCTACAGCCCTAGAGATGAATAGCCACACCCCTAGAGATGAATAGCCACACCCCTTGATAACCACATCCTTAGAGGTTAATAGCCTACCCCTTGGCATTTTTAGCCACACCCATATAGATTAATAGCCACACCCCTACAGATGAATAGCCACACCTATTGAAGAAGGCCTTTTGAAAATGATAGACTACACTCGTGTTTGTATGGTCCCACCTTTAAAGGTATAGTCCATCATTTGTAATTTGTGCATTTTGTTTGTTTGAAGCAACAAAAGTGCTCAAAATCTAAAGAAGGGTACTGAACAACTAACCTGATGAAGTTTCAGCTAATCTTCAGCTGTACATTCCGAGATCTCAATTTCAAATCAAAAGTTACTGAATCATGTTTTGAATTGTTTTGAATTGCAGCTATACGCGACGTCGCGCACTGATCCGACGAATATAACAACCGCGCGCGCGTGTGCGTCGTTCCAATACTTGTGCGCGCTGCGCTGAATAACAAAACGAACTACTAATTTAAATTTTCCTACGGTGCTTCTTAAGAATCACCGTTGGAAATGCCTTCTTTCGTTGATTACTTCAAAATGACAGCTTCCCAGAAAGAATAATTTCACTGGGAGTTTAGTTCCCTTACTATCTTTCGACCAAGTTTGTTTTTCAACAATAATTACGCCAGTTACTTTTCGGATGGCTGCAAATGATGGACTCTAGCTTTAAATGATTTACATTTCTAAATATTCATATTTTTTGAAAACCCTTTGTTTTTCTCCAGCGTGCCATTTTGGAAGAACACCGACAGCTATGGCAGAAGGCCTTGCTGACGGCACTGAAGTTTGAAATTCAGAAACTTGCCAAGATGAACAATCCAAGACGTAAGTGGATTCTTAATTTCGTTATTTCTTAATTCAATGTTAATTGCAGATAATACTCACTGTTGGAAGTATTGACGTCATACCATTTTTGAGTTATTTTTTGTTTCATTTCCACAGGGGCAACCGTCGGCAAGTTGAATTTCTACCCATTCCTGTCCATCATGGAACCGGAGGAATACGTAGAGTTAATGCTGGAGGCTCTGCAGAACCTCGCGACGTCAACAGAGGGCAGTATGACCGTCTCGCTGTCCAGAGAACTGGGTTACAAAGTCCAACGCAAATTTTTCATTCGCAGGAAGATTAAGACTGGTGTGGCTGATAAGGTAGAATTAAAGTCATTTCTCCTGCATGCAAAAAAACAGAACCCACAAAATTATATTAAATTGATCAAGAATGGCTGTTCTTGTTGTGCATATAGTCTCCACAATGGGCCGGACTTGGCCTATTCATTGGCGTTACAAGGTTATCCTATACAATAGAACTGCCCGGATCTCTTCACCACTCTACCACAAGTCTAATTCACAATTGACAGTCATTTGTTAAGTCAGTCAGTCTTCAATACAAGATCTAAGACCAGAAAACATAATCTAAAGTGTCAAAGCGAGTGGGGTTTGAACCTGCGACCTCCGGAATATTGTTCCCGTGCTCTACCAACTGAGCTGTACAGCCCTATATTGGCGGTTCTCCATTTTATCAGTGTATTTTTTATATTTGTGAAATGGACAAATTGTTGATATTTAAGAATTATGAATTTAGAGTGAAACATTCCAGCACTATTACCATTTTTTAAAGGGAGTTTAGTAACACATTTCTAAATTGTTTCCAATTTTTGTCTTTAGTTGCAGAAGTTATACAAACAGTTTGTGACGGAGAGTGTAGGTGTGCGTGCGCTCAACCATCGTGAATTGTGGCAAAGCATTGAAGACAGAAATCCGGAAGGACCCACCGTGGTAAGAATTTGGATTTAAAAAACTTATTTTTAGGGAAAAGTCGTCACGGATATACAACCATGTTGTGTCGAGTCCATCACATATCCTCACAAGTCCTCGCAAGTCTTCACAAGTCTATTACAAGTCCTCACATGTCCTCGCAAGTCCTCACAAGTCCTTACAAATCCTCACAAGTCCATCACATGTCCTTGCAAGTCCTCACAAGTCCATCACAAGTCCTCATATAACCTCGCAAGTCCTCACAAGTCCCCACAAGTCAAATCACAAGTCCTCATAAGTCTTCACAAGTCCTCGCAAGTCCATCACAAGTCCTCGCAAGTCCATCACAAGTCTATCACAAGTCCATCACATGTCCTGGCAAGTCCATCACATGTCCTGGCAAGTCCTCACAAGTCAAATCACCAGTCCTCATAAGTCTTCGCAAGTCCATCACAAGTCCAAACTGGGTCCCCGAGAGACCATCACAAGTCCTCACAAGTCAATAACAAGTCCTCACAAGTCCTTGCAAGTCCTTACAAGTCCTCACAAGTTTTCACAAGTCAAATTACAAGTCTCACAAGTCCTCTCAAGTCCATCACAAGTCTTTGCAAGTCAATCACAAGTCCTCTGGACTGATGAACAGACTTGTGATTGACTATGGACCTGACTTGTGCTGGACACAATTACAACATTCAAAATTAACTTTGAAGTATGGTTAAGAGTGTTATTTTAGAGTATTAGTTTTGACAATTGAGAAATAAAATTTCATCTTAATTCATTATTATCTTAGAATGCTGATGTGTACGGCTGGCCAGCTACTATAACTCTAGGGGTAAGTTTTGAATGACATGAATTTCAAATTGCATCAAAATGTTTTTCTTGGAAAAAAAAGAGAAAAATATGACCAATCAAATTAAAAAGTGGACAAGGCAACTTTTACAGAATTTAGAGTTCTGTTTTGCAACTCGTGGGGGTGTAAAAAAATTTGTCAAATTAATTTAGATTCAGGGCTTTTTCGTCAAACTTCCTTTTTTTCACTAGCTTGGGAGCCTTCTCGCTGACGTGATGATCAGGGAAGTCAAGATCAATGTTAACATGGCCAACAGCAGGAAAGACAAGTAAGTAATAGCAAGACTAGGCAAGTCTAATAAAGCTGGTACCAGAGTACACAATTCAATTCAATTGATTCAGAATAGCTATTCACTGGAAGTCTTTATGTGCATCTGGTCTACACACTGGGCCGGATTTAGCCATTCATTGGCGATACGGGTAATCCTATACAATAGCACTGCTCGGTTCACAAGTGACAGTCAGTGGGATATGTACAACGAGGACACTAGGCTGGCCCTCTGGGACCAGCAAAAATTAGTTTCGTATCCTGAAAACAAAAACGATCCTTAACCCTTTAATTCTGGTACCGCCCCAAACCGCAACAGCATTGTATGGTTCTTTGGATTCATCAGGGAATTTAGGCAATGTAGTATAATGTTATATAATGTTATACATTGTAATACAATGTAATACTTCAATGTAATATAATGCAATGCAAAGTAGTGAAATGTAGTGCAATGTAGTACAATGTAGTGCAATGTAGTACAATGTAGTGCAATGTAGTACAATGTAGTATAATGTAACACAGTTGCTAATGAAAAAATGAAATCATCAATTTGTGTCTTTTCCAACAGAAAGATGATCCCGGCTCTGTACTACATGTACACCTATAGGAGTTTCAAGCAAGTTGGATATGTTAAGGTACACCAAGTTTTTGACTTAACAGATTTTATTGAGAATTTGGAATTGTTAACTTGTAGTCTGGGTACTCCACTTCAGGAGGGTCAAACACGTACCTCCTCAGGATGTTACCCCCATTTGTACCTTATTACAATGAATTGATTGTCTAACAATTACTTTGGTCATTATATCTACAGGTATATAGTACAGATTGAAGTAAAACAAACCAACAAATTTGCAACGTCTTTTGCCGATTGCCATAGTATCTTTGTTGTACTTTTTCTACTTTATCAAAAGTACTTTGTCATATATGTTTTGTCTCGTCTGAACACTTGTAAAATTCTTTCCTACCTAGCCGCATCCATCACTTGTGGAGTTACTACAGCAGGCCAAGAAGTCCCAAATGCCATTTGAGAGCAACCTCCTACCAATGTTGACTCCGCCCATCCCTTGGACCTCCGTCAAGTTTGGCGCCTATCCTCTCAGCACTAGTAAGTTTCCACAGCAACCTGTTAAATTTCCTGAACCAAAGTTCATTTTCAATGATGGAGACATGAAAATGTTCTAATCCTGGCCTATTTTTTTTGTCCACAGCTAAGATCATGCGTTGTAGGGACGGAACGCCACAGCATCAACTACTGCTGGAGAAGTCCAAGTCCGCTGAGCTGTATCCGGTCTTAGATTCTCTCAATCAGCTCGCAGCTGTGCCGTGGAAGGTTAACAAACCTGTAAGTCGCAAGGAAAGGTCTGAAAATATATTTAGCGATAGAATAAGAAGTTCGGAAGATATAGAGCCCCTTTAATGTGACGTCACGTGACACATGATGATGTCATCATGACGTCATTGTTTGGCAATCACCTTCAGATGAGATTTAAAGGTTTGCATGGTGGAAAGATACTAAGACAAGATAAGTTTGCGGTAGCACCATGTGAATAAATCTCTTTTGTGAGTATGTGTGGTTCTGAAAAGAACCGGAGGGATTCCTCACATGGTGCTACCGCAAACTTATCTTGTCTCAGCACCTTCAGGTGATGCTCAATGTGTGTGCCAAGTTTGAAGTTTATCGAATTACAAAAAGTGTAAAAATGGGGTGTAGGATAAAAATGTGTACAAAGTCTATGGAGAAGAATGCAAAAAGAAAAGAAATTTGAACGAAAACAATAGCTGTTTCAACTCATTGCCGAAACAGTAATCAATAAATTAATGTTTTCCTCCATTTCAGTATTTTAATTTTTTAAAACTTCAGCATTTGTGTCTGTCTGCTTTGTGATAAAAAACTGATTTTTTTTCTTCTATTTTTTTTCCTTTAGATTCTGGATGTTATTATCTCAGTTTTCAGAGACGGTGGGAGTGAAGTTTTGGACATACCGCAACTAGCATCTGTGCTGCCATCCATGCCCAAACCAACAGGGTACAAAATGTTTTTCTAAATTCATTTTTTTTTTAAAGTTCATCAATTTCATTCCTGCCCTCATGAATTCAGAAAGAAATGATACAAGGCAAGCCAAAACTGACAGGAATGTTGTGGATAGAGGGCAGGGTATTAATTTTTGAGGGAAATTTGGGGGTAAAACACGGATGACAAAACACAACCAAGTAAAGATGGTGATTACCGTGACGCACCGCGAATGCGCAAAACCGTATTGATTCGCATGGCATCAACTGTAAAATGCGTAAAGATATCACAGAAAGATCCCGTTCTCAACTAGAAAAAAATAATAGTGTCCTACGAATTCAAGCGAAGTCTGCTTTAGGTTGCATTTTGGAATAATAAAAATACTCTTGACTCTGCCAAAACTGAAAGGGAGGGTTGTAACACACAATTGCCACTTTCGAAGCTCATAACTTGTTCATCTTTAGTATGATGTTCTGATTGGTCCGTTCGGATTAACAGAGAGGCCACTCAAGACGAATTGACAAAGGTCCAACACGAGAGGGCAGCGCTACGCAAGAAGCTAGCCGAGATGCACTCGCAACGCATGGACATGCTGTACAAGCTGTCCATTGCTGATAAGGTAAATATCAGTTTGTCTACAAGTAAACTTGAATGCTTGATCCTGATTGGTTGATCCATAGCAACAACAATATTCCATCTTCTATGGTCCGTATACCTCGCGGGTATTGCTCTGTTCCCAATGTATATGTTCCGCAATTTATCACCACTAGCGTATAGTACAGTGTTTGCCTTTGTACACTGAGAGGTGTGCACGCCTTAAGATTCTCCATTTTGATTATCATTGTGAGCCTTAAAATGTATTTACCATTAGTTAAAGTTCTAATTACAGTCGAACCCTGATAAGAAGATCAATGTTAATACAAGATACTGCTAATAACAAGCAAAATTTTAGGTCCCAAGTCTCTGTTTTTCTTTGTTTTCCATTACTGTTAATACAAGGTACCTGTTATAACAAGGTAATTGGTAAAGTCCCAAGGACCTTGTTATAAAGGTGTTCGACTGTATTTTGAGAGACCAGGTTTCATAGCAAATGAAGCTGTTTTGGGCTGAAAATATATATACTGTATGTGAAATACACCTCAACTACATCAAATCGGGTTAAAAAAAATTTGCCCCCTCCCAAAAGAAATCAACAAATTGCAATCTACCTACCCTAATTTGAAACAGCTTGTAATCAGAAGTTTTTTTTTTGCCTAAATAATTATGCATTACATATCAAGTTATGATCGCATTTGGTACTTTTACGTTTAGTATCGCGATGAGGTCATGTGGTTTCCACACAACATGGATTTCCGCGGTCGCGTCTACCCCTGCCCGCCGTACCTGAATCACATCGGCAGCGATGTCAGCCGGAGCACTCTATTATTTGCGAAGGGGTTACCGTTAGGAAAGGACGGGCTGGATTGGCTGAAGATTCATCTGGTGAACCTGACGGGACACAAGAAAAGGTAAAGATATTTAATTTTTGTACAACAAATAAAGAGAAGATTCGTACAGACAGTTGATTGAACTAAAAGGCACTATCAGAACTTTTCAGCTTAAAATTTCAGGAAAGAAATACTCTCTTTTTTACAAATAATTTTAGTAACAAAAGTTTATTACATTGACAGATGTTCATTGGCTGAGAGATTAGCATATGCAACTGAGATGCTGCCAGAGATTATCGACTCTGCTGAAAATCCGCTGAATGTAAGTTCATAAAACTTTGAAAGTTTTTTCTTTTTGTTGGTCACAGAGGGCCACCATAGTGTCCTCTTTGTATATACAGACGTCTCTCGTTAATACAAACTCACTCGAACCTGGCCAGAATGTTTGTTGTACCAGAATTTTATATTAAGCAGAGTGCCCGTCCCATTCATTGTGCACATAATATGCACAGTCAGGACCAAGGCTTCATGTTTGCTATAACCAGAATTCGTATTAAGTGTTTGTATTAACGAGAGTCAAATGTACAAATCGAACTGACTGACCGACTGACTCCCCAACTGACTCCCCGAACAACTGACTGATTGACTGTCACGTGTGACGAGAGCCGGGCAGTGCTATTGTATAGGATTACCCTAGACCAGATTCCTTAAAAAACTACCAGTCAATAGCATTTTGGAATCAATTGAACATAATTTGGTGTGCTTTGGGGCTAGCTTTACTAGGCTTGTCTAGTTTTATAATTGGTTTGCACTTCTGGTAATTGATTTGTATTTCAAAATTTTGCAGAAGGTTTCATAGTTTTTTGTGACTCTTTTGTTTTGTTGTTTAGGGGTTTGGTTGGTGGACGACCGCCGAGGATAAATGGCAAGTCTTGGCTTGCTGTATGGAGATCAATAAGATCCTGAATCACGCTGGGCACCATAGTACATACGTCAGTCATCTGCCGATACATCAGGTAGGGAGAAATATAGAGGGATAGGGTTAGGAGTGTGGAGTTATGGGATGGGATGACAGATGGGGTGGGGAAAGGGGTGATGGATTGGGTGGGGGATGGCGGGGTGATGAGGAAAGGGTGGGGAATGGGGTGATGGATAGGGTGGGGCATGGGGTGATGGATAGGGTGGGGAGATAGTGGGATTGGGAAGGGGTTGGGAATTGTGTGATGGATAGGGAGGGGGATGGGGTGATGGATATGGTGGGGGATGGGGTAGGGGTAGGGGTAGGGGTAGGGTGGGAGATGGGGTGAGGTATAAGGCGGGGGTGGTTGGGATACGGTAAAGAATTATGAATAAAGGCTTTACTTTGGGGGCGTTTGCGCACAAACACACATCCTGTAAGTGGACTGGTTGACATCCCTATATTATTGATACTTAAAGGGGGTGGGAACCAGTCAACACTACGGGAACCAAATTATTGTCAGGCCGAAAATCATTCAAACTTTGTAAAGAAAGTATTTCACAACAATAAACGTGGGCCAATTTTTCGGTCAAGTGAGTAACATTTGTATTGCTAGAAAAGTAGCATTTTAAAAATCAAATCTATTTTAAGGTGAAACTAAAAAAAAAATCATGGAAGGTATATCTTTAATTACTGATTTCTATTTTCCAGGATGGTTCATGTAATGGTCTCCAGCATTACGCGGCGTTAGGCAGAGATGTCATCGGAGCGCAGCAGGTTAATCTGAGTAATACGAAGGTGCCACAAGATGTTTACAGCGGTGTGGCAGAAATGGTAACTATTTCTGAATTGATGTAAATGTAACTGATATTAATAGAATCATGAAGTACATTTTTCAATTTTTGTGAGTAAACACCTTCAATTATGCACCTCCTATTGTCCTCCTTTGGAGTGTGGCCTAGTGGTTAGGGTTTGTGACTCGTGATCAGAGGGTCAGGGGTTTGAATCCAGCTGTTAGTTACTTGTTGTGTCCTTGGGCAAGCCACTTCACCCCAACTTGCCTCTCTCCACCCCGGAGTATAAATGGGTACCCGCAAACCTGCGATGGACTAGCATCCCGTCCAGGGGGAATAGAGATATTCTCAGTCGTTTCATGCCACCTATAAACCTTTGATAAATGCCAGTTTGAATTTTGGTCATGTTGCTTCAGGTTGAGGATATTTGCAAGAAGGATGCTGAAAGCGGGATTCCACTGGCTCAGATGCTACAGGGACAAATCCATCGCAAGGTAGGCCAGTGTGGGTATAAGTTAAGCCAGGGATTGCAGTGGATGTTTCCTCAGGCAAGACACTTCGTTTGGGGCTGCGCCATGTTAGGGGCCAGGACACATCAGGGGCCGTGCCTCGTTAGGGGCTGCGCCACGTTAGGGGCCAGGACCCGTCAGGGGCCGCGCAACATTAGGGGCCGCGCCACGTCAGGGGCCGGGCGACATTAGGGGCCACACCACGTCAGTGGCCGCACCACATTAGGGGCCGCGCCACATTAGGAGACATCAACACAATTTTGAACTTATGTTACTTCTTCCCACCCAGGTTGTCAAACAGACAGTTATGACTGTGGTTTACGGAGTGACGCTGTACGGAGGCAAGTTGCAGATTTTGAAGCAACTGAAGGAAAATGGCGACATCCCGCCGGAGCAAATGCAGTACGCTGCTGGATATCTGGTGCTCAAAGTCTTCCACAGTCTACGCAAGATGTTCACCAAGACCAGAGAGATACAGGTTAGTTAATTTTGTGGATTATTGCAGATCAATACAGTTTGAGGGGAGTAAAAACGAACAAAGTATGTTACGAGCCAATATGGCCCATCAGGCCGGTGTTTATCTCCGGTTTCCTTGGCACGAAACGACAGAGAATATTTCTACTCCCCCTGGATGGGATGCCAGTCCATTGCAAGTTACTCCCCAGCTAATGTCGGTATCCATTTAAACTCCTGGGTGGAGAGAGGCAAGTGGAGGCGAAGTGGCTTGCCCAAGGACACAATATATGGCAGGCAGCTGGATTCGAACCCCTGACCCTCTGATCATGAGTCACGAAGATCCTACTTTAAAATAATAATAATACCGGAGTCTTATATAGTGCATGTATCTACCAACAATTAGGTACTCAAGGCGCTGGTGATTATGTCTATTTTTAAAGACAGGTAAATGAAGTTTATGAGAAATACGAGACCCATTATGTAGCACCTTGTAAGGGTATACAAGGTGCTGCGGCACATATTGCAGCCACTGCCAGAAACACCGGGGCAAACTCTTTCTCTTTAATGACAAGTGTTACTGGGTTCTTTAACATGCATTACACAACGCACCAGACCTACGGCTTTACGTCCCATCCGAAGGACGAAGCAGTAATGGTAAAAAGCCTTGCTCAAGAGCACAAGCACCATGTTCCCCGTCAGGATTTGACCCATGTACCACGGCACACGAGTCAAACACCATAACCACTGGACCATAACACCCCAAAATACCATGATACCATTATCATCATAATTCTTTGACAAGGGCCATGACACAGTAGCTTTTAGCCTAAGGAAACGTGTATGCACAGAGCTAAGGAAATAGTTTTGGGCGTATCAGCTTTATATACGCACTGATTGTGAACACAAATGTAATACAGCTCCGTGGTAATAATATTAAGTGAAATGATACGGAATAATTGAAAATTGATATTTTCTCTTAGGACTGGTTGACGGAGTGCGCCTGGCTGATCGCCAAGGCGGGACAGACGGTAGAATGGGTCACGCCGCTGGGTCTACCAGTGGTCCAACCCTACCACAAGAAGAATCTACGAGTTATCAATCATGCCGATCATATCATGTATCATGAAGATCGTAACGATTCCACTGAGTAAGTCGTGAAATTCTTAAATTAAGGCAATACAGGGAGTAACAGGGCGGTTTGGACGCGGTACAAGGAGTAACAGGCAGGGTGGTTCGGGGCGGTACAGGGAGTAACAGGCGGGGTAGTTTTGGGCGGTATAGGGAGCAACAGGCAGGGTGGTTTGGAGCGGTACAGAGAGTAACAGGCAGGGTGGTTTGGGGCGGTACAGAGAGTAACAGGCAGGGCGGTTTGGGGCAGTACAGGGAGTAACAGGCAGGGTGGTTTGGGGCAGTACAGAGAGTAACAGGCAGGGTGGTTTGGGGTGGTACAGGGATTAACAGGCAGGGCAATTCGGGGCAGTACAGGGAGCAAAAGGCAGGACAGTTTGGGGTGGTACGGGGACTATAGTATAAACAGTATAATTCATACCATTGTAACTGCACTGTCGGTTATCAAAGCTTTTTCACAATTTCTCTCTTTCTATACAGACGACCTGACACCATCAAACAAAAGAACGCCTTTCCTCCAAATTTCATTCATTCCCTCGACTCTACTCACATGATGTTGACTTCACTCTACTGCCACAGAGCAGGTATCGACTTCGCATCAGTTCACGATTGTTTCTGGACTCATGCCTGCTGCATCTCTGAAATGAACAAAGTAAGTGCAATAGCGCCCTCTATTGACAAAGTTGTAAATTGAGAATATGTGTTTATGGGCTCAGAAATAATTTTTGTTTTTTTGTTTTTGAATGCATCTTTGTGACATATTTGACTTTATTTTCAATATCATTTTGCCGTTTAATTTTTGTTGTGAATTTTGGTAATTGTTCGTTCATTTCAGATTTGCAGAGAGCAGTTTGTGAGACTTCATAGCGAGGAAATTCTCCAGGATCTAGCCGACTTCCTGATGCACAAATATGGCCATTTGTAAGTATTCACTGGGAACAAAATAACAGCCAACAAGACTAGACAAGTTTGTCAGTGAGATAGATTCAATCTTATTCACAAGCGACAGTCAGTCAGTGAGATAGGTAACCAGTTTATTTAGCAAGTGACAGTCAGTCATGAGACAGGTAACCAGTCCAATTCACAAGTGACAGTCAGTCAGTGAGATAGGTATCCAGTCTAATTCACATGTTGCAGTCAGTCAGTGGGATAGGTAACCAGTCCAATTCACAAGTGGAAGTCAGTCAGTGAGATAGGTAACCAGTTTAGTTCACAGGCATGCAACTGGGAATTTAGGGAAAAAACAGGGAAAATTCCAAACCACACAAGACTTCCTACAGTGTTTTTCAATTTGTAATTGCATTCATGAGAAGTAAAAAAACGAGGAAACCAGCGGATCCGAGGAAAAGTTGCATGACCGAGTTCACAAGCATCAGTGAGAGACTTAAAGAAGTCTAATTCACAAGTGACACTCAGGCAATCAGTCAGTTGGTCACAATAAGACAAAAATCTTACAACTTGCATTTTCTTTTGCAACGTCTCACACTTAACTTTTCTCTTTTCTTCATTTTTTTTCTCGAAAGGCACATATGCAGCACTGCCAAGTTGCTCAAGACGAACCCGGAATTTAAAACCATCGGAGATTTCATCGTCCAGGTTCCCGAGAAAGGAGATTTCAATCTCAAGAAAGTCCTGCAATCAACGTTCTTCTTCAGCTAATAAAACAGAAATTTAGAACATGCTGCCTTATTTTAATGATGAAATTTTGCGTCCGGAAGATGTAAATTCAATCTTGGTTTCGACAGTCCCCAAAATAATTTTGTAATCGATGTATACTCGTTATGAGGACTTGCCAGAAACAAATTCACTAGCTTTTTATTAATACTCGGGTGGGACTCGAACCAACAACCTCAGGCTTAATGTCTTTCTTGCAAACCTTTGGAACAGAGTACAGTTACAATATTATGTAAGTGAAGGGCAAAACTTGAAATTGAATTTTTGAGTGCTGACTACTTGACAAAAATTAACATTGGAAGTGATATTTAATGAAAACTAATACCAGGTAAATTTGTTTGTCTGATTAAAAATCAGTTCAGAATAAAGCATTCTACATGTTTATTAATATTGATATTAAAGGCCAATCACTGGTATTTTATGTAAACTCAGGAACTTTTTGAACAACTTACTCAGATTATGTGTAGGGAATTTGTTCAGGGGAATAGGTTATATTTTGCACCCTATGCGGCCTGTCTATAAAACAGCATTTTCTGGGTAAAAACACCAGACAATTCTTGTTAATTGAAGCAGTTTTTGGTAACTTTACTTCAAGCTCAATATTGAAGATTGGAAAGGTGTAATTTAATACCAATGTGTGAACTTGCGTAATAAACTTTGGTTCACAACTGAATCTGGAAAATGAAGCTGTTGAAGTGCCCTTATTTACTCATGAATAAAGGCTATTGATAGTTTAACAGAAAAGAATTGCTCAATTGTTTTGAATGTAAATCACTCATAATTAACATATCTTGCTTTTGTGGAACTGTTAGTAAAATCGCAAATGATTCCCAACATTCACCAGTAATCAAGCATGCAACTGGGAATTTAGAAAAAACGAGGAAATTCCAAACCACACAAGACTTTGTATAGTGGTTTTCAATTTGTAATGACATTCATGAGAAGTAAAAAAAAACGAGGAAATCAGCCGATCCGAGGAAAAGTTGCATGCCTGAATAATATAAAATGTGTGTGATTATTAAAGGCAAAGTTTTGCACGCTAAATTTCATAGGCCAGTTATGTTTGTGCTGGTTCCTGACTGGGCCCCGGGCAGTGCTGTCATATAGGATTACCCTGTTACGCCATGAATGGGCTAAATCCGATCCATTGTGTAGACCAGATGCATGAAAAGACTTCCAGTGAATAACCATTCTGAATCAATTCGGGCAATTCACAATGCAGTGCGCCACCAAGAGTTTGACATGGAGAGTCCATTTTTCAAGTTTACGATCGACAAAACATGGTCCATATGAATGAGTATCAGTAGACAACTTGAGCTAATATGTTATAGATTGGGGCATAGCATTCTGCCGCCTTAAAAAACCACCAAGTTAATAAAAAAAAAAAAAAGGCAAACAGATCCTCGAATCATACGCTAAAAATGTTAAAATGTCCTGCGCTGCGAATTTGTTGACCATCTCCCACAATGCACTGGGAAAAATGAACTCTCCGTGGCAAACTCTTGGTGGCGCACTGCATTGTGCATCGCCCGAATTGAATAGAATTTTGTGCACTTTGGGACCAGCTTTACTAACATGCTCCGTTCATTTTGTAATGCAATAAAAGTACCACTGTCCTCATATGAAAACTTGTACAGGCGAGTCTCGTTAATACAAACTCGTTCTGACCTAGCCATATTGTTTGTTATATCAGAATTTTAAGGGGAACATCAGTCCCATTCATTGTGCACATAAATGCACAGTCGGGATTCAGGCTTTATGTTTGTTATAACCAGACCTTTGTATTAACAGTTTGTACTAACCCGATTCGACTGTATTTACACACCATACCCAAAAACTCAACAAGCAAAATTATGACCAATTTTTTTATGAAATAAAGAATCAGTGTAAACACAGTTGTAAGTTAAAGACAGATTTTTATACACTCTTTACATTTATAATCATACAAGGTAGTTGCTACTCAACCAAAATGACTGTTCTCAGTCCAATTCAACCAGTCCATTCATAGAAAATATTAATCCAAATCAATCATTCTCGTCTACTTATTACATTATCTTTTATACACGTGCACAAAGTTGTTAATTTTATGTACAATCAAACATTTTTTTCCCTTTCTTTTATATAATAAAAGAAATATATATAACATGGAGAAGACAGTGTGGGTTGCGTTATTTTGTATAAATTCTTTGTTTTTTTATACAAATAAAAGATATGTACACTTTTATCCATTCTTTTTCAAATAAAAAGTGGAAAGATGAGAACGCATGGAACTAATACGAGTGTTGGTACTCGTTCTTCTGATAGACTTCGTGCACAAGTACCCCCTCAAGAGTTGAAGGGAGACCACTGGAAGGGACACTTGAACGCACAACCGAAAAATAAGCCGTGCATATTTGTGCCATATGTGCACAAACCAGTACGCCACACGGTGTGTCCACGTGACTTTAGATGGTGGTCAAAATGCGCAACTGTTCGTGCATGGCGTCCACTGGAACCCCACAGTAACTAATTCATTTCAAACAACTGATGAAATTTTTCGCTTAGCTGTTTTTTTCTTTGCAGAGTAACTAGAAGGAACAGAAATACACAGTGCATGCATGTTGATCCATTTCTAAGAACTTCAAACTTGGTATGTGTAACAACACTGTTGTACAGATTCAGACTACATTTCTTTTGACTTCAATATAGGAAACTATTATTCAGAGGACTTTTTTATAAGACCACAAATTCTTAAGATAGGCGGTACATGACCATGTCTGAAAGGAGTCAATACTTCAACCAGAGCCAAAACTAAAAAAACAGAGGGTTGCGACATGAGGGGTAACAATTTCCGATGCCATTTTAGGTCCAAGAATTGGCAAAAACATTCTGTCACGAGATTCTGGGATTATTTTGCAATGATATTGTCAACATTAAAAACCTAAACCTCCTCAATCCTCCAAAATCTTCCAGGCGGTGAAGATTTTGGAGGATTGAGACTGAAGGGGGAAAAAAAGTGTCGGTTGATTTTTGAAGATGCATCGAATTCTAAGGCTGTACCCAGCATTGTTTATGCTCAGCCATGCATAATTGAGCCCTGCATTACGCTCGATATCATCCACACTGCTTCTGAATGTAATCAGCACTGCCTCAACCATTAACAGTGATTGTTGGAGTGTTTTGAAGGATTGAGGCAATGGTCACCCCTCCACTGAACTAAATTCAAGAAATAACAGAGGATTGAGGCTGAATCACATTTTTACATGGTGGCAATTGGAGGATTTGGCAGGATTGAGGATGGTTCCAAATCAAAAGGGCCTAGGGGGTAGGGTTAATCCCAGCAATTTAGAGAAATTGCACCAAAGCCCCATAGCGTTACCTGACACTACGCGAGCCAAGTTGGACCTATAATGGCGTCCAAATTGATAGTTGTCGCAACTCTCTTCACATGCAGCTCTGACTTGAACATGTCATCAGTGTAATATAAGAACAGCCTTTTAGGTTGGAACTTCTAAACAGCAGAAGTATCATTAACTTTCACCCCCAGTGTTAGTAATTTTCCTTAATGACACAACGGGTCTTCTGAATCAGACTTTGAACAGATCTATTCAGAAAAATCAGTAACAGTTTTCAAATTGTTTGCAGATATCATTACAGAATTTTACAGATTAGAAAAATAGTGTCATACTATGATTGTCCGTCAAATATACCACAGCAGCATTGACATCGACCCTACGCACGGCAAACCTTTTCTCGATATTCCACACTAATACCTGTACACTATTTTCAGATTTTCTCAAATGCCTTCAATGTTCTATCAATTTGTAAAACCTCATGAACATACATAATTTCCAGCACTCCCTGCACCTCAATCATCACAGAATGAAGTATTACTATACCTCGTACATATTCATGACCGAGAGACGGATTCTTATTGGTTCATTCACCATCACGTGTCAGCCGCTAGTTTTGCTGTTTACCAAGCGCACACGCTAGGATTTACGCACTTTGTTAATAAGCATGCTTGGTAGACTATCCATGCGCTAATCTTCCAAGCATGTGCTATACTAAGTAATCATGCGCGAAGTAAGCATGCGCGAACATCGCCCCAGCTGCATGAAAACATGGCGCCACACACACAACGTTTTCCTTAAACTCGGCAAAATCTTGGTGAATATGTATGAGGTATTCATAAAACAAATATAACATGGCTTAGTTTAAGTGGATAGTCGAAATAAGCTCCCTCAGGTATTGGACGTTGACAAACTAGTTCCCTGAGCTTTGCCTCGGACAATAGTTTGTCAGCCTCCAATACCTCGGGCAGCTAATATCGACTATCCACCCTCAAACCATGGTATATTTGTATATTGCCCTTAAAGCATCTTCCAGTGACTACCCTTTTTAAGCTTCACAACAAATATCCATTTTGTGGTACTCTTGTCCAACATGCAAGACTTCGACCAAAGTAGCCCCATAGCAGATACAAGGCACATTACTGTCAATTTCGTCAACAATCAAAACATTCGTTTTGGTATAATTTCTCATTTACACATTATCATGTAGTGCATGCCTCAGGTCCGAGTCGCCGTCCTTCATAAACATGCGATTATTCTCCAGTTGAAAATATATCCTCATTTTGTATTGTTATTGGTAAATTTACAATTGTAAATTTGAAAGTTAGTATCAAGTTTGACTCCTTATCTAAGATCTGGGCCCAAAAGGCTGATCTGTGGATCTGGTTAGTGCAAGTCCTTGCTTATTGCAGACAATTTTCAATTAATGGTAAGCATATTCTATGGGTTAGCAAGGATTAAGTGCTTACAGGGCCTGGGTGACCACAGAGCAGACAATTTTCAATTAATGGTAAGCATATTCCATTGGTTAGCAAGGATTTAGTGCTTCACTGCTTACAGGGTGACCACAGAGTTTCTTTGCTAGTTCTGTAAGCACGGAATGGTGATAAAAATTACGTGCTTAGCAAAAGCCACAAAATTTGACCTGAATAAGAAATTGTGACATGGAACTTGAACACGTAGTATTTATGCATATTGAACATTGTCAGGCTTTCCATTAGTCTGAGATCAGGCATTCAGGTGTGCAGAGTCACGGTCGAGCGTCTGATATATCCTAACATGCAAATTTTATGCAACCCCGCGTGCCAGCCAATCTGAGTCGACTTTACAAACTGTGACGTCACTTCGATTACAAATGTGGACTAAGCTGTTCATTGGTCAAATTGGATGCCATGTTACGGGTTACTGAAAACTCAATATATAAGGCGCCCACTGAATGGTCAGAATTTCGAGGTCAAGACACAGTGTTGTTTTGCATAATTACTCGCCGACTCACATCATAGACAATTGCTGTGCAAAGGGATTATTCCATAGACTAACTTTCCACTGTCTTCCGGTAAAATACAATATTTTCAAAACGATAATTGACATATAAACACAAAGCTGCTCAAATTTCTGGGAAGATTGTGAAATTCAATACAAAAATAAATACCTCTAGGTGAGCTAGATAAAACTATACACAACTAAAAGTGCAATCTGTATTAACTGCTAGTGATGCTTTCTTCATTCTTATTTCATAATCACCATCTTGTGATTCCAAGTTAATAGATGAAATAATTTCAAATTTTTCAAAAACGGCACACAAAAATCTGAAAGAAAAAAAATATAGTTAAGGCCAATTTTTTTTTTTTTTTCGGTCTCTGGTCAGACCAAAGTTCCGGCATTGACACAGGGACGCGGCTTTGTTTTTATTCTTCTTTTTTTTTTTTTTTCTTCAAGCTTCGATTGTACAGACAATTAAGGTAGGGTACTATTTTGCTTTTTTGGTGTCCTCATGTACATTGGTGTCCTCCATGATTTGGCTTGGTGCTCTCGATCATTTGCCTTGGTGCAATTTTCCATTCCTTGGTGCTCTTTGGTAAAAAAATTGAGGAGGTGCGGCAATAGAGGGCGCTGTTGGAGCTACCGCGGAACATTTTGGAAAAGAAAAAGATTGACGCGCATGATTAAAATCGACCAGAGACCGACTTTTTTTTTTTTTGGCCTAACTGTGGAATGTTTCTAGTTGGGATTTACGAAGTTTATGTCATTTATTCTAGCTATTTTTAAGTAAGATTTGAGGCTTTGCATGGTGAAGATACTAATGAATGAAAAGTTTGTGGAAACACCATATGGGAATAATAATAAGCCACTTGGCATCCCCACAGGATGCAACTTCACACTTCATCGATTTTGCATAAATGTGTTTACCTTCTTAGAGTTTAGGCACTCTCCTGAAGACGGTCAGAGCATACTGAGCGGAACGTCCAGTTCATACCTCTGGTTCTTTCCTTCTCTTAATTTGAGAAATCATTCCCACATGGTGTTTCTGCAAACCTTTCATTCATTACTAACTATATTTGTTGATTTTTTTTGACAAATTGGACATGCAGATTTGTGCTTTGTGGCTCAGGAATTGAATTGTCTTTGTGCTTTTGTACAAAATAAAATTCCGAAAATGAAATGCCCAGCTTAAGACCTCTGCAAAACAAAACAAAACAAAAACAAAAAGTGGTTGGAACAATTTAATTATATTCTTTGAATAAAATAAACTCCTGAAAGTTCACAAGCAATCCTTCAATAACAACGATATGGCTCTGATCTCCTTAATACCATGGTAACAAAATATCCTTTCATTAAAAAACAAAACCCACACACACAAAAAAGAAATCTTATGTACATGAAATTAAAAATCACTAATATTAAAGCCAGCCCAACCACGATGGAGGAGTAATCATATGAACGAGATGATTGGTTGACTTTCTGGTCAAGCTGCTGCAGCGGTAGAGGGGGCTGTTGGCAAGATGAATAAAATCTTGGGAACATTGGCGCTGGGATCCGAGAAATTCCAAGAATGCCTCAGGCTGCTTTATTCAAGCTTATGCACACACAAGGTATGCTCACTTAGAATTTCTTGCCTCCCAGCGCCAAAGTTCCCAAGATAAGCTTTTATTTATCTTGTTGATAGTAGTGACTTAAAGAGAACAAAATCAAACTTCAGTCTTGGAACGTGACTAAACTCATTGATGCTTTGCTTTTATCACAATGTACTCAATTTTAACTGTAGTAGTTTTTTTTAAGGCAGTTACTTCTTTTCTTTATGGATCTTCTGTTTTTAAATGCTGTACCTATCATTACTACCCTGACTTTGACTATCTCCTCCAGAGCAGTCAATATTCATACTATGCTATCCCTCAGAAGTCAATAGTAATACTATGCTATACCCCAGTGGTCAATATTCATACGATGTTATCGCACTCAAATGTGTCTTCCTCCTATTTTGAACCTATCTGTTTGGCCTGGCTTTTGACTATCTCCTCAAAAGCGGTCAATAGTAATACTATGCTATCCCCCAGCAGTCAATATTCATACTACGATATCCCAATCAAATGGTCTTCTTCTTAATATGCATCTTGATTGGCCTGGCTTTTGACTATCTCCCCCGAAAGCAGTCAATATTTTTACTATGCCATCCCCCAGCAGTCAATATTCATACTATGCTATCCCAATCAAATGATCTTCCTCCTCCTAATATGTACCTATCATGATTGGCCTGGCTTTGACTATCTCCCCCAACGGTCAATATTCATACTATGCTATCCCCCAGCAGTCAATATTCATACTATGCTATCCCAATCAAACGTGTCTTCCTCCTCCTCCGCTGTGTAACTGGGAACTGCCTGAACGTGCACAGTGGGGACCTGATGCGTTCTTGGCGGCTGCATGGTAGTCTGGTGCCTTGGACTGACTGATAACTGATGGTGAGGGGAGAGACCGTGGGGTGATAGACCCAGGGAAGTGGCGCTGTTGTCGGGACTGAGTAGGTTCGGCGAGCCCATGATGGAGGAGTGGCCGCCCGTGGTGGAGTTGGAGTAGTTTGAATGTTGGCTGCTGTTAAAACCACTCCCTATAAAAACAGAAACCAAATTTACATCTTTGTGATTTAATCATAACCATGCTAAATGCAACAGAAAGCAAAAGTTGTTGCCGATCGTTGCATTTAGTATTAACGCAAGTCCCACATTTCGTTGCATCTTGTTGAATTTAGCATGGTAATTGCTCATAGTGCCAAGGCTGATACAAGAGAATCCACCATTGCATTTTGTTGCGATTGGCACGGTTCTGATTTCAGGTGTGTGGGATCTTGTTGCATTTGGCATGGTAACTACTTATTGTGCCAGGGCTGCTACAATAGAATCCACTGTTACATTTTGTTGCAACAGTGGTAAAAAATTGTTGCAGACCGTCGCATTAAGTAGTCACTGAAGTCCCACGCTTTGTTGCATCTAGTTGCATTTGGCAGGCAACTGCTTATACATGTAGTGCCACAGCTGATACAACAGAATCCACTGTTACATTTTGTTGCAACAGTGGTAAACATTTGTTGCAGACCGTTGCATTAAGTAGTCACTGAAGTCCCATGCTTTGTTGCATCTAGTTGTATTTGGCAGGTAACTGCTTATACATAGTGCCAAGGCTGATACAACAGAATCCACTCTTCCATTTTGTTGCAACAGTGGTAAAAATTTGTTGCAGACCATTGCTTTAAGTAGTCAACTCAAGTCACATGCTTCCTTGCACACTGTTGCATTTGGCAGGGTAACTGCTTATAGTGCCAAGGCCGAAACAATATAATCCACTGTTCCATTTTGTTGCAACAGTGGTAAAAAGTTGTTGCAGACTCTCGCATTTAGTTGTATTTGCCTTGTTGCATCAAGTTGCATTTGGCAGGGTAGCTGCTGAAGAAGCAACATAATCCACTGTTCCATTTCGTAGCAACAGTGGTAAAAAATTGTTGCATCCTGTTGCATTTGCTTCGTTGCATCCTGTTGCATTTGTCAGGGTAACTGCTTACCAAGGCTGATACAACAGAAACCACCGCTGCATTTGTTGCATTTAGCAGGGTTCTCATTTCAGCCGTGTTGGATATTGTTGCATTTAGCAGGGTACCTACCTGTTGCAGCTGACGAGGCCGACAGACCGCCCAAACTCTGTGACAGTAGGCCTGTCTGTTGGAAGAATTGACTGAGTGAGGAAGCAAGGTCTGCGAATTGTTCTGGTGCTAGGGACCAATTCTTGAGGTCAGCTTGCTTCATACTCTCCATCAAACCTAGACAGAGAGGGAAAGCGATCATCAATTCGGGCGTTTCACAATGCAGTGCACCACCAAGAGTTTGCCACGCAGAGTTAATTTTTCCCAGTGCATTGTGGGAGATGGTGGACACATTCGCAGCGAGGGCTATTTGAAATTGTTAGCTTGTTTGGTCAATAGTTTTGTAAGAGTATGATTCGAGTATCTGTTTGCCCTTTTTTTTTTTTTTTTAACAATATGGTGTTTTTTTGGTAAGGCGGCAGAACGCTATGCCCCAATCCTTCACAAATTAGCTCAAGACGTCTACTAATTCTCAAATTGGCCATTTTTGTCGACCGCAAACCATGAAAAATGGACTCTCCGTGGCAAACTCTTGGTGGCGCACTGCATTGTGAAACGCCCGAATTACACAAACTTGTGATGGATTTACGTTACATTTTACCTTAACTCTCTGAACGTTTGTTCAGGAAACCTTTTGAATCTCCACACAGCTATTGTTTTTGTCAAGATTAAGTTAAGTGTTTATTTTTTCTTTTATTTTTCCTACTCTTTTCCAATTTTATAGATCTGATCAACTTCAAACTTGCAGAACATTGACATCATGATGATGTAATCAAGTGTCAAGAGCGTAAAAGGTGCCTTTTTTAGGTCCTATATGGCAAAAACTGTAAAAACTACCAAAAGTTAAATTTGGTTGAAACTTGGTAGGTACATAGAAAGGGACTTCGGATGATTTTGTTGATGTATGCTAAGTTTCTTGTATTTTTTGGGGGACTGAAGTAGCACTTGACAAAAGGGATCTTAAATTGCCATAAGACAATCCTCGTTATATTTTTCTTATACCACATGTATCTTCAATATTGCTGAACTGTTTTTTCCAACGAAGCTGATCAAAAGTTTTGGACTCATTTGCTGCACATTTTGCTTAACATACGTTTTAAAATACAGAAGTAAATTCAAACCTTTTTGAAAGGATGTTAACAGCTGTAGGTTGTAGATATTTAAAATGTCAACTACCTGAAAACATTGCAGTGTGTCTTATACCTTGGAACTGGGACACATCAACATCGTTCCAATTGGCCGTCCGGACGCTCTCTTTCAGGAGATCGAGATTCTGTAGCCAGTCTAGGTTGGAACTGTTGAGACTTAGGTTACCTGAAGAATTTCACAAGACGGAAAACAAGTTTATTAAAAGTACTTAATGGTAGTTTCATTTCGGAAGTCAGTACACAGCACACATGTTCTATACTCAGTGTTTCCTATGAAATGTTAAAATGAAATTCCATAACTTTTCCAGGACAAAATTAGAACTTTACACGACCAGTTCCAAGGCTGTTTTGGCATCTTAGGAGCCTACTTGGTATAGGGCTTGCTCAATGAGGGCCATCTCTGTAGCAGAACTGCAACTGCATATTTTATGCAATAAAGCACGCATTGCGCAGTGTTGAATATGTTTTAAACACATGCGCTTGTTGCTCGAAATGTGTTCGAAATATGACGCAGCCGATGCGCGTTTATGCAAGTTGACGCTCAAAATGCTGACGCCATGGATGGTCGGTAGGAAATGTCATATGAACGAGACCTATGGATTGGCCAGTCATCATACGGAGGCAAGGGACGCCACTCCCTTTCAGCCTTCCAGTTTGAAACAAGACTACTGAGCACCACAAAAGCATCACAATGGTGCACTGAACATGCACCAAGTATAGAGCATACAAGCATAAAGAGGAAGTATAGCAAACTGGAATGCAAACTGGAAGACTGCCATAGCCAAAGATTATGCATCATGATGTATGGGTTGTGCCGAATTCCCTGACGTTTCCAAATACACATGGGTCTATGAAGCCACTTCCCATAGACGCATGTGTTAAAGGGAATGTACAACATTTGCTTTTGCTGCACTTTTCAGAAATAAATGGATTTGGATTAGTATGTTACAGCAAATATTGTTAAACCGACTTGTTTCAAGTTTTGGGTTTGTAGATGCTGGAAAAAAACAAGAAAACCAATCATGTTCTTATAGTCTGGTTCCCTGACCCAACTTAAAATGAAAAGGAGCAATATATACACTTTGGGGAATTGTAAGGTCAGAGAATCAGTCTAGCACGCTTGTACCCCTATACAGGTGTGTAATCGTTTGCAAAGAAAACGCGGAATAACTAATTATGACAAATTAGGAGCACTTTTTGAAAAAAGCCAGTAATCTCCAATGCTGGTCGGCTGACCAGCGTTGGAAAAATACAATTTTTCTGAAAATGACATCAAACCAGGAGCCACGATTTTTCAGGATGCTTTAGACTGTCATTCCCGAACAATCCAGTAAAGATATTTCGCGATAATTTGATCATTTCATTTTGTGATGTTTGCAAATGTTGTATCCTCCCTCTAAGGCTGGTCGTAGCCAAGTAGCTTTCGGACATGGCCTGACTCACCTAGGTATTGCTGTGATTGCTGCAGCTGGCTCCCGTTGGGCGAGCCTACCAGCGATTGCTGTGGGGATGCAGTTGCACTATCCACCTGATGAAACTGTGACAATGGGCCATCTACAAAAAGAAACGATATTCAATAATTTCATTGAAGTTATCTGAGTTTTCAAGGATCACGCACTAGCCTAGAAGCCCTTGACAAGACTTATTACAGTAAACTCCGGCTAAACCGACATCGTACAACTCCTCAAATTGCTCAAGTCGGCAGTCTGACTAAAGTCCCGATTGTCTGTAATGCATTTCCATTGAATATTTTATTTCTAAGTCGGCTTTTATACGTCGCCATTTCGCTCAAGTTGTCGTGTTACTCTCGGTCCCCTTTCCATAAAAAGCATTACAAAATCCTTTGTGTAAGTCAGCATTCAACAAATCACGCATTGGCATCGACTTCCTGTATTGCAGTTGGCAAAATGTCGAGCGAAAAGTAGTTTCGCACGGCCCGTGATCGCTGCATGCATCGGTGTCTAAAAAGGGTGTCCTACTGCATACATCGCATATGCATCGTGAGCATATCAATACCAGTACCCCCTCTAGGCTGTACGCATGCGCTCTGTCCATTTTGGGGGTCGTCTTATTGAATGACTACTGCTGCAGTCAATGCGTGCGTGGTATATACCGGACCACGCACGCATTTAATTCGTTACTGTGCACGTACATACATGTATGTATCGTGGTCTCCATTATCAATACCCCAACTGTGATGATACGATTCGAGGATTAATTTGCTGGATTCAACTCAAGCATTAAGGAGATAATCCAGGGTAAATTGAAGCCAATTAGTGCAATGAATCATGTGTGCAAAAGACCATTCATGTAAGTCGGCAAAATGACGACTTATAGCAGATATCGGCATTCGCGTAAGTCGTCACAAATTCTCGGGTCCCGAGAGTGCCGGTTTAGCCTGAGTTTACTGTATTTTCAAAAAGGGGAGGTTTCAAATGCACTTACTCATAGAACTTTCAAATACTGATTTATATAAGCTCCTGAAGGAGGCACTGAGATCCTCGATGTTGGGGTTGGATTCAAATAACTTGGTCCCGACATCTTGGCCTGGTTGCTGCTGCTGCTGCTGCGATTGTAATATCTGCAACTGTTAAGAGGAAAACCACACCATAAACAAAGTAACACAAATTTTTAAGTGTTAACCATAGAGCTATATTAAATTACTAGAGTGCTAACTTCGTGTACAAAGTAATGCCTGCTGGGCGCATCCATGTTTGTGCACAAACCTATGGAGACCTAGACATTTTGTACGGCTTTTGTACGGCTATTTGCATATCTGCGTTTGTATTCCAAACCGGTGCGTTACCGAAGCCAATACGCCCAAACCCGAAATGCACGATCAGCAAATGAGTGTGTCATTTTGCTCTACGCAACCAGCGCAACGCGTGCGCGTATTCGCTGCAGATGCTTTTTGCCGTCACGTTTTTTGAACCGTCAATGACGCGCTTAAGTTGTTTGCGTGTCTTCTACTTGCGCGTTGCATTTAGAATACACTTTCAAAATTCAATGCATCTAATTTCATTATGTTCTACAGACACGCACATGAATTCAAAATGTCTGCGCCCAGGACGGCTTCAAAGCGTCTCCGCGCGCAGAATGAGGAGTTAGCGCTCTAGTAATTTAATATAGCTCTATGGTGTTAACACACTGTTCACGAATATTGACAATTCTAGTACAATATTTTCAATGGCATTTAAAAGGCCGCGGTACTCTTGCTATGTCCTTAATTTAGGGGATTTTTTCAAATATTCTTTTTGCTGGTGTAGTGTAAGGAAAATAGTATTGAAAGTGAAACAGCCGTAGTTATTTCAATTTACAGGGCTTTCTGTTTGTTAATGAGTCAACGATACCGCGCAAATATTACACAAACTGTATCAAAAACATAACAGACTTCGGGAATGTACAGATTTTTTTGTATATACATACTTGTGCTTTAAAAATGTACCCAACTGTAACACACAGTTGTGTTTTACTATGCTCTCGAGGACAATGCTTTGTGTTTCCCTTTGTCCCTGTAATATAACACTCTCCCATAGACTAAGCACACAACACGGGTAAAATCAACCCTGGTCGGAACCAGGGTTGAAGGCTCTACCCAGGTAGAAAATCTGAAAGCTACAACCGACCCATTTACACACTGGTGTTAGTGTGAACGAGTTTGATCAGAACCAGTTAGCTCACGATGGACGTTTAAAGATTTCAATCTGGGTAGGCGGGACAATATATGGAGTCTGGCCTAGTGGTTAGGGTTTGTGACTCATGATCAGAGGATCAGGGGTGAGAATTCTTCTGCTAGCCCTATGCTGTGTCCTTGGGCAAGCCACTTTATCCCAACTTGCCTATATCTCCACCCAGGAGTATAAATGGGTACCGGCATTAGCTGGGGAGTAACCTGCGATGGACCAGCATCCCATCCAGGGGAAAAGCAATATTCTCAGTCGTTTCATTCCAAGGAAACTGAAATATACGTCAGCCAAATGAGCCATATTGGCTTGGGACAGACTTTGGCGAGAGGATGGCGTAAACAGTGTTCCCGGGGCCTGTACCTGTTGTTGAAGTTGGGCAGCTTGACTTGGGATGTTGACACGGTTGATTTGGGCGAGCGTGGGCGATATCACACCCTGTATGCTTCCCCCGGAGCTGTGTAGACTGTCGTCAGGACTGTACGGTGACGACTGGGGAGAAAAAAAGGGAAAAACAATGACATTACATTTCTATTACTTAATGGAATCGATAGCAGATATTACGCAGGAAATCCTCACTTCCTTTCCTCTAATGGGAAATACATGTAGAAGTTACTGGATAACTTCTGACAACCAGTGTAGCAGGCATGCTGATAAACACTACTAGGAAAATTACTGCTTCTGGTAACCTGACAAATGCTAATATTTAGGTCTACAAGTTTACATGTAGGGTTGGTAAATAACCTTTATGAACGGGCAAGTGCAATGTAATTTTTCAATGCAATCTTTTGCTTTTGCCGTTTTTGATAATGCGCCTTAGTGTCCCATTTAAAGGGTATATAGGCCTACTACATTTGCTTTTGCTTTCATTTTCATTCGTGGATGGATTGAGGGTTAGTATTCTACAGCAAATATTGTTACACTGTCTTCTTTGACGTTTTGGGTTTGTAGATGCCGGACAAACCGAGAAAAAATAATCATGTTCTTGTAGTCTGCTTCCCTGACCCCACTTAAGATGATACAGAGCAATTTATAGACGTCAGGGTCAGGGAGCTGTAAGGTCAGGGAATCAGTCTAGCTGGCTTGTACCCATTCACATGTGTGTAATTGATTGCAAAGGAAATGCGGACTAACTAAATATGATAATTTGGAGAAGTATTTGAAAGAATTTTTTTCCCCCATGCTGGTCGGCCGACCAGCGTTGGAAATTGATACAAAAATCCCACTTTTCTTGAAAATGTCAGCACACCAGGTGCCATGATTTTACAGGATGCTTTGGACTATTATTCACTAGCAGTCTAGTAAGGTATTTTGTGATAGTTTGGTAATTTTGTTTTTTGATGTTTGCAAAAGATGATATTGAAAGCTTACTGATTTGGCTCATTCAACTAAAGCATTGTGTAGGTATTAATAAATATTCAGTTAGTCAGCCAGAGTAGAACACAGTTATGAGATTACAAGAACCGAAAAAAATAGATCACAATACATAAAACAAATATTCAATTCCAGTGCCGTCCATTTGAAAAAAAAAATTCCTAGCGCACATTTGTAAACAAGAAACACAATATTGGTTTCATTGTGGTTTCCTGAAGAAAAAAAACCCACACCAACAACATGTAATGAGAAACCAGAATTGGATCAACTCAAATGTTGTCTAGACTTTTCATGATCAATGGGCCTATATTTGCAGGACCAAAAAAAGAAAAAAGGTAAAATAAAACAACTTCGATCGGATCTTGGAATCTGCGGGCCAACAAATGCGTGTTCACCTTATATTGACCTTTGACCCCATAGCTGTAGGTCAGATAAAGAGGGTCACCATGGACATTTTTTTTTGTCTGACCAAGGACATGTTGACAGCGCTACTTTTAAAATTGGACATTATTTTGACCTTGACCCCGTGATGACCTTTGACCCCAGTTTGGTCATGTGATATGTTGGGGCTGGGCCACTGATACCTTTTGACAAAGTTTGGTTGAAATCGGTCAAAGTACGTAGAAGCAATAGACAATGTCAACGTTTGTTGCTAATGATGCTTTGTTGAGCTGCTACATGTACCCGCAGCTAAAAATAAACCAAAAATAACATTTTAAACCAAAAAGAAAAAAGGCGGGGGAAATAAACCAATACAAAATAAAAAATCTAAATCAATTTCATTATGTCATATTTTTATCTCACGATCTAGCACAAATTAATCAACCCACGCGGACACTGTTGCAATTTTAGGGCGGTCCATATTTTTTTAATACTTCCTGGTATACGCTTGCATGTGTCATGGTTAATAAATAGCATCACAGAGTATTTTCTATAACCATTCTGGATCACAAAAACCTTGACCTGATCTGGGCAAGGCTCTGTGGACAGTAAATTTCATAATCAATTTATATTTTAAATAACCGTGGACACAGTGACCAAAGTGGATCAGACTTCAAAGACAACAAGGTCAAGGTCATCTTTCACTTTCATGTCTATTTCTGGTACTGCATATTTTAATGCGGTGGCTGAAAATGTTTTGGAACATGAAATTTTATTGAATCTGTTTTATTTTCGTTTTTTAGGGTTTTTGTACATGTGTTATTTATATTGTGTGTCTATATTCGTACAATGTACAATGATTTTTGTGTGTAACTATAAAAATGTACATGTACATCTTCCTTGAATCGTGTTATTTTAGAATTTTCATTTTGACTACTCATAATGATATTAAGCAAACAATACAAAAACAAGTAGCAGTGCTCGCACGCCCAGTGTATGGGAAAGAATTCCATAAACGTACGCCACTAGTTTTTCCCTGGAATGACTAATCAGCTATCAGAAAGCAGTAACATGTCCTAAAAAGTGAAATTTAGCAGGGAAAATATTGAAGCATTTAGTGACAAAACAGTTAGAATTTTTCAGACCAGTCTCATAGGGTTTGTACACAGGGTGTCAAGTGACGTCCGTGTATGGAATTCTTTCCTATACGTGTATGTGTATTACCCACAACATCAACAACATAGATTTCATAAAGTAAACAACAAAATATACGTGTACCCTCCACACACACAAAATATATACAATTTCTGGTGTTCTGTTGAGGGTAATATAAAACTCTTGTTTTCACTGTAATTTTCAGAAATGGATGGATTTGGGGATTGGTGTTTAATAGCGAATATTGTTACACTGACTTGTTTAAAGTTTTGTGTTCATAGATGCTGGAAAAACCAAGAAAAAAATGTTGTTCTTGTAGTCTGATTCCCTGACCCTACTTCAGACAAAACGGAGCAATACATACTGTAGACGTCAGAGAATTGTCAGGTCAGGGAACCAGACAAGCTGGCTTTCACCTGTTCACGGATGTGAACCGATTGTGACAAAATGTGTACTAACACAATTTGGGAAATTGGGGGCAGTATTTGTTTTTTTTAAGTCACTTTTTTTCCAACGATGGTCAGCCGGTTGGATCTTTATTGGAAATAGATACAAAATTTCAACTTTTCTTGAAAATGACAGCACACCAAGTGCCATAATTTCACAGGATGCTTGAGACTATTATTCGCTTACAGTCAAGTAAGGTATTTCATAATAATTTGGTAATTTTGTTTGTTGATGTTTGCAAATGTTGTATATCACCTTAAATTCAACATGTTAAAATCTGAAGATTCAGGACAGTTAGGGGTAATGATAAACGATACAAAAATAAAAAAAATATTGAATTATTGATTTTTTTTTTTAATGTATTTGGTGTGAATTTGACCTTTTACAAGGTTAGTAGCCACTGGCTTGTGTTTCTTCCTGAGGCTTAGTGCCAGTCTAATCCCTACAGCCGGTGACCTTTGACACGAGTGGGTTTACTCATTAGGTTAATACATGCCCATCTCCCTCAATTTCCATTGTAGATTGCTCCAACCAGGGTGCACAGACAGGTGGTATGTGGAGGTACTTTTGGGTACAATTTCAAGGCGCTGCTCTACTGTTAGTAGAAAAGTTGAGCAATATTTACAGCTCAACTGCTCTGTGCTATGGGCTCTGTGCGCCAACGAACGAGGGCGCGTTTTTACCTCTTTTGAGTCTCCATGGACGGGACACACAGCGTGCGCGTACTGTATTGGTTAACGCGCGAAGTGCGCACGACTTCCTGAATGTGCAAAAGCTATCAGCCACCGCGTCTTGGCGTGAACGTCAGGCGTCGTCGGCGCGCGAATACGTTCGAATTCAACTTGCGATAGTCTCCGAGACTAATCCCCGCCGCCAATAACTTTGGATACATTTGAAATACGCAGTGGATGGATCAGGAACCAGTCTAGGTCACCCTTAACCCTCCTTTTCTGGCTGTTGATGGGATACTTGTGCATGGATTCCAAAAACCCTGAAAGTTGACCACTGGTGGTGCAATTCCGGACCCTCGAATAGCAAAATTAGCTTGTAAAAGTTGGAGTTTAAAAAATTATATCGAGTACATTAATTTCTTACGAAAATCACCCTTGGGAGAAAGGCCTTCGTAAAATTGTTACTAGCATCTCAATTTATGGTATCTGAAAAATTGTGTGACGTGAATGAAAAGTATCGTGCCAAAAATTGACCTCTCACTTGCGAAAATCTAAAATACATGTGGACTAGTGGAACTCGGAGCACTTGTACTTAAAGATGAACACAATAATGACAATGCCTGATGCTCAACTAAAGACGCAGCACATTCAAGATAAACTAAGTGGGGTGTATTTTGCGCTATACACATTGGCACCAGTATGCGCACGCAAGTACTGTGTGTGTACCGTCTACGGGGCTTTCAAAATATGGTCAAACAGCTCCCTCTTTTGTTCCCACACGGAGTCCTATAGGAAGACTTCTTACCCGATCACTGTTTCTCCTTTTTCTCAGCTTTTGTCTGGTCGGGAGGCTGTCTTCCTGGGGATTCTGGTCAATGGCCCAGTAAGAACCCTGTCAAGAGTAGCACAGTAAAAACAATGATTGGTACATTTATTAAATGATAAATTTAATTAACGATCAACAAATGTGGGAATGAATGATTCCAGATATTGATCAATGAATCTGAAATACTGTAATGATTTTAGCATGATATTTTTATGATGCATAGTAGAGAAATTCCACGGAATTATAAACATCGATGCCAACATTTCAAAATGGTCAAAATGCCACAAATGAAACATGGATATCATTTTGAAGCTTATTATCTGTATTTTATTGAACTATAGTTTATTTCTAATAATGTTCGACAGTTGTAAATGAAAAATTAATTAACCCTAACTCCATGGGCATTTTTGCTAGGATGTAACCTCAATCCTGCAAAATCCTCCAACTGCCTCCATGTAAAAATTGCACACAGCCTTAATCCTCCAAAATCCTCTATTATTTCTTGAGTGTGGTCCTTGGAGGGGTGACCACTGCCTCAATCCTGCAAAATCCTCCAGCAATCACTGTCAATATGTTGAGGCAGAGCCAGTGACATCCTGCAGCCATGCGGAGGATTTCAAGTATAATCTAGGCCCAAATTAATGCACGGCTGAGCAAAACTCCACCACACATTTTTGCCATACAGCCTCAATCCTGCCAAATCCTCCATTTTGCAAAGATGATTTTGGAGGATTTGGGAAGGCTAGGGTTAAATGAAAAAAAACCCCAAAAAACAAACAAATCCAGCAAAAATGCATGCTGTAACTCTCATGGTATGAAAAGCAGTGTGTAGATTGAACAAATATTTTGACACTTTGCCAAACTCTTATCAATAAAGGAAAACTGGATTAACACGTCTTACTGTTAGAGGTTGTCCTGCTTCCTATAATTACGTCATGCCAACAAACAGCAGGATATTGGGTGGTACATGTAATCTCGGCTGGGTCAGGTTCGAGATTGTTCCTCAAAAATAATACTCCCCTCCCCCAGCTTAAACCAAAACAGTTGGCCAAAGGACCTCATAAAGTTTTTCAAAAATGATTTAACCCTAAATCACTTCAATCCTCCAAAATCCTCATGGCGGTCTTGAAAAATAGGGCAGCTACATGTAGGTCGGACATTTTTTTTTGCCAATTTTTTTTGCTGATTGAATGGGGTATTCAATTATAGGCCAATTTAAGCCTGAACTATTTCCAATGCACTACGAAAGCTGTACAAATAACTGGCCACAAAAAGTGATACAAACTGACCTTAATTATTGTCAAAAATATTTATGGTCGAAAATTCTGAAGAATCATGGAAAAATCAGGTCGATATGCACAACACTGTCCGTACAATATTTACAGAAACATGTTGAAAACCCCTGTTTGTTTACGTTCAGTGTGGCAGCGAATTTTGTCTTGCCTAAACGCATCTCAGGAAGTGAATAAAGCCATCAAACATGTCAAATTTTGAGCACTTTCATTCAAACCCTGACTTACTGTCAGGTTCCATGCTATGTAGAACAAATACATACACTCATATCTGTCAATGTCTGTACATAGTAACGTATACTGAAGCATAAAGAATGTCCAAGTATTTCTGCAAATGCACAATTTCAAGTGTTTACTGGTTACAGACCAATCTTGAAGGCCCCTCCAATGGTGAAAGCATTGTGCTAGCTATTGTTCAAATAATCCAGTGCAAGGCCATTGCTTTGTACAATAGCGTGCACAATGGTTTCTCCATTGAAGGGGGGCTTGTCAGTGTACAGTGATCGTGATTCGTAAACAGAAAACTTTTATGATTTTATTGGTGACATTTTACACAATAAGTTTTTTTTCCAACCAATGACTAATATAGAATTAAAAAAAAAAGCATTACAATAATAAAGAACAACAATGGTAATCGGTTCTATGGGAATGCTTAACAAAAGATGACATAACCCACAAACTATTTACATTATTATTTCTTTTTATGCTTTGTGTACTTTTTCTGGTTGACTGATGTTCATTTGAAGCAATAGGATTTCAGATTCTGTGAAAAAAAGTTTGTGGGATAAAGCTACATGTCAGCATGCTCTTTACAATGGTCTCGCAGGTTTTGAAATGAATATTCACAATGACTTTCAAAGTGCAAAGAACTTCAACATTTGCCCTTTCAAACTCATTTGCCTTTGTTTGCACAACACTTTATGTCCCGTAAACAAAGTAAAATATTTAGAAATCAAAAACCACTTTCATAGAATTTGTAAACAATTAGCCAAAAGTTGTGTGAACTAAGTAAGGTAAGGCCAAGAAAATATAAAAAAATGTTGTTTGTCCTACTACATTGGGGAAAAAACAACAACAAACAAACAAGTGGGTGGGTGGATGCATAAAAAAATATTGGCTCTAAAAAAACTTTGTTAGCAAGAAAAATAGGTGAGATGATGCATAATTGTTTGTTTGTTCTTTTTTTTCAAAAAATGAAACAAAATGTCAAAAATGGAGGACAATGTTCATAAACACTAGGGGGGAGCACCATAAGTTATTTTTGTTTAATTAAAAATTAAGGTTCTGCATGGTTTTCTAGATCTGGTGGAGTCATAGGAAACAGGCATTTAATTCTTGGCCTTTGTTTTTAGATGTGCTCATTGTTGGACATGCATGACTATTTCTTTTGGCAAATTTTGTCTTGCAATCCATAAAGTTCTCTTTGACCCTAACCTTCCAAAATCCTCTTTGCAAAATGGAGGATTTTGCAGGATTGAGGCTATATGGCAAAAAAGTGTGGCTGATTTTGGAGGATTTTGTCTTAGGACGGACCTTGTGTTGTTTATGCTCAGCCATGCATACATTTAGACCTAAAGTATACTTAAAATCCTCCCCACTGCGCCAGGATGACATTGGCTCTGCCTCAACATATTGACAGTGATTGCAGGAGGATTTTGCAGGATTGAGGCAGTGGTCACCCCTCCAAGGACCACATTCAAGAAATAACGGAGGATTTTGCAGGATTGAGGCTGTATGCAAATTTTACATGGAGGCAGCTGGTGGATTTTGTAGGATTCAGGTTGCGTCCTTGCAAAAATGCCTAGGGAGTTAGGGTTACAATGTCATGTGCTCAGCTGTGCTATAAAATTTGGCCCAATTCTGATTGAATTACATTGTATTTACTATTTTCAATTCCTATTTTTATACTAACCTTTCCCGGGTCATCTTTCGATCTGGCTACTTTCATGAAACACTTGTTCAATGATAGGTTGTGCCTGATTGAGTTCTGCAAAAAGAATGAAAAAATGAAGAAGAAAAAAATGATCAGTATAATATTGCTGACAATCATTCTGCTTACAAACTCTACTGCTGTGCATTTTCAATTAACCCTCCCTCTCTGGCTGGCAATTTCAACAAGGCCAGCCCAGCAGTCAAAATAAATCAAGTGACTGTTTTTAACAGTTGGGTGCCCCCTGCCTTCATAAAGCATGATTGACTGGCTGTGATTGTTATGAAACCCGATATAGCTATGCTTTGACTGTCGGAGATTGATAAGCCAGCTGTGCCTACCAGTCACCTGCTTTTGTCTGTTGATGGAATTTGACTGTCACTAGAACTATGATCTGACTGTTGGTGACTAGCCTGTGTAAAAGGCATGGCAGGGGACAGGCTTGAACTTTTGACTTTCAGCTCAGCAGAGACCTTTTTTTTTAAAAGAAATCTGTGAATATGCATTTTGTTTTCCTCGACACACAGCCAGATTTCCAATGAAATCAAAATGGTTTGGTCGTAAACATCGCGAGGAAGTGATGGTAGTTCCTCTTTTCTCAAAAATGACAGGAAATACTAAGCGCAATGGTTACACAGGATGCTTGATCCTATTATTTACTTACGATCAACAAGTAAGGATATTTCATGATTTTTTTAACAGTTTCATTTGCGAATGTTTACAAATGGTGTCTGTCGCCTTTATATTACGGCCTGGAATATTGGGCTACCAAACACATTTGAAACGAAATTATATCAATTGCCTAAACGTCCACGAAACGATCCTTTAAAAAAAAAAAGGACGTTTTTAGTATTATTCCTGCTAGAACCATGCGAGAACGAAAAAAAAATTGGGGGGGGGGGGTTCATAATTTTGCCCTGGAAAAATCGAGCTGCGAGTGCTAGTTGCGAATCCTGTCGCACAGTGGTTGGCATTCTGCGGACGTGTAAGAAAAATTTGTGCCCTGGCCTACACCGCGTTACGGGGAAGTTGCTTGAAATATGATCTGACTGTTGGTGACTAGTCTGTGTAAAAGGCATGGCAGGGGAAGAGGATTGTTTTTCTTTTACTGTCTGTGAGTAGGAGGATAAGGTATGGCAACATTTTCCCCTGAACATTTTTTTTTTAAGAGACGTCGCAAAAAAGGCAGCCACTGCGTACACCACCATCTTTTGCCAAACAAAATTGGTTAAAGTGGTCAGAAATTGCCTCAGATTGAACAACTGAGCATCTAGAATCCAAAAATTGTCCGGGGGCCCTTAAGCGGGCCAAGACACTGTACAATTTTTGAATCAATTTTTTTGGGGAACAAAATTGTTTTCTGGCCCCCCCCCCAAAAAAAAATTGTGTTCTGGATCCGCCCATGCATGTAGGTCTGGTTTCCATTCAAGTTTCCATTACTTTGGCCTGGCATACAACAAAGTTAACCCCACTCATGCCACTCCTATACTTTTTGAGCAAGGTGCAACACCCAGATTTGGTTCCCCAGGGGAAGAATGGGGGAAATTGGCATAATTTGGCCGCTCTGAACCGATAGACTCAGGCTGGTAGAGTGCAAGTCACTACCGCCGACTCTTGGATATCACGCCCACTACAACTGTCAAAGTGGAGACGGGTTGACACCAGCACGTAGCCCAGAAGTTTTACGGAAGCAAAATGCCCTTTTCAAGCCTATAATTGCAGAATTGCAACATACATGTAACACTGCGAATCTAATGATGAGGTTTTTAATTCAACAGAGCTTGAAGTGCTTCGTAAAAATCACTAGGATGTGTGTTTTGAAAGGTACCATGTTCAAATACGGTAAAAAAAAATTTATATTCATTTTCTTACTTTTATTTATTTTTTATTGAGAAGAAATCTGCCCCATGAATGACACACAGTCGAGTCGCATAATCGTAATGAAAATGCTTATTCTCGACTATCTCGTGGCATGAATTTTGATAAATCTTCATTTCATCTCTTAACTTTTAAAGGGAATATAGAAATTGCTTTTCCTGTAAGTTTCAGAAATTGATGGATTTGGGGGTTGTTGCACTGACTTATTTGAAGTTTTGTGCTCATAGATGCTGGAAAAACTAAGGAAAAACAATCATGTTCTTGTAGTCTAATTCCCTGACCCCACTTCAGATGAAACAGAGCAATTTATAGATGTTGGGGACTTGTAAGGTGGAGGAACCAGTCTAGCTGTCTTGCATCTGTTCACGGATATGTAACTGATTGCAAACAAAATTTGGACTAACTCAATTTGGTAAATTGGGGTCAGTATTTGAAGGAAAAAGTTTTTTCCAACGATGGTCAGCCAACCATCGTTGGAAACTGATACAAAATATCCACTTTTCGTGAAAATGACAGCACACCAGGTGCCATGATTTTACAGGACGCGTGAGACTATTATTCACTGACAGTCCAGTAAGGTATTTCATAATAATTTGTTATTTTTTTTTGTGGGTGCAAATGTTGTATATTGCATTTAACCCATAAGTACTTGTTCTAACTGTTACATTGTATTACATTGTGTTAATATTCACTGAAGAATGAATAAAACCATAGAGTGCTCGGGCAGTTTTGGGCGCCACAGTTTCGGACTAAAGAGTTAACAAATGCTGCAATATAATGCAATCAAATACATTGCGACTGAAGTAGAATTGACATTTTAAATAGCTCTCTCATGGTGATTAGAGCCATCCTGCTCACAGGGCAAATTTACTTATAACTCATTTCATATAACTTTTGCGCTTTTAAGTCATCATGCTTAAATATTCACCCCGTGAACAAGATGACACACAGTCGCATACTCCCAATGAAAATGCTTATTCTCGATTATTTCGTACTCGTAGCATGAATTTTGATAAATCTTCATTTTATATTTTAACTTGTCCTATTAAAATTAAATGCGAAAAAACCCAATAAAAAAACCCACAAATCAAAAGACTGAATCAACAAAAAATGTTACAAACGAGTACATATTAAATGATGTATTAACAGTAGATGTGCAGTACACATATTAAAACTGTGACACTGACAATGCATGGCAATGAACACAAGTAACGACCTGTAGAGCGCCCTCTATGATGAATCATAAACAGTCAATTTTTCCCTGCAAAAAAAAGCACCTCCAAAAGCTCCAAAATTCGATGTCATTACATAAATCAGTGAAGCATACCTTCCAACCACTGCCTGCGTCTCTGTAGTAAGGAAAACTGTCACATATCCACTGGTAAATCTCGCTTAAGGTCATTCGCTTTTGAGGCGCGCTGTTGATGGCGAATGTGATGAGATTGGCGTAACTGTACGGGGGTTTGCCGTCCTTCGCCGCTTGCTGCGATTCGTCCCACACAGCGCTCGTGTCGTGAGGCGAACTGGGGGACTTTCTCATGGGTATCGTTCCTTTGCTTTGGTCCACAAGTGCGTTCCGTCCTTGCTGGTTCTTACCGGGGATTCCACCCCCGTTGAGAGCACCTCCGACCGTCAATCTCGGTAGCCAGTCCATCGCAGTTAGACTGCTCTCCAAACTCAATTCCGTCTCGGCCGCCATCTTGGATGTTTCTGATCAGTAAATGGCGCCTCTTCACACTAGCGTATGGATACTGATTCTGCGAACCCGCAACCTTTCAACTTCCGCATTCGGATCTGGCTAAAATTAGCCAGCCAAGTTAACATTAAAGATACAATGCCAAAGCAAAAACTTCCTGATATGACACTTGTGATGTCACTGCGGGAAGCTTTTCCGCTGAAAAAAAATGTGAGAGTGCACTACGTTTAATAGTTTGCGGAAGCCGCAGCGCGCTGCCATATCTGGGCATCATACCCCCCGCGAAGACTGCCATGGTAGCCGCTTCCTTCTTACGTCATAGGTCGTCTATTGAGTGGTCACGTACCCATAATCTACACACCATGCTTTAGGCCATCATGCACATGTACATGGGTCGTTACGTGCAGATTAATTACTGAAACTATCGTAGAATAGGTGATTAGTGCTTAAATTACCTGTAAAAGGCTGTAAGCATTATTTACGAGTATTCGTTCGTGTGCCAAAGTGGTGATACAAAAGTAACCCTGGAAATTTGCCGCGGTGCAGCGAGGCCATTCCATTCACAAAAATTGATTGTTTCTAGTTGCCGAAAAAAGGCCGATGGAAGTTGTAAAACGTTGGGGCTAATTTAACGAGATAGTTAATGGCGCGTCGTGCAGGCACTTTTTTTTTTGGGGGGGTGCTATTTTGGGCTAATTGTATGGCCATGTTTTACAGGGATATACATAATACATCTGTTTTTCATTCATTGTGTTCGTTTCTCAAAAATTATTCACAACAATCTAACCTGTTGAAATCTCAGTGGATTAGTTGCACTTTTCCAGAAAATTGAAAAACCATGCACATCCAATTTCTTGATTTCTTCTTAATTGCAGCAAACCAGACGGAACAGTTTCACGGGGTATTTAGTACCAGTAACTTCGTTTATCACACTAAGCTATTTGATAATTAATTTGGTATAAATGCAACTGATCCGACAGACTTATGCCTTTAATTTTAGTCGTACCAAATCCGTTTTGTCTCCCATCCTTCTATAGAAGTTGCATCCAACTTTTGTTTGCTTTTAACAAAAAACAATCAAAAATTGCTCTTTGTTATTTTTTGGACAAAGGTTTCAGGATTTGGGGGGGGGGGATTAGAATGGAGAAGCTGTAATGGGAAATTCGTAATCTCTAACATGTCCTGTCTATACAAGTCCAGGCTATAACAATTATGGTGATCGAACTCCGTTTCGGTCCATTTCCGTTCAGATTGCCACGGGCGCGCAGGGAACCAGTCTTTGACCGAGAAAGGTAGTGCACATTATAGGCCGCCTATGTTTCAAAGTTCAAGTGCGTGGTTTATCGCATGACGTGAACTTCAATCCACTTGACGTAGAAAGCATAAAGCTATTCCTGGAATCCTAATCGTGACGGGGATATGATCACGGGGTTGAACAAACAAACAAAAGCAAACAATGATCATTAACTTCTTGCTCAGAGATTTCACGTGTTGGCTGGGCGATTTAATCTATCTAAAGCGAAAATTTGGCACATATGCAGCTAAGAACTTTTTGTAAAACTGAAAAAAAAAAATCATGGATCCGGGGGATAAATTAAACGTTTGGAACATCTCATCGTTCGCCAAGTGTATCAAAGGGCAAACATTTATACATGCACGGTAAACGTGCGGATTACCGTAAAACCGCAGCTGGCTTTGAAGCGGTAGCTGAAACTGTCCAATTCATTACAACTCCGTGGGTACCATTCATTTTGCAACAAACAGGGAAGTTTTTGCCCAGATTCATGGAGCAACCATACAATAATTATAAAACTAACTTGTCGAAATTTCAGCTCAATAAATTGAACACTTTTTGAGAAAACTCCGAAAATACACCTCCATTAAAATCGACAGCGTACCAGGCGCAAATTATTCACAGGATGCTCGCAATATTCACTTACAAACAAGGATATTCATATTTTGAGAGTGAACATAGATCCGTTATAATGATGCAGCGCCCTCTACTGCCATATTCTTTTAATGAATATTAATTAGCTTCCTCAAAAGTTATGACCAATGAGAACTAAATATTTTGTGCGCGAAATGCTATCGCGCGTCAAGTTTGGTATCCATCTCATACTGGTGCATGTTATGCGAAAATTACATGAATTAGTTTGTAAATGCGTGCGCGTAGGTCAGAGCCACACTAAAGGAATTAAAGAAATTCGGCCCAAAATACCAATACCGAGCAGCCGATTTTACGTGGTGAGTCAAATCAGTAGAAGGTCTACCAAAATTTTTCCTTTTTGGACACTTTTATCAGTGTAAAGTTTTCATTGTTTGTTCGAAATGATTGTTCTTTTGTTAGCCTTGTCGGTGATTAAAAACATGGAAGAATATGACAGCGGTTAAAGCATTTTAAACGTGTTAGAAAATAGTCAGATTGAACACGACGTCGTTGAACATGTTGACAAATTTGAACATGTAGCCTAGGCCTAATGTTGAACTTGACAAATGCTTGAAATTGAAGTCGAACTAGGCCTAGACTTAACAATTCGGTTAGCCGTTAGGCATGTTAGGAGTTTCCTAATGAGTAGGTATGGGCGCATAAACATGCTTAACTCTACCCACGCCACGGCATGGCGTTTTACTGTCCAACAATCATGTCCAAACTTGGTTGGTGGTAAAAAGGTTGGTATTGGCTAGCTCTACTGACATGACTGAGTGGAGCGTTGAATTACGGGTACAAGGGGTACCCGTAATTCAACGCTCCACTCAGTAGAGCTAGGCATTGGCCAGTTAGCCATCGTTCTTCAACTTAAAGTTCAAACTCAAAAGTACTAAGTAGGGCCTAGGCCTAGGCCTAACTTTTGTTAAGTTGGGTCCCAGCAAGTTGAAGTGTTACTGTCAGTGTTACTGTTTCTGTTATGTTAGCCTAAAGTGTAGGCTATGACAAGTATGATTGATATACATTTTGCAAATGTTGACTTGAACCAACCTTTGGCTATGCCTATGCTATGGCTATGCGGCTATGCCTAACGTCTAATCTAAATCTTAACAATAACATGCTTAACGTCGGTTAAGTCTCTCCGCGCCTCAGGCTCAGTTTTTAGGCCTAAAGTAACGTTAGCCTTTGCATTTGTTTAAAGTTCAAGATTTTTTTTTGGAATGTTGAAATGAACATTGTCATGGTTGTCTGCCTTTTGTTCATAAGTTTTCATTAAAAAAGGGGGCTGTTGAATACGTTGGGCCCTAGCTTCTTCTAATCTTAACGTAAAGTCTTTCCCCCTCAATATTTACTAGCCCTAAACCAGGGCCTAGCCGCCTGCTTTGTTCAAAATCAAAATTTGCGAATGTTGAATATTGAATGCCGTCTGCCTCTTCGTTCATCAGCATGATCAGTGTTCATTGACATTGATCATGAATAAAATTAGGCCTAAAGGCCAAATAGGCCTTAGGCCTAGGGCCTAGGCCTATCTGAAAAAGAGTGAGGGTTTAACTTTAAGACATTTTGACATCACAATCAAAATCACAATTAACTGCAGTTTTGGTTTTGTGTGCACACTGTAGGCGGGCCTACTCACTCGGGCTACTGTCGATTTTCTGTTTTCCATGTAGCCTAGCCCCAGACCGGGCCTAGCCAGACAGGGGGGGGGGGGGGGGGGGAATGCTACTTTTATAAATAATTTTTTTTTTCTGAGCTTAAATAAGCCTAGAATCTGACAGAATCAATCTTTGAATGAAACATTTCATGAACTCTTCAAATCACGTCATAAACAACAAGTGTAGTTACCAGTGAGTAAAAGCTAGATAAACTTGCATCAACATTAGTATTTGAATTAGGCCTAGGCCCTATTTCAATAGGCCTAGGGCCTATGTGGCTATATGGCCTAGCCTAGGCCTGAAGCCTAATCTGGGCACACTACATTAATTGAGCTAATTTAACTGTTTAAATTATTCAACTGTTCCATTCTCGGTCAGGTTATCAAGCAAGCACTGAGACAGTCCTTCAGTCTGTATCAAATTTTCGGCTAGTTTATCATCTAGACCCACGACTTGAATAGCATCAACATCATGAAGTTTCTGTTGATTACCGGAATTCTGCTGGCCTCAGTCGGTAAGACGGCGAACCAAAACTTTCTTGACCCTATCTTCTAGTTCTCGCTTCCAATCCATTTAAATTCAATATTCGGTTTTGACCTTAATCTACATAGCTTTCACTTCATGGTTGAGAGATTTGGGGGGGGGGGGTGTCCATGAAAAATAGTGTTGTAGTGCTGACTTTAACTTCATTTGCGATTACTGTTCGATTTTGATTTCATTTTCTTGTTTTGCTGGTTGCAGAAGGCAAACCTATAATATCCCCTTTGACCTATCTCAAGACTGAACCGGGCAGTGCCATTGTATAGGACTACCCCAGGCTGTGAAGTGAAACTTTCAAGACCTATGAAAACCTACATTTCAAACCTTGCTTTTTCGTGTTAGTTTTTGGGGGCGGGAAGTTCAGTTGATATCCTTTGCTTTAGCGTCTCTTTAAAAAGAGTTTAAAAGTAGCTTGGAATGTCGGTGTTGTGATGCTGCGTTTGTATGTCTTCCGTTCTACAGGTTACCTGTTTGCGACAGAGTGCCACTTCTGCAGCTATGTGTCAGGTACGATGGGTGAGGAATGCAAGGATCCCTTCACCAGCAATGGTAACTCCAGCGAAACATGTCAAGGAACCTACTGCTTGGTATGTCCGACATTAACACCAGCAGGCATTGTGGTTGAGCAAATGAGGCCACTGTAATGACGCTATTTGGGGAGCATAAACAGACAAAAATCTAAGGTTATTGACCTAAGTCTGTCACGAGCATTATGCTCTTCAGGCCGGCATTTATATCCGGTTTCCTTGGCATGGAATGACTGAGAGTATTTCTATTCCCCCTGGATGGGATGCCAGTTGATCGCAGGTTGCTCCCCAGCTAATGCCAGTACCCATTTATACCCCTGGGTGGGGAAAGGCAAGTGGGGGTAAAGTGGCTTGCCCAAGGAAACAACATATCACAGGCAGCAGGATCCTGTACATAAAACAACAGATAATTTTTCTATTCCCCCTGGATGGGATGCCAGTCCATCGCAGGTTGCTCCCCAGCTAATGCCGGTACCCATTTATACTCCTGGGTGGAGAGAGGCAAGTGGGGGTGAAGTGGCTTGCCCAAGGACACAACATATGGCCAGCAGCTGGATTCAAACCCCTGACCGTCTGATCATGAGTCATGAACCCCAACCACGAGGCCACACTGAGAAATGTCCAACATTCCATGAGAAATATTATTGACACTTCAACGAGGTTGCTGGGAAGTCAAGAGGTGGTGTAGCACAGCCAATAGTTCTTGTCTGGAGAGGTGTGTAATATTCCCACTGCATAAACACTAAAAAGCCACCATAGCCAGTCAGTCAATGGACAAAACTTGGACACAAAGCACATACACTGTCACCAAACTGGCAAACAACATTCCCTTCTGGGGCACTGTCAGATTCTTCTGAGTCTCCCTGATTTGTTGGTGTTGTTTTCCCCCAAATTCGCTGAGTTTTCTTAAATGGAAATTCATTTTCAGGGTTTCCCCCCGATTCCCGGAGTTGCTGGGAACCCTGATATAATATAAAAGCTCACAAAAATTACAAAATAAACTAAAAATCCAGTGAAGAATGAAAAAAATTATGCCATGTTTTACTTTTCAGAAAGTCGTATCCAAGGTGAGTGGTGAATTGACGTCCATCACCCGTAGCTGCAGCGAGGCGTGCTCCGAGGCTTGCCTCTCCTTGTTCGGAATCGAAGGCTGCACCTACTGTTGCCAAAGCGACAACTGCAACGGAGCAGGATCCGTCACCTTCAGTCTGTCCGTGATGGTTGCCATGGTTACAGCAGTTCTGAAACTATCTGCTTAACAACAGCTTGACGTGATTTTTAAAAATATTTGTTTTCAGAAACATTCTTACAAAACTTTTGAACTTTCAGAAACACCCAAGTTGAAACATTGCTACATTAAGATTAATAACAGGGTATTAAAATATTTTACATCTCATTACTTTGCAAAGTTTATTCAGCTTTTGAGGGGCCAACCCTAAATGACCAAATATGTAACGGGGAATTAAAACATTCTGCATCTCATTACTTTGCAAAGTTTATTGTGTCTATGCAATTACTCATCTTCAGCTTCCATTCAGCTTTTCAGGGCCAACCCCAAATGACCAAATATGGAAAAAGTGGTGGATCAACATACTCATCTGCCTTACAAGATCATATTACTTGTGTACAAGAATCAAATGTAATGAAGTTTCAATAAATGATTGAGAATTTGAGGTTAATGTTAAAGAACTCATTTCATATTTGGCAATAACAGTGTATGTCTGTGAACCTGTCGCGTGAAGATTATTTATCTGAATGACAGTCACAGTATACATGTACTTGGCCTTTTGACACTAGATTACTTCCTACCGAAGTTCTTTCTTTGTAGTTTTGTATTATTTGAAAAAGAAAATAAACAGGGGGGAATTTATTTCAAATGGATATTCTATACAATTCTTTACAAATTGAATTGAAAAATGAAAATTTGTCATTGAAAAGAAAATCAACTGCTGAAAATGATGCCCAGACTTATGGCTGAAATGAAAATAAAATTTAAAAAAAAATACAATTAATTGCTCCCTTCAAGGGACAAAAATTAACAAATTTCCTTAATTTAAGGTTTTTAATAAATGTTTTGTAAGAATTGCATGAGTTGTAATTCAGTGAAAGAGTGAAATAAATTTTACTTGAATGGAATTTGAATCTTGATGGTAGTGTTTTCAGATTACAGCTACTTTTTGTTGAATGCGAGTTGGGGCCGGCAAAAATGGACGAATTCCAAAAAAATAAAAGAAGTTGATGGACGACATAGAGACATTAAAATTCCCCAAAACAGCAACTATACCTTATTCCTGTTACTATTCATGTTTTATTCACATTCAACGTACACTTTATCGATGTAAACTAATTTACATATTTGTACAGAAATCAAAAAAGTAAATAAGAAAAATGAACCAAAAATACGCAAACTTCGCTGCGTGACTAAAAAGGGCCAAAAAAGAAAAATGTGACAGCTTTTTGTGTTCTTTCCTTGAATTTAAACATGTAAATGGTCAAAACGGACTGACAATTGAAAATAACTGAAAATTCCATGAATAAATCTCAAAACAAGCTTCACAACAAGCAGGACAAATAGTTAAATCAGTTTCCCACAACCGTTGCTGTGATGCCATTCTTCCGATAAAAAGACGCTGAAAAATAGTTTGATAGTAGAACTCGCCTTTTTAGTCAAAAGAGGCAAAAATGCCTATTTTGAATTAGAGGTGTACATTTACGGGTAGTACAGGAACCGGGTACCCGATTGAAAAGAACAACCCAAAAACGGATACCCGATTGAAAAATAACCACACAGGTACCCATTAAAGAAACCCAACCAATAGTTCAAATCTCGGAAGTTGCTGTTCAGATTGTTCATTAACCCTAAACCCTTGAGCACTTTTACTAGAAAGTATCCTGAATCCACCAAAATCCATCAATTTTGTCATGCCAAAAAATGTCCCTGTCCTCTAGTCCAACAGAATCCACAAGTGAGTCCATCAGAATCCACCAGTGTAGTACATATACCTCGTACATGCCAAACATGTAGCTAAGGAGTTAAACTGTTGAGATCCTGAATGCATCAAAGTCCCCCAACTACTCAATATGGAGGTATCTTGAATCCATCAAAATCCTGCAGAACCACCAGGCTTACTGTCCTGAATCCATCAAATTCCCCCAGCTTATTCAATATGGAGGTATCCTGATTCCACCGAAATCCTCCAAAACAGGGTTGTGGATTTTGATGGATTCAGGTAAATTAGGGTTAAACTAAAAGGTTGTCCCGATATTATACTAACTACCACATCGATGCGTTAAATACAGAAAGATACTGTGTGTACAGTGAACTTTCGCGAGCCCCGTCTACGTGAAATGTGGATTGTTTTTCCATGTAGCCTGGTTTTTATTGAGAAATTCCCCACAAATGACATTCAAAACCTTTCTTTTTCATTGTCTGTGAAGGTATACTGAGTAATTTGTAAAGTTGGTTACGGGTACCCGATCCCATAATCTGGAACTGATTCCTGACATCAACGGTTCCGATGCACACTATTTGAATGCGTCTGTTTGGTATTAATTTTTGAGAGTAATAAAATTCTGAAAAACGAAAGTGTTTAAAAACAAACTTAAAAATACACAGTAGATAAACTGCACACTATAAATCTTGAATAAACATCCCACAAAAGTCTATATGTAAAAAAAAAGAAGGATTAATTCTCAAAAAAAGATTGAAATTCTCCCCATTAAACTGATACAAGAAGCATGATTGTTGAAGTCAGTTTGCAAAATGTTTCTACACGGCTAAGTATGTGCATAAAACTGCTTGCTTTAACATTTGCGTTGAGTATAAAATCCACTGCGTCCATCTTTACCACTGTCAAATTCCGTAAAGTTTGCTAAATAGTACTTTGACATGTCTTAATTGTCGCATATTATTAAGTGGTTGCAATATTATTTACGAAGGACATTGAAAATGTTCTACTGAAACCCTTAGAAGAAGAATTTTCACGTTGTCAGCAAACACAATTTGAGTCTTACAATGCAGTCCTATTGGAATTACAAAATAGCATTTTACGCATTAGACACACTTAAACAGATTGATGCTGTATACAACGTCCTAGCAATTTGGTGTTTTCAACTTGAAATCACTGACAAGTTGTGGTTTTGAGCCCAACTAGCAGGAATGTGATGTCTACAATGTATGTCCTTTTGAATTGAAATCAAGATCCTAGAATATATATTTTTTTCAGAATATACAGCATTCACTGAGCCAAAACCTCATCAGGTTAGTTGTTGAGCACCCTTGTTTAGATTTTGAGCACTTTTGTTGTTTCAAACGAAAAAAAAAAACCCACAAACGGCATATGATATACTCTTCCTTTAAAGGTACATTGGATCATTTAGTTTTTGCTTTCTTCCGAATGATACCATTTCAGGAGGAATAATGTCACAAGGTATATGGTACCAGTCTTATCTTCCCTTTGAGCAAGGATTTTCTCGTTCAATTGGTTGGTACATTTTCAGGTAAGGGGGCCATCCATAAAGTATGTGAAGGTAGGGGGGAAAGGGTGGTTGTTAACATTGCATACGCCAAGCGTACACGGGGGTCCAAGCCAATGCGTATATACTATGTACGCAGAGCGATAATTTGCTTTTAACATATTGTCATAAAATCAATGTACTTTCTCAATTTTAATAACTACCAGGACCAGCTTTAATACATCAAAAATCTTATAACACTGTACCCTTCACACCATTTACATTTATCTTCCCAGAGCCACCACCAGACAACGCCTTCCGAGCTCATTAAACTGCGACATGATAAAAAAGGCGATTGTGATACGAGCCCCTCTTTAGTTTTGGTGAAGCAGTTAGAGTCAATTTCTTTTCTGCAACCTTACATCTAATGACAATATTCTTTTGAAATTTGAACAGCATCTCTTGGTAGAAAATGCAATAACTACAAATGTAGCATTAGGGAGACACATTATTGTAATTTCTTCGACAATAGGGAGACACCGGTCATTAGGGAGGCAAAATTTTAATGTCGCAATCGGGTTATATTTGTTGCTCGTGGTCTAATTAGTAAACATACCGAAATTCGCTGCAAAAGGACAAGGGAATATTGGGTTAGGGCACATTTAAGTTTGAAAAATTTTGCGCACAAGTCTATGGGAATGTCTCGCTATGGTCCTATTTTCGGTAATTATAATTTTTGTATGCATTTTGTACACTTCATGCAATGTGAATCAATGTGGTTTTGCGCATTCACGGTGCGTCACTGTGATTACTATCTTTATTTTTGTGTCGCAGCATTATGTCGACGTCATCATTTTACCCCACAATTTCCCACAAAAAAATCTCAAAACCCTGCCCTCTATCCACGACACTACCGTTGGTTTTAAATGTCCCTCGTGTGGTAAGTTCAATAACCTAATTCACACAATCACCAATAAAACGAGTGCTTCAATTAGCCGGCAAGCATAGCGCATTTGCAGTGCTTTTTACTGTAAACATACATGCACAGTTTCTGTATAGGTATGCATGAAGTCGGGGGGGGGGGGGGGGCCTAAAAAGTCAAGATTTTGTGCGTACATACTTTATGGACGGTCCCTAATTCCAAATATTCCTGTGTGCCGTAAGTAAAGGAAACACTTTCATATGGTTGGCTCTCACATATGTTACAACTTACATATCAATCATCTGTGTGCGCGATGCTCTTCAGTACGTATTTCACCGTGTAGGCAAACGCGGCAAAGCCTACGATGACTAGCACGTTGGCCAGCGTGCTTCCCACAATGCCCTGGGGGCCTTGGTGAGGCAACGGCAGCTGGCCGTCCTGCGTGTTGGCCTGTCTTGAGGATTGACCTCTTAACGAGGCCGACTCGGTGCTTTGTCTGATCTCCTCTTCGCGTCGCCTGATGGTTTCTCGTACTTCCTGTTGGACGGGAAAAAAAGAGACGCTTAGTACAAGGGCGACAGTGATGAATTTCTAGAGATAATTCACTCCGTGCATGATCAATTCACGACATTTTGCCAGCATTAGAGAGGTCAAGTTACACATTTTGCTAAACGCTTAAAGCAACACGTGCTGGAAGCTTTGCGTTCCCGTTCATGTACGTGGAAAAGTATTCCAGCAGGTATTTTGCAGAATGCATGTACACGAACCTTTTGTAAGAACGTTGAGAATTACTGCTGTTTAACCCTAACCTTCCCAATTCCTCCAAAATCCTCTTTGCTTAACCCAAACCCCTCCAGAGTATTTTGGCTAAAAACCCTGCCAAACACTGCAACATGCAACACTCGTCTAAATGACAAGCCTGCCCAGTGCAGCAAAATCCATCAGGCCCAAAGTCTCAAGGCCAAACTGACACAGAGTCTGTGGTCACCGAATGCGGTAGGATACAACTGTGGCATTGTTCTATGGGACTAGCTCTCATTGTCTCAGAAGCGGCCGTTCATGCACTGGTGTTGGTAGCTGAATGCATCAAAGTGCACCAGACTTTTTCACCTGTGTTGCGTCTGGCAATTTAGGATTAATGGAGGATTTTGAAGGATTGAAGGCCTTTGAAAATCAAAGCACTGCAGGATTTTGCAGGATTGAAGGTGTAACAGGATTTTGCCTCTGGAGGATAATGGAAGATCCAGGTTTAGCAGGCCCCAACTGAGGCTGGATGAAATTGGAGGATTGAGGCTCTGGCTGGTTTTGCCCAAAAAACATCCATTTTGGAGGATTCAGGATGTTCCTTGTTTTATGCATGTATACTTTGGCAGGCATCCAGCCTATACCACTGTTTATTGTACAGCCTCTTTACTCCAACTATTCAGGGCCTTGGCATTGCCAATCCACAATAAAGGAAATAAATACATGCTTGGCCGGTAGTAAACAAGTACGTCTACAACTAACTTGGGGTCTGGACACTGATAATGGCCTGAGCCGAAGGCATGGAACAATATCCGCGACCGGGCTCCTACTCACCAATGCAACGTCTGGAAACAATTCACAAAATGTCTGGTTCTTGACGTTAAATGGGCCACTCTGGACTGCAAGTTGTCGCTTCTACAACAGAGAAAAGACATCAAAAAAAGAACAGATGAAAGAACATTACATGTTTAACACGATTTTCGTTAGCAACCCCAAAAGGAAAAACAATTTGAGCAATCTGGCAGATGAGTCCTTTTTCATTGAGTAATTTTGCAACAAATGATACAGTTACAAAACATAGAGACAACTAGGGCCAAGTTCGGGCAAGGACCATTAGTCGACTAGTGGTTGATTTGTGACGTACCTTACCCCTGCGCACTGATAGCAACGTGCGAACGTCTCTAGTCAAACGCTGGTCAAAATGTCATCGCAAAACTCTTGGATCCTGGCTCTCTGCTGTACGTTATGAATGCACAGGGCTATTGGTTACCAGCGATGCAACCAGCCCCAGTAGATTGGTCCAAATGGTCGACTAGCGTAGTCAAACACCGTCGACTAGACAGAGTTCGGGCTAACTTTAGTCGAACTATGGTTAACCATTGGTCAACAATACTTCTTGCGCGAACTTGCCCACGAAGTTCATTCAAATGAACCATATTTGTGCTGGTCCCCGAGGGCCAGACTAGAGTTCACTTTGTACCAACCTCGTCCCCAGTGCTTACTTTATTTCCAACCTCGTTTCCAATAGTAAGCCCTGGATAGGAAACTTTCTTCCTGTATCCTGATTCGATACCGCAATTGGCTAATATTGGATTTATATCATGTACTTGGTGTTTAATTTCCAACATGCATTACGTGTTTTGACTATCATCGTAATTACAACGTCCACGCCTTCTCAAAAATACTCCTTTCCTTTCCAATTTACTCACATTAATATGAAATGTGAAACTGCACATTGGTGGACGATTGTAACATTTTAACTTTCATGTTTTCTTAACTCACGGTACAACAAATTGATTCTGTTTTTACCCCAGACACCACATACAAAAACAAACGCTAATATAACGCACAGGCAGGCACCAGACTATTCGTCATTTGCATAAGTGTTTTGCAAATGATCTAATACCAGGGTGAGAGAACTGGTATAGTGGTGGGCGCGTACTGCTCGACATCCTGGGGACGAGGGTGACTTTGTACCTATCTCACTAACTGACTGACTGTCACTTGTGAGTCGAGCAGTGCTATCGTATAGGACTACCCCGTAACACCAATGAACGGGCTAAGTCCGCCCATTGTGTAGACCAGATGCACGAAGACTTCCAGCTCTTCAATAGAATAGAATTTTGTGTACTCTGGGACCAGCTTTACATAGGCTCGCCTAGTCTTGTCAATAACGTACCGTGTAATCGGAGGTTTCTATACTGCCGAGTGTCGGATTCTTTTCGACCATAAAGCTGAGGAGACCGGTTAGGATCGTCGACACGGACCAGGCTGGATTCCAAGTGTCGGGGTGAAAATCACTTATTGACAAACATAACCTGTAACAAAATGTAAGAGAATTTATAAATATCCTTTAAACCATTTTAATAGTTTTCCGCAATCCTGCTTCATATAGGATTATTTGCATTTATCCCAAAAGTAACCTACCAAATTATTATCAATAAATTTACCTGGATTAACCCTCCTGCTATCTGAACAGTCACAGAGAGTCAAACAATCAATCTTCTTCCCCTGCCATGCCTTTTACACAGGCTCACCAAAAGTCTTATCATATTTCCAGCAAGCACTGTGACTAGTCAAATCCAGTCAAGGGACAAAAGCAGGCAAGTGGTAGGCACAGCTGGCTTGTCAATCAACTACAGTCAAAGTGTGGCTGTAACAAGTTACGTAACAGTCACAGCCAGTCAATCCTGCTTTATGTAGGCTGGGAGCTCTTAACTGTTGAAAACAGTCATTTCATTGTTTTAAACTTGGCAGAGAATGTATGTTTGCATAGGAGGGTTAGAGATCGTACTGGTACTAAACATCCCATGAAATTTTCCGTCTGGCTTGAAGCTTGCTGTCACCTAGAAGAAATGAAGAAATGTAGTTGATTTCCAACGATCAGTCAATTGACTGATTTTTGGAAATAAAAGAGTGTTATATTGGACAATTTTGTGTTTCGTGATCAAATGAATGTGCATGGCTTTTTACTGACCTGAAACTTCAACAGGCTAGGTTTTGAACATTCGTCTTTGGATTTTGAGTGGTGCTCTTATTGGAAATGAACAAAATACATGAAAAGCAAATGATACTGTGCACCTTTTAACATTTACCTTGTGTTACACTTGAATCTCCCGTTAGGTGTAATCATATAGATGCTTGGCGGCTTAAACGGGAATTCTCGCGGGAAGACAAGTTTGCCGTGGTACAAGCCCCCTTCGTACGGCGTTCCCTCAGGACCCCTTACTAAGTAGTGCCTGAAAAAAAAATGAAAAAAAAAGTAAAAGGCAAAACGTGAAACCAAAAGACATGCATTTTAAAGAACAAAAACTAATTTAATTAACTTGTTTAATACCGGCCAAATACATATTTATTCCCATCCATAAATACCCTTTAAAAACCGGTCAAAAAGTCAAAACAGGTCAAAAATTATAAATTTCCAGCGATTTTGTTCAACAGTTTTACTTCATGTTTTTTTAAACACCCCTCTAGCTATGTTATGGTATGTGCCTCTCGCGAGATTTAAGCCAATGTAAAGAATTCCCGGAATCTGCGACCACATTTACCAGGCTTGCATTGTCTTGTTTCCAAGAAAAGTTTCTGGGATACTACAAAAGACTTACCATTCTAGGATATTTGACGGGAGTGGTGAAGCTGTAACATAAGGCACTGGGTCTTTTTTAATTCTTGTATAATCTTGTTTCAGCCGTGCGGTGGCTGTTGTACTCACACGCTTGCTCATAATTATTTCACCTAAGTTAAATGCAGAATCTTTGGCTGTATTTCTAGGAAATGAAAGAGAAAAACACATTAATTGTACGCTGTGGCAATAATTGTTAGAATTTAGAAATGCACACGATTCTCCACACTTTGGACAATAGAAATTGTAAATTGTACACAACAAAGTGGTATCTGGATATTATGCGCCTATCAAATGTCCCCCCCCCCCCCCCCCCCCGTCCCCCTCCCCCCGCTGCTCCAGGTCCGATGTCAGGATTTGGTCACGTTTTTCATGCCCCAGGGTGGGGATTTTAGTCACTCAAATTACATTTTTACCTGGCGTACTACATGGAAATCCAATTACTAAACAAAAAAGTGCACCCAACATGCCCAAGTATGTATGTCGGGGATTGTCATTTAAATTTTGCCCGAGGGGTAGGGATTTTGTCACTTCGAAAGTGACAATCCCCACGTCTTGGGTGGGGCAGCAGGGCCCGGGGGAGGGGGGGGGGGGGGAACAATTATCATAGGCGCATTACTAAGCCTACATTCTTTCTCAAAAGCAGTAGGCCTATATTAAATGCAAGAGTCAAATACAATCCATCTGCATAACAAACAAAACAATGATAAAATGTAGGCTATTTCGTAAAAACACGAACCAACCTGCCGCAGGCCTTGCATGCAACGTTACTGCAGCAGCACGAAAAAGCAGAAACCAGAATTAAGCAGAAAGCAGACAAACTCACCGGCGACACTGCAGCACCACTAAATAAAAATGACTTATTTTGACAACAGTTTTAAGAAATTGTCCAACTAAAGCACTCCTCCATCTACTAGTTCAATCACACAGTTGCTCATACAAAAAAGAATTACACTATTTTTGGCCGTATTTAATGCCGACAGAGCATGTTTTGTAACTTCCTTAATCATCAGCAGACATTCGTCATTTCACCAGAAATGTGTGAAACTGTACTGTGTACATAATGCATATCAGGGTGACCGTAAGGTCAGAGCCAAATTCTGCTAAATGCACATCAAAAATCTGTCAGATTTATCAAACATCTGCCAAATTCCCCAAGATTACTCGAAATACACTATAAACACTTAAAATCACAAGCAGATTGGTAGTATTGCCTTAATTAAGATTCAAATTACATAATAAACAATTTAGTCACATAAAAATGTTGTGAAATTATTGGTAAATTTCTGACAAAACATGGATCCGGCCACAACGAATTAAGTCCGTTTCCCAGCGAACCTCAGCACCTAGACCAGCCAACCTGTCCCACTATGCAAGGATATGTTTGAAAGGATTGAAGCCTTTTTAAACAAATGCACATTCTTTTGTTCAAATTTGCTGTTTTTCTGTCAAATAACCATTTTTGCAGAATTCTGCCAGAAATCTGCCAGAAAAATCCATTCTGTCAAATTTTCTGTAAAACTCGTTTTTAGCAAACATTCTGTCAAAGTTAGCCGAAAATCGGCTAAAACGGTCATCCTGATGTACACGTATGTACTTGCACCAAAGATACGTAAGTAAAGTACGTCGTGTGCGTTGATCTCCATAATGGTGATCAATGGTCGTGTGCGTGTCCGATAACTGTCCGTAAATGTCATTGGGGGCGCTCTAATAACAACTCAGCGGTCCCGTGCAAAAATTTAGTAGGCCTAGAAACACGGCCGTGTAAGGGGCCATTCAGAATTTTCAATGTTTTAAAATTTCGACTTTTTTTCCAAATTATTTTGACCCACCCACCCACCCCTAATTTCGATTAATAAAAAACTAAACATGTACATGTACATGCACTTGCATGTACATGTACATGTACTTGAACACCATGTACATGTACATGTGTGTCTAGTTCAGCGACGGCGTGAAGTTGTCGGTCTTCCTCTTTTATGTGATAAAATATGTGATACCTCACCAAGTATCTTTTAACGAAATTCAATCAGAATATTTATCAATTTAAAAAAAAAAAATAGTTGTTGTGTTACTTGTTGGTGTCCCTGCCACACTGTACGATGGTGTAGCCGTGCGTTACGCACGTGGATTGTTTACTTTCGTTTTGACGGGGACTTTACTGAATAGAGTTTGGTGACTGTACATAGAAATTTCTTTGAATAAAAGTCGAATCGTTCATTCATGTGCACTTGTTATGCAAAGCAGGGGCAGTGGTTCAAGGATATCTATTTCGACTTGCAGAAAGTGTGCAAGAACGCGACTTGAAAGCTTTTATGTGTTCACAATACAACGACGCTGTTTAGTTATTTCAATGTGTGACACAGTGAGAAATTTTGGAATCACAATGGCGTCAGCGATACTTGCTGGGGAGCTCTTGCGTACGACCCCCCCCCCCCCCCCCCCCCACTGAAAAATTCCTGGCTACGCCACTGACAGTACATACAGGGGACGAAATTGGAAAAGAAACACGCATCGCGATATCGGAACGTTTGCGCGTAGTTCAGGCAACTCAAAAGATCTATCTTTCTTTGTTTTTTTTTTTTTTTTCCATGGAATGTGAATTTCGATTTTCAATTATTTAGCTTGACCCACCCACCCACAATTTGGAAAAAAGATCGAAATTTTAAAACATTGAAAATTCTGAATGACCCCTAAGTTCCTACTAATTTTTTTTTTAATATCAATTTCGACATCATGGTCACGTAATTAAACAAGTTTACAGTTCCATAGCCGCCTGGAGGCATGCAATTCTACCTCTATGCTGGAGCTTAGCTCTTGATTTTTTCATTACCTTTACCTTAACATCGTATTCGGGGGCGGACCCAGCTTTTGCTCAGGAGGGAGGGGGGAGGGCGGGGTAGCTTTCAAGATGGGCTGGGGTGGGGCATGGATGTGCGTTGGGTTAGCAGGAATGCGTAAATATTTTCGCATGATTTCCCTATTTTTTACGGCCGGGGGGGGGGGGGGGGGTAGAGGGTTGTTGATCCCCTAGCCTCCCCCTCCCCATAAGTTGAGCTTGGAGATATTGCTTTCCCTCATTTTGCCCATGGTGATATAGAATTATTAATGGACTTTAAAAAATGCAATTGCGCTCCTAGTGCTGTTTTCGAGTTCAACCCAAAAATAATGGATTTGTTTTGTAAATGTAGCAATACAATAATTATTGACTTTTGAATGACACATCGAATGAAAATAAAATCCGCCTACTTTTCGGGTGATTAATTTGCTTGTAATTGTATTATAATAATGGCATATAGGCGATACCAGAAACTAGTCAGGCGTTTAGTGCGTTGGATCAAGAGCCCAAAAAACCCCTAACTAAAAGCTTTTTTCGGAAGGGTGCAGACGCCCTCAAAGGTTAGTTTTTCGTCATACTAAAAATCGTTTAAAAAAAACGTTTAAAAAGCAGTAAAACAAAATCCACGGCCCCCCTATACTCGTACCGCCCCCATAAAAGGGCCCATTAATTTGCTGAATCATAACCAGTGTTTTTGCATGTAGTTCATATTTTCGTGTGGTTTTCAAGGGGAATTTTTACGCGGGGTCGATCATCGTGAGAAGGAGGTTGAGCAGACGTGGCCTTATCAGGTCTTCTTCCCTGCTCATTTTTAACGTTTTGCCTTAAGGGTAAAAAATCGGCACCACACTATGCCATAGTCACATGCGTAAAAACCTTTGAGCAACCATCTGTTTCGCCGTGCCGGTGATTTTTCATCAGTTTATTGTGTCCTGGAGTTTGAAAGGTAGTGAACATTTTGAAAAACGGACCAGTTTTAAAACATTTGAACATTGTTTTACTTCATTTAACTGCCATTAAGCTTTATTTGAAATGAAAATAGGCCTACTTGAGAAAGTTCGATACATCGGGTTCAGCATGTTCAGTCATGTCAGTCGGCGTTAACACTTGACTTGGCTTGCGTCAAACAACAGTCCAACGCAAATTGAATGCGAGTGCGTCGAATTAGGACCACGTTGTTTTAGGCGGTCTGACTATAAATTACTGTTATTTTGAGTTAAAACAGTCACTGACACCATGATCTGACACTCTTGAACGCTGAATCATTTATGTGTGCCCCGAGGAAGGGTGGAGTTGTACAGTCATTGAAAAATGATTGAAAGTGAAAACTTGACAGATTTATCAACAAACATGATGGATTTAATTATTATTTATTTTGCCTTAAAAAACAACAAAAGATATAAAACAATAACAGTTGATAAAATGCAATTCAAACACTACCTGGAAGGGACAGAAATGATATGTAAATTACAGGACAAACCTAAACCTGCATCCACAAAAGCAACAAAAATCACTATAGTCCTTAGACTTGCCAGCCCTCATGTAGGCAAGGGAAACGAAAACATTTATATAAAAATTATAAATATATATATTTCTGTATCTTAAAACCTTAAATTAGAAAATAATCATCGTTAAATGTTGCTGTGAATCTTACAAATGATCAGTGCGCCCTTGTATTTATGAGAAGGGTTCATTCGCAGTCAGATTTGGAAATGCATATATTCATATCATGTCCATGCTTTCCAGACAACTAAGGGCGCTGTTGCTGTGATATCATTTCTGAAAGACACTGTTTAGTGGTTTTCTGTTCAAATTGTTAAACCCAAAATTTGCTCATTGAAAACATTTTGTGAGAAAGGATTGCTCATTGGCTTGGGGGTCAGACAAGTCGACCGTTGAGACAACTCGACTCGGGACAAGTCGACCGTTGAGACAACTCGACCGTTGAGATAACTCGACCGTATGTGCGATAAATGGAAAGACAAGTCGACCGTTGAGACAAGTCGCCTCGCATGTTTTGGGCCTAGTTTCGGGAATAGTACCGGGGATTTTGACGGCGGCTGATCGCAGTTTGGGAGTGATGACACATGAGGTTTTTTTGGTTGCATATAACAGAGCCGATATAGCGCAGCGTGATTGTCCGTGCACATCGTTCGTTTTTTTTCAAGGCCACGTGCGCGCATCCCCGGTCAACGTGGCCGTACCGTGCACGGTGGCATCGTTTGTGCCGGGCCTGTGCGCCCATTTGCCGCGCCGGTCGACGTGCCTGCGTGCCGGGCCCGGCCCGGTCCTCGCGGCCGGGCGGGGCGCACCGGCCCGACGCGACGCCCTCTGTACATCGAGTATGCCCGCGCCGCACCCAGGATCGGTCTTGCCACAGATTTGTGCAACTTTTTCTGCTCCACGTGTATTCATTTCCATTAAGTCGAGCAGTCCTAACGGTCGAGTTGTCCCGAGTCGAGTTGTCTCAACGGTCGACCTGTCTCAACGGTCGAGTTGTCTCAACGGTTGACTTGTCCCGAGTCGAGTTGTCTCAACGGTCGACTTGTCTGACATTCATTGGCTTACTGCCATGTACTTACACAACAACTAATCACCAAAGAAAAGAAAATATATGACAGCAAAATATCCAAAATTCTAGCAACTTGTCGTGCTGAAATAGCTGTAACATTGAGGTTTCTGCCCGGAATGACATCATGATGGTGCTCATGAATATGTAAATTCACATCAGTATAAAACCAACAAGGCAACCTCTCTGTACAATAGTAAACCTGTTTCAAACTTTTCTTTCATTGTCTCCGTCGAACAGATATTTAGTTACAAATTGGCTGAGAAAGACGAGATCCGTCTGCCATGTCGTCAAGGAAGAGACATCCAAGTCCTAACAACACAGACCACAGAATAATTAATAACATTACCAGCCATGACAGAGATGGCCTAGACCAACGTTCCACTCCGAGCAGAGAAGACACGGACATTGAAATGGAAGCGGAAGGCTTGAAAGGAGACTACTCCAGCATCTTTCTGTTGTTGTTACTCTACGTTCTGCAGGGTATTCCATTAGGCCTAGCGGGAAGTATACCGCTGGTCTTACAAAGTCGGAAAATCAGCTACAGCATGCAGGCCGTCTTTAGTTTCGTGTACTGGCCCTTCAGTGTTAAGCTCATCTGGGCACCGATTGTAGATTCCCTCTTCGTTCCCAGATTCGGCCGGCGGAAAACCTGGCTCGTGCCGACCCAGTATCTCATCGGGTTCTTCATGTTGTTTCTATCGAGCCACGTACCCACAATCCTCGGCGACGCCGATCCCGGTGAGGGTTCCTCCCGCGTTGATGTTTACTTCCTCACCGCGGTGTTCTTCATGCTGAATTTCCTCGCCGCGACGCAGGACATTGCGGTGGACGGTTGGGCGTTGACGATGCTCTCCAAACGCAACGTGGGCTACGCGTCGACGTGCAATAGTGTGGGGCAGACGGCAGGTTATTTTCTGGGCAATGTTGTGTTTCTTGCGCTTGAATCGGCGGACTTTTGTAATAGGTATTTGAGGTCGGAGCCCAAACCACACGGAGTAGTAACTTTATCAGGTGAGCTTTTTTTGCACATTTCATGTCCTGTATGCCGAATTTGTGTCCTGTCCATTTTAAATACAGCCGGCTTTTTCACAATAACCACCTTTGCCCTCACAGGTACCCATTTACTTGTGGGTGGAGAGAAACAATAAGTGACAAAGTACCTTGCCCAAGGGCACACGCACCATAACCCCGGGGCTTGACTCAAACCCACAACCCGCGGAATTACCCGCAGACCACAAATTCAATGTCCCCAGACCACGAGGCTACGGCACTCCACTATGTTTGTGTTTTTGTTCGAAGGCACTAGTCGGAAGCCATAAACCAGTATATGTCATGTAGCTAGGGATCAAGCCCAAAGCCAACACCATTAGCAATCCAGCACACCTGGGAAAAAGCAAACAGGGATCACAGAATTGTTCAACTTTCCTCGACAGATTTCCTATATTTCTGGGCGTGTGTCTTCCTGGTGACAACAACTCTCGTGGCATTACTGAAGCGAGAGAAAAAGGGTCACGGCACCGAAGACGAGTTGAGCTGCGGTGTGTTTGGTACCTACAAACAGCTCTACAAGCTCATGAAACTGCCAGCTCTTAAGTCCTATGTGCTTTTTGCTTTGACGTATAAGGTAAGCGTTTTCGCTCATCATTTGTCATAGTGCAGTGCATTTTTGAATACTTTATTAAAAATTCTATTATTGAAAGTTGGATTTGATCGCAGATTCGAATGTTGACGCTGAGGTAAAAAGTCTTTTATGAATGTCATGTTAAATGTGATGTATTTTTGTCATGTTTGTGAGTCGCCTCACATTTTTAGAATCTTCTATTTGGAAAAAGCTACAGCATGTATTCGGATATTCTGTAGATGATCGGTTATTTTGGCACAGCCCTACAAGCCAGGCCCAGATGAAATCTTAAAATGGCGGATAATTATTTGTAAGGAGGCTAGAAGCTTATGTGAAGGATTTAAGGCAAAATCTCCCAATTCAGTAAATTAAGAAAAGGTGCAATCACTTTGTTCTTGAAGTCGAGGCGCATGCGCATCTTGGCAGCCCTTTCAGCTGAAGAAGCACCGAGTGTGAGTGTGCAGCCTGCGTGAGCATGGTTCCAGCTCATTAAAACCTCTCTCTGGCTTTCAAACTTTGCAAGTCCTCCCAGCAGTCAAAATCAATCAAGTGACTTTTTAATTAACAGTTGAGTGCTCCCTGCCTACATAAAGCAGGATTGACTGGCTGTGACTGTTTATGTAACTTGAGACGGCTATGCTTTGACTGTAGGTGATTGATAAGACAGCTGTACGTACCAGATACATGCTTTTGTCTGTTGATGGAATTTGACTAGTCACAGTGCCCACAAGAAATATGATCTGACTGTTGATGACTAGCCTGTGTAAACTTATGGGAGGGGAGGTGGATTGAATTTCTGACTGTCTGTGACTGATCAAACAGTACGAGGTTATTAATTGCTCATAGTTGGGTTGCCAAATTTTCTCTTCACAGATAGGGTTTGCTGCCGCAGATGCAGTAACGGGTCTGAAGTTGATAGAAGAAGGTGTGCCGAGGGAAAAACTGGCGCTGCTCGCCGTGCCTATGGTCCCTCTACAGATCATCCTGCCGTGGATCATTAGCAAGTATTCTAGCGGCCCTAGACCACTAGATCTACTCATATCAGCGATACCATTTAGGTAAGCTGTAACAAGTTAGTAATTAAAGAGGTTGTGGAATGCTCGAAGACATTTCCGTCATTTTTTGGGTATATGTAGCCTAAGGTGTGATGAAATATAAACGAGTCCTGTTTATTACGTCATGATTTACTAAATTTTGTTTGCTGCCCCCAACGACGACTTTTACACAAATTGCATGTTCGGGTCAAAACAGGACCTGAAAAACAGCTCTCAAAAGTACCTTTTGTACTCATTTCATGACAGACACAATAGTCGTTTTTATTTCTTCACACCTTAGGCTACATATACCCAAAAAATGACGGAAATGTCTTCGAGCATTCCACAACCTCTTTAACCCTAACTCCCTAGGCCTTTTTGCTAGGATATAGCCTCAATCCTGCAAAATCCTCCATTATTTCTTGAATATGGTCTGTGGAGGGGTGACCACTGCCTGAATCCTGCAAAATCCTGCGGCAGTGACTCGTCAATATGTTGAGGCTTGGCCAGTGGCATCCTGGAGCAGTACGGAGGATTTCAAGCGTAACCCAGGCCTACATTTATGCTTGGCTGAGCAAAAACAACACAAGGTCCGGTCCAAGACCTTGACAACAAGCATCCTACGAAATCAGTAACGCACTTTTGCCGTGTAACCTCAATCCTCCAAATTCCTCCACTTTGGCAAAGAGGATTTTGAAGGATTCTGGGCGGTTAGGGTTAAAGTCTGTCACAAGCGAACATGGCCTATAAGGTCGGCATTTATCTCCGGTTTGCTGAGAATATTTCTGTTCCCCCTGGATGGGATGCCAGTCCATCGCAGGTGTCTCCCAGGTAATCATCTTGACATGTGTTATTTTAACCTTTCAAATCCTTTTACTATTTTGTCTCTTTTTTTGGGGTTATCTCAGATTACTTATAGGTGGTGTGGTGTTCTCCTTCATTGTGTGGTGGACTCCGTATGTCAAGTCGGAGACCGGTGAATTTCCTACATACTACTATGCCGTCCTGGTCATAGTATATGCAGTCTACCAGGTAAAAATGATGCACACTTTTGTGTGTTAAACTCTGCTACAATCTCATGGCACTGCCAAGAATGCAAGTTATAGTCAACAACACCATTGTTTATTTAGACGACAGAAATGTGCTAACTGAATTAACAGTAAACTTGCTTAAAATACAGTGTACCTTATAAATTCCTCCTATGCCTCAGATACCTCATACACTGCTAAAAATGATTTCTTTCATTTCGTAATGTATGGAAATAGTTTTTATTTCAAAAAATATTTTCTTGTCTCACTCCCTGGAAACATTTTCTAGGGAGTGAGACAAGAAACTCTTTTCTTGAACTAATATTTTCCCCTAATTTTAATACCATTTTTTAGCAGTGTAAATATCTCCTTTTGCCCAAAAAAACTCAAGAATATCTCCTATTACCTCAGAAACCTCATTACTATCTCCTTTAGACATTTTAGCTTCAGATTCTTGAAAAAACATGTACTGCCTTTTGCCTCAAGAACCTCATAAATATCTCCTTTTGCCTAGGTACCTCATAAATGTCTCTTTTGCTTCAGATACCTCATAAATATCTCCTTTTTTGGCTTCAAATACAACCTACTGCTTCTAATACCTCACAATTGTCTCCTTTTACTTCAGAAACCTCACAAATATCTCCTTTTGCCTACGGTACCTTGTAAATATCTTCTTTTTTTTTGCTTCTAATACACCCTACTACTTCTAATACCTCAAATATATATCCTTTTTCCTAGGTACCTCATAAATATCTCTCTTTTTTTCTTTCAAATACATCCTACTAGTGCTAATACCTCACACGTATCTCCTTTTACCTCAAACCTTGCAAATATCTCCTTTTGCTTTGGATACCTCTTAAATATCTCCTTTTACCTCAGAAACCTCACAGATATCTCCTTTTCCTTCAGATACCTCTAAACTGCATCTTTGTATCAAGCATGATATTCAACGCTCGAGTCAGCGACCCTCGCATCGGGGGTACCTACATGACCCTACTGAACACTGTGCAGAACTTGGGAGGCAACTGGCCCGTCACTGTCGCTCTCTGGTTGGTGGATTTCCTGACCTGGAAGTCCTGTGTGGGCGGAGCTGCTGGCGAAGGGGCGGAGCTTGATTGTGATAACAAAGCAGAGGCCAAGGTAAGCTTGCAGGAGGCTTTTTTGTGTCGCCTAAACAGAGGTTTGGGAGACACTCACCAGTCCTAAATTCTGTACGATCGTAGACCATTTTGATGAAACTTGGATGCAGTGACCCTTGGGCGGGAGGATACAATTTGTCATCGGATTACTGAGGTCAGAGGTCATGTAGGGGTCATGTAGGGGTCATTTTAATAACACTTTGATGGAGTGATCCTTGGGTGGGGTTCATTACAACTCTTCCGAAATTGGAGGTCAGAGGTCATGCAGGGGTCATTTGAGGTCATCGTTTAAAATAAAAATGCACAAAATGTAATTGGCCAAGCCTCCACATATTGACAGTCACTGCCGCAGGATTTTGCAGGATTCAGGCAGTGGTCACCCCTCAAAACGCTTGTCGGTCAACCAACGTTAAAAAAAAACTGGCTTTATTCAAATACTGCCCCCAAATTACCATATTTAGTCAGTCCGCATTTTGTTTGCAATCGATTACACACCTATGAACGGGTACATTGCAGCTAGACTGGTTCCCTAACCTTACAATTCCCTGACATCTATAAATTGCTCCGTTTCATTTTAAGTTTGGTCAGGGAACCAGACTACAGGAACATGATTATTCTTCTTGGTTTTTCCAGCATCTTTCACCATGTTTACTCCTTTGACCATCTAGGCATGTAGCGAGGCTGGAGGGCACTGCGAGACAGACATTGATGGTTACTACATTGAAATCACAGCCTGCCTCATCATCGGTTTCTGCTGGTTGCTATGGCAATCCAAGAGAGTCCGTCACCTCCAAGATCTGAACGAGGATGCCTGGAAGTGCCCCAACCAATGACGGCTCGACGTGGTCTGAATTCTGAAGGTATGACATCGGTATGGGAGCTAAAAATATTTCATGTAACAAGAAAGTCATGTTTTTCCCATAATTGGAATACACAGGAACATCAGGTGTTTGGGAATAGCCTGAGAACGTCAGGTTTTCCGATACAGGAATAGGAATAGCCTGGGAACATCAGGTTCCAGTATGGGAATAGGAATAGCCTGGGAAACATCAGGTTTTGCGATACAGGAATAGGAATAACTTGGGAACATCAGGTTTTCCAATATGGGAATCGGAATAGCCTGTGAACATAAGCTTTTCCAATATGGGAATAGGAATATCCTGGGAACATCAGGGTTTCCAATATGGGAATAGGAATAGCCTGTGAACATCAGGTTTTCCAATATGGGAATAGGAATAGCCTAGGAACATCAGGTTTTCCAATATGGGAATAGGAATAGCCTGGGAACATCAGGTTTTCCAATATGGGAATAGGAATAGCCTGGGAACATCAGGTTTTCCAATATGGGAATAGGAATAGCCTGTGAACATCAGGTTTTCCAATATGGGAATAGAAATCCTGGGAACATCAGGTTTCCAATACGGGAATAAGAATAGCCTTGGAACATCAGGTTTTCCAATATGGGAATACAAATAGCCTGGGAACATCAGGTTTTCCCATTATGGAAATAGGAATAGCCTGTGAACATCAAGTTTTCCAATATGGGAATAGGAATAGTCTGTGAACATCAGGTTTTCCAATATGGGAAAATGAATAGTCTGTGAACATCAGGTTTTCCAATATGGGAATAGGAATAGCCTTTGAACATCGGGTTTTCCAATATGGGAATAGGAATAGCCTATGAACATCAGGTTTTCCAATATGGGAATAGGAATAGCCTGGGAACATCAGGTTTGCCAGTATGGGAATAGGAATAGCCTGTGAACATCAGGTTTTCCAATATGGGAATAGGAATAGCCTGTGAACATCAGGTTTTCCAATATGGGAATAGGAATAGCCTGGGAACATCAGGTTTTCCAATATAGGAATAGCCTGGGAACATCATGTTTGCCAGTATGGGAATAGGAATAGCCTGGGAACATCAGGTTTTCCAATATTGGAATAGGGATAGCCTGGGAACATCAGGTTTTCCAATATGGGAATAGGAATAGCCTTTGAATATTGGGTTTTCCAGTATGGGAATCGGAATAGCCTGGGAACATTGGGTTTTTCAGTATGGGAAACGGAATGGCCTGGGAACATTGGGTTTTCCAATATGGGAATAGGAATAACATGGAAAAGCTGGTGTTCCCATATGGGAATAGGAATAGCCTGGAAACACCAAACATTCTAACATTGGAATGAGAAAAGTATAGGAATATCAAGTGTTTTCACATGGGAAAAAGTAAAGCTCATGTGTTTGCATAGTATGGGAATATAAACTTACATTTATAACAGATGTTCCCATATGGGAATAGGAAAGGCTTGTGTTTCCATGCTATGGGAATATGAAGAACATGGGAATATCAGGTGTTTCCATATGGGAATAGGAAAAGCCTGGGAATATAAGGTGTTCCCATATTGGAATGGGAATATAAACAATAGATATTCATATGGAAAGAGGAACATCATTGGAGAATCACACCAGATATCGCCAATTCAATTGTGTGGGTTTTTTTGCCTGTCTTTTTATTTGCTTTCATAGCTGTTAAATATAAGGTCATCGTGAAAGACAAAAAAAAAAAATTGGAATATCTTTTGAAATGATCACAATCTTTAAAATTAAAAAGAAATCCAAGACCAAAATATTTTTTTAAACTGAATACATGTCAGCTTCAGACGGACCACGTGATTTTGTTTGTGCATTTAAAATTGATTTGATTTAAAATGTATGTTACTTTTGTTTTCATTTTGTTTCAATAAATCTTTAAATTTAGCAAAATATCTGTAAGAATGTCACATTTAATTTTAACAAGAGAAATAAATTTGACTGCTTCTGGTGATTTTCTTAATGATATTTTAGATTATTTTTTAGATTTTTGGATCATGTTCAATTATATTCTCATTTTGATTCAATAGTTAAAACTTCTTTTTAAACTAACTATTTTTTTCCCTTTTAATTCAGAAAAAAAGTAATCTCATAAAACTTCAAATTTGGGAATATGAGGGATCAATGGTGAATTTATGCTTTAATATTTTACAATACTTTTTTTCGAGATTGTTGGATAAAATAGTTTTGACCGATCAAAATTCTATAACAATGGTGTATCTAAGGCATTTGTTAAATACTACGCGGTTACCTGGCTTTGGGGGTTTGTAGGACGCATAGAGTTGCTGGATGTAGGGATCGATTACCATGAGAAGTTGTCCCTACTGCAATCCTTTTCCGCCCGAAACCTCCCTGAAATCAGTGCTCTTTTTATCACGTCGTATCATACAGACCCATATGAACAGCGACCTCTATAGTTTATTGGCGTGTAGCTTGGGAGTTTCCCTTTCAGATACAGCGTGTGTACGTGTTTGCGTTCATGTATGTGCGTGAATGTATACATGTACACAAGCTGTACGTAAGAGAGAGGACAACCAACCTCCCCCCCCCCCCTCGCGCCGGAAATAACAAATGTTGAAAAAAATCTAAGTTGGACCAAGCATCACCCACCCACCAATTTGGCCCAGAAATCGGTCCACTTTTTGTTAGATAGACCCGTATGAACAGCAATCTCTATAGTAATATTAGCATGTAGCTTGGGAATTCCCCTTTCAGATGCATTCAAACAGTCAGTCCAACTCCCAGCGCCGATAAAGGCCTATTCGGGCCGAAAATTCAGCTACAAGAATTCCGTGTGAACAATGCTTGAACTTATTTTCATCATTTATACATTCGTGAATATATGCATGTACACATGCTGTAGGTATGTAAGAGAGAAGGACCCCCCAGGAAGGGGGCCCTGGGTAACAATCGCTTAACAAAGGATGAAAAAATCTAGGTTGGTCCAAGTCTGACCCACCCACCGAGTTTGAGCGCTGTGTGGCCTGTCACTTACGAGAATAAGCCCAGCAAACATCCAGCAAACATCCAGAGACTTGTGTATTATTACATAGATTGCAAATAGTAGACTAATATCTTAATTGCAGACTTGATAGGAATAAGGAAAATATTGGCCCACATTTTGAAGAAGCAAGCATTTAAAGCTGCATTCCCCATGCTATTTTTGAGTTTCATCCTAAAAAGTAGATTCCTTTTTTCAATTGCAGTTTCTCTAGCTATACAAAAGTTATTCAATTTTGAATGAGAAATGGACAGAAAATCGGCCCATGTTTAGTTATTTGAGTCATTACTGCACAGTTTCGAATTATTGGCTGTCGGACAATACTTCCATTCTTGTTGGGTAGGCTGGTCCCTACCCCACAATCAGTATCAATAATGTACGGACCAGGAGCTAGTCTGCTCGCAAAGTGAATCTGTTCCAACACAAAAACATTTATTCTTAGAAAATTTTTGGGGTAAGATTAAAACAGACAATTATTAAATGTTTATTAATTAATAGAAAAAAAAATTGAATTAAGCTATAACGTCTTAATAAGTAAGTAAAATTCAATGTTTGTATAGTGTTGTGAAGTATTTTATCCAAAATATAGAAATATTTATTTTGGCTTTATGCGAAAGACAACATGTTTTAAGTTAAAACGATTTGTCTTCTCTTTTTGTTTTGTTTTGTTTGTCTCCGTACATTTCTAACCATTATAGACCTATGCTGTATAAGTAATCTCATGAATGCGAGTGGCACTTGGACTGATGTAGTGCGTTTGTGTCCCATTTGCCACACGTCCGAATATGGAACACCGACGTATTACAGTTTTCCGTGTTGCAAGAGCGCGGATGGGATAACAAATTTATCACCAAGAAAATTTGACACACAATAAAAGTTGGACTGCGCACTCTATAGGAATGGTTCAGTGATTATCCAATTACATGTGCAACAGGAGTAGCATGTTCATATTCGTAAGTGACCGCATCATACACGCTACTTGCTACTCTCTGTGCAGTGGGCGTGGTTAAAGTAGAAATAACGAAATGACGTCACACTTACGAACTGGAAAGACTCTGCAATCTGGTTCGTTAGTAACTTCGTCATACACGCGTTCACAAGTCATACACTAGCGCCCCTTGGATAATCACTCGAGTTCTGTTAACTTCTGGTTCCGATGGTTCCAATATGTGCAGTGGGCGTGGTTTGTGTGATATTTTCAAACTGTTCTTGTCAACACTCAACCAATCAGGATCAAAATTTCAAGTTTGTTTGAAGATAAACTACTTAGCATCACTTCCACGTATATACGCTTTTGTTTATTGACTTCTTCGATACAGGATATATTTTTGTATATACCTAGCGTTAAAATTCTGCATGCTATAAATTGTGCACAGTTTCTCGTGTTGGACCGACAGCATTCACGCCGTGGCGACTGCGACACGCAAGAAATACCCGCTGTCGAAACGCCGCCCTGAAATCGGCCTTGAGTGCGTAAAGTAGTGGATTGAACGCGCTGTTCGTGTGCGACAACACCACGCACGTGTTCATGACTGCCTGGCTGACGCTCACGCCGAAATACAGAAGAGCGTCGACGATGGATATGGGCATCCACGATACGAAGAAAAACAGCATGAGGAAGGCGAAGAACGTCGCTGTCTTGACCTCTCGCTTGATGCGGTGGAAGTTGTCGAGATTGGAGATGCTGGCTACGTCTTGTGGGTTCACCCTTCTTGTAATTCTGCTCACAGCTGTTTGCAAAGTCTCTCCTCTTATTGATGGATCTTGTTCGTGGAGACGTTGGCCGGTTTCATGAAGGGCTTGGATTTGCTTGAGCTGTGTTGGAAATAGTGAAATTCAGATAAGATTTGAAGGCTCACTTGGTGGAGTCAGTCATGAGAGTTAGTTTGTAGTTGCATAGTGTGACATGAAGTCTCTTTTGTGAGTTTTGTGAGAGTCTTGAAAAGAATTGCCCGAACGAAATATTTTGGATTTATGCTCTGCCTGTTGTCCGCTCACTGAGGGATTACAAAATGTGGTGGTGGGTGGGTATGTAGGAGCACTTGAAATTTAAAATTTAGATATATTGACGCTGTTTTCACAAAGTGACAAAAACCTGGAAAATAATTTTTCGACAATGAGTTTTACTAGCCGTTTCATTTCATTAGACACAAGAGTAATTTGACCAAGTTTCAAAGTGAAATATTGTTTACTTTTTTAATTATTGTAACCAAAAATTTTTCAAAAGCTTGAACCCCGTGTTTTTTTGTTTTTACGAAGTGTCAAAAAGTCACCTCGTTAGGCGTTAGAAGCTAGAATAATGAATATATTTCACTTTCATTGAAGTCAGTTTGTTCATTTGTTGAGGAGTACATTTGGGAAACTATAATGACAAATTTCTTGGTTTTTTTTTAAAAACTTTCCAAGGCCTGAAAGTTGGAACTGAAAATAGCTATAACTATGTCAGATATTGTACTATTCCCATATTCTATACATCATGGAAAGCTTATTCAATGTCCTTTCCAGTGAGCCCCAAATCCCAGTTTTCAAGCATTGGTCCAAGTGACTGGTTTTTGTGCTGGAGAGTCACATAATGAATGAATTTGGTTGCGTGTTTTCAAAATAGGCTTCTAAGATGCCAAAACAGCATAGAAGTTGGTCATGAAAAAGCCATAAATTTATCCCGGAAAAGTCATTAAAAAATTTCTGTGGGAACCCTGAAAAAAGAAACCATTTCCTGTTTTTCCAAAGATAAGTATAAGGAGAATAATGAGTTTTATGTTGTGTGAATTTGGTTGCATAGGCTTCTAAGATGCCAAAACAGCATAGGAATTGGTCATGAAAAAGCCATAAATTTATCCCGGAAACGTCATTAAAAAAATTCTGTGGGAACCCTGAAAATAGAAACTATTTCCTGTTTAAGGATAATAATGAGGTTTTTTTTCAAGTACCTGTTTTTGTATGATGCCATACAGTCGGATGTACACACCACACATCAGAAGAAACGGTACCAGAATGCACGAGAAGAACACATACGTCATATACTGCATGCTAACGACTTCCACGAAGGAGCATTGCGGTTGAGATGGTTGATGGTGCCACCCTAGCGGCATTGGGAGAACCAGCAAACAGGCGACCAACCAAGCGAGCAAGGCCGCAAGCGTAGCTCTCGTCTTGGTGACCCTAACGCTGTACTGCAACGGCCGCGTTATGGAGTAGTACCGATCCAACGTCATCGCACACAGGGCGAAAACGGACGCCGTGTCGATTAGGACGACAACCGATAGAAGCATCAGGCAGAATGGGAATTGACGGGGATGGCCCTGTAACGCAACCAGGAGGATGGGTATAGCGACAGTCCCCATTAACAAATCGCTCAGGGCTAGTGAGACAAGGTGAATGTTGGATACGGTGAGGCGGAGCTTAGGTTCCAACGCAAAGAGGAGGATGACCAAGGAATTACCGAGGAACCCGCAAAGAGCTAGGATGCCTTCGACGATGTAGTAAGCGGCCGGTGTCGCGCGCGCAGCGGCTGACAAGTCGGAGGTTGATTCTGGAACGGTCCAGTTGGTTGACAGCAGTCCAGTCATCTTTCAAGTCTGACAGGCTCACTGACGAAGATAGCAAATCCTTCTGGACAAATTGTTGGAAGAAGACTTGCGTTGCTTCATTTACGAGTTTAATTGACAAAAAACATGTCCTTATGTGGAGTTGAAGTTCAAGTACTACATCTTCAATCTAACAACACAAGTCTATAAACATTGGTCAGAGACTAGTCCTAACACAAATTCTATTCAATTGATTCAGAATGGCGATTTTCTGGAAGTCTTTTCATGCATCAGTCTACACAGTAAGCCGGACTTAGCCCATTCATTGGCTACAGGGTTATCCTATACAACAGCACTGCCCGGCTCCCTTTCCCAGCCTACAAGCACTCTAAATCACAAGTGGTAATTAGTCAGTGAGTGAAGTAGTGCAAAGAGGGCACTAGGCTAGCCCTCTGGGACTCGCAAGAAAGATCGGTAACTGACGAGAAGTGTGTTAAACAAACTAAGAAATCAGACGCAGTCATATTGTCTGCCACAAACGTCATGCAGAATTCTCCTAATAACAATAGAACATTCAGCCACCTTTGATGTCACTTCTTGTTCAAAAACTCATCCAGAATTAGTTAATTTGCTGAACAGATGCTGCCACAGTAATCCAAGAAATAGAAGAATGTATCTTAAGAAATGCCAGCTCCATAGACTGCGTGCCACTCAAAAAGGTGTGACGTTTCGCCTTTTTCTGTGGATGAAGATGGTCTTGCCATCGGTGAATGGAATATGCAGAGTATACCTTCTTCAAGTGCAAACAAGCCACATCAGTTAGAAGTGTGAAATTGAGACGTGGGCAAATACGTCGCACTTTGTACTGCGAAATGAAGCCCGGTTTGGTGAATGATAAATCAGGACCACTGACCATGCATTCAGGTGAAATGAAGAATGTATTGACTCAAGAATTAGTGATCGCTGCGGCTGAAATTTCAGGGGGGGGGGGAAACGAGGAAGAAGAAGAAAAAAAAGGCATCACAAGATTAATACAGACTTTGCTCACCTCGAGGACTAACTTGATTAGGAACAACCCATAATACTTGACACAGAGTAAAGAGTGTGTCAGTAACTTTGCGTAGGATTAGATAATTTGGTTCAACGAGCAGATTTGTGTTTTTTTTCTTGGGATGGAGAACTAATGAAATTTATTTTCAAAAGGGTGAAATTTTATGTACAGTGCATGTAATGCTTTTTGAAAAAGTCTGTTCAATTTGAAAATTAATTTCTTTGCCGTTAAAAAATATGTAAACCAACAGACCTGATAGTGATATGTAATGACATCATGCTTTGCTTATTTGTGCGCTTTCCTACGGGAGCAAGGTGGGGACGACGCACCAAGCTCCCATAAAAGCACCATGTAAACAAAACGTGACGTCGTTATTTCTCAGGTCTATTTGTATAAACCTCTTGACTTCTGAAATGTAACGGAAACCATTTGCAAACATCCAAAAATGAAACTCTCAAAACACCATGAAATATCCTACTTGATTGTAAGTAAATAATAGGATCATTAGCATTCTGTGAAATCTAGTAAGTTTATTTTCGAGAAAAGAGGAATTAACATAGACATCTAATAAAACCTAGACACATTTACTGCTTTTATGTTGTGAATTGTGTGAGCAAAACAGGCTGTGTCACCCGGCCTGTGATATGTTATGCAATGCGCGAATGTCATGTGGCTTTGAATTACGCGCATTCTTGCGTACATATCTAAGCGCGCAGCCGATGATTTCAAATAATGCGTGTAGTGAGACCGCCCCTCTTGTGCGACACGTCACGCCCATGATGAGCGTTCGCGTAATACTTTACATATTGTATATGTGCAACATTTTGTTCACATACGCGAGAGCAATTGTCATGTCTAGGTTTTATTAGATGTCTATGGGAATTACCATTATTTCCTCGCAGTGATTAGGACTAAACCATCGCACAGTCAAAGGCAACCTATGCTTTGTGTCGAGAAAAATGAAGATGCAGTTTTACAGTTTTCTCAGAAATTATATCTACTAAGCTGACATTTTGACAGGCTGGTTTTTTAATAACCTGCCTCAGATTGTATAGTGTTCCTCGAATCAGCCAAAACACATTTTGGGGGCAAATGCTGCCATTACCCTAAATACGTGAAAAAAATTAGTCTAAAAATAAACCAGAACTTGAAATTGAATTTAATTGTGGGTCGAACCTGGCACGGAAACGTGTCAAATTTTGGATCCGTGCAATATGACTTTCCTGAAAAAGCGAGCGATAGAGGAATTTATGTGAAAAAAACCCCAAAAACGATGCCTTAACACCGAAAGACGTGCCTTGGTGCAAGATGTACCCAATTACGACCATGCAGCACGCATACTGAATGTACATTACTGGAAATGCCGCAATTTACAACCTACGTGCCCTCATTTGCTGCATGGAAACGGTGTAGGGTGTCGGAGAACACATCAATTTGGTGTAAAAAAAGACACATTGAGTTAGTTTCCATGTACATTTTTAACTTTAATAACAGTAATTCAATTTTCTTCGTTATAAATCATTTCTAGACACTCTTGTGGAATCCATGGAAACGTTTATTCAAGGAATAATGAAATGTAAATAATTTACATGAATCCAAACTGTAAAATAGAATATAAATATTTCTTGTTAAAGCATTGAACTGGACGGATTTGCTAACATTCAAAGGTTAAATATTAACCCTAACCCCTTGAGTGATTTACTAGGAACCTTCCTCACTCTTGCAAAATCCAACACCATATGGTAACTCTGACTCAACACCCGAACTGTTGGACTCTGATTATGGCTGCATGCCTGACCCCATGTAAAGCATAATCAGTTTAGTAGTGCAGTACTCGACACTCCAACAAATTCCAACAAAACACGCAGTTGGATTTTGAAGGGTTGGGGTAGTTAGGGTTTTAAAGTTCTTACAAGAAACACAAAATTAAACTATACATCAAATTGTTTTTTTTTTTAAACAATACGGCCATTTGAGATCACCCATGAAGTTCAATAAAGATTGTACAATTAGGGACCTTCTACAGTTTAAAAAATCCACACATTTATGTGGAATATATTTACGATCGTACATGTATAATCAATTTTCTTTATTCCTTTGTCTAAATTTGATGCATCAACTAAAAATTCGTCAGGCGTTTACAATTTAGGTAAAACTTACTAAAAAAAAATAATCACCCATAAGATATTTCAAGTCCAGCTGAGAAAGAAAACACAATTCTTGGTTAATTATTTCAATTTGTCGGGAAGTTTAACCATTTTCATCCGAGAGAATTTGGGATGTTTTTAAATCTTAAATTACTTTGTCAATAAAAAATATAAACAAATTTGAACGTATATCAAAACAGGCATTTGGACAATGGCTGCAACAGTGGTGTAGTCCAGTCCATGACAAGTCCGGTTAAGTAAATCGCAAGTGCTTTCCCGTAACAAGTAATAGGTGATTAAACACAGGAGTGCTTTTTACAGAGTTCATATGAATAGCCTGTGACTTGACTTGGGACGGCCTTGTGATGGACTTGTGAAGACTTGTGATGGACTTATGAGGACTTGTGATGGATGTGTGAGGACTTGTGATGGACTTTTAATAGACTTGTGAGTACTTGTGATGGACTTGTGAAAACTTGTGATGGACTTGCGATAGACTTGTGATGGACTTGTGAAAACTTGTGGTGGATTTATCAGGACTTGTGATGGACTTGTGATAGACTTGTGAGTCTTGTGAAGACTTCTGATGGACTTGTGAGGACTTGTGATGCCTTGTGATGCCTTGTGTTGACTCGACTATAACACTGCACTAACAATGCACTAGCTATAATCAGACGACAGCAGGTTCAGTTTGAGCGGCAGATGATTGAGGGCGCTGTTGAACTCGTTAATAGACGCAGCCAGTTCTGCGTCGTGGTCCTGGCTTGCGTTGCTGGATGCCTGCGCCCTCAAACCAAGCTCGGTAGCCTGAAATAAAACACAAAACAAAAATCCTCTTTCACTCAGAGATTTCCACAAAAATTTTTGGGTAACCTCTGTTTATATTAACCCCAGAGAATATAACATTGCACTTATATAGCGCTTTATACCCAAGGTTTCAAAGCGCTTTACAATTATTATCCCTGTTCATCATGAATGAGACCATTTTTCTGCAGCAGCTCGAGATCAGCGCATTCTGGTCTCTACCGTCACAGGTACCCATTTATACTCCTGGGTGGAGAGAGGCAATTGTAGTAAAGTGCCTTGCCCAAGGACACAAGCAGAGAAAGTTCGCCGACGACTATGGTTAAACCATAGTTCGACTACTTCACTTGAATGCTGAATGGTTGAACTTCTCTAGTCTGTTTGAAACCAGCGCCTGGGGCACGGTTCTGTAATGGTTAACAATCTAGCTGTGTACAGTCGACTGTTATTAATACAAATTCTGTTAATACAAAATCTGGTTATAGTGAATATAATGCCTAGGTCCTAACTCTGCATTTATGTGCACAATGAATGGGACCAATGCTCCTCTTAGTACAAACTTCTGATATAACAAATATTTTGGCTGGGTCCGGGGCTGAGTTTGTATCAACTTGAATCAACATAAAGCACATCATAAAGCACTGTATCAGGCATGTAACTTGGAATTTAGAAAAAACGAGGAAAGTCTAAACCACACAAGACTTAGTACAGTATTTTTCAATTTGTAATGGCATTCATGAGAAGTAAAAAACGAGGAAATCAGCGGATCCCAGGAAAAGTTGCATGCCTGACTGTATGGAGACAGGGTCAAGAAGTTTTGTGATGAATTTTTGACCAGCGTTTGACCAGAGACGTTGCTGTTAGTGCACAGGTGTACTTCACAACTCTACCACTAGTCAACTACCATTTCCATAAAGTCGAAATCATGCGACATATGAGTGAAAAATCAGTAGAACTGTTTTTACCTTCGGAATGTCATCCAGTAGATAGTAGAGCATGGCAAGGGCGTGGCCAATGGTTGCCATGGCAGCCGCATCCTGATTGGTCACTTGCTCTCTGATGTCATGAATGGAGTGCAAGACCTGTTTGGCCTCTGCTTCTTGCGCTTCGTCTGTGAGAAGAAAACAAATACAAAATGCAAACTTATTGCTAATTTTTTTTTGGTTTTCGCCTACAAATATCAGTCCACTTGGACAAAATCATAATTCTATCAGTTTTCAAGTGTCAACAGTTTTGGGCCAATTGTCACCTGAGAACTTAGATAAGTTTTTCATTCTGAAGACAAAAAAACTTGACAATACTTCAGTAAGGAAATTTATTTTCAAAACCAATTCCGTGTGCAGACTGGAAAAACTAGCCACTTCAATGAAAATGGTATAACTCCTCACCACAGCCAATAATTTGAAAAATTCAAAATTCCTGTGGAAGACAAGTTAAAGGGAAAATACAACATTTGCAAACATCAAAAAATAAAACTACCAAATTATTTTGAAATACCTTGCTGGACTGTTAGTGAATGACAGTGTAAAGCATCCTGTAAAATCATGGCACCTGGTATACTGTCATTTTCAAGAAAAGTGGTATTTTTGTATCAATTTCCAACGCTGATCAGCCGATCAGCGTTGGAAACAACTGGCTTTTTTCAAATACTGGCCCCAATTGACCATCGCACTTGTTTGCAATCGATTACAAACCTATGAACGGGTACGAGCCAGCTAGACTGGTTCCCTGACCTTACAATTCCCCAATGTATGTATATAAACTGCTCTGTTTCTTCTTATATGGAGTCAGGGAACCAGACTACAGGAACATGATCGTTTTTCTTGGTTTTTATAGCATTTTCGAACCCAAAACCTCAAAAAAGTCAGTGTTACTATATTTGCTATATATTTGCTATATATTTCCAACCCCCCAATTCCATCCATTTCTGAAAATTACAGCAAGAGCAAATGATGTATATTCCCTTTAATACCCATTTATATGAAACACTCACTTTTTGCTCAATGCTCGATCTATTTGCCACAAAAAAAATAGTGAACTTGGGTACAGATCATTCTGACTCATTACTTTCCCCAACAGAGTCGGCACTCGGGTACTCCCTGTGACTAATGGGTTCAATGCATGACATATTCCACAAACTGCACTTTGACGGTTGAAAATGAACAGCATTTGTTCCTGTTTTTTCAGGACCAATGGACACAATGCATTGAACAGCTCAGTGGAACGATGTCTGCTATAAATTAAAAGCCCTTAAATCGGTACATTGCATGAAATAAGGACAAATGCTAATGATCCTAAAGCATTTTAAGATCCTGGCTTCATGAAAACAGACAAAACAGGAAGTCAGAAAACCGTACCTAGGGATTCCACTTTGCGTTCTTCCAGTTCCACCACGGCGGACGACATACCACTCTGTGTGTCGCTCTTTTTCGTTCGATCCGAAACGATCGTCAGCAGATGGCTATGCCAGATCGACGTGACCCTTGTGTACAACGAATCGGCGACGTCCATACGATTCTGACGGAAGAAGACGTTGGCCATGTGGAAATAGCCGCCCGACGTACGGATATCATCCGTGCCAAATTCTTGCGAAGCATGGAAAATCTGTCAGGAAATTTAAAAATATAATATTTTGAACAGAGGGTAATTTCGTAAGGCATTCTAGGGTCTTGTTCTACACATTAGCTGTGAAATTCAGTTACACAACCCTATTGATAATGTGTATTTATGAAACACAAATGTCCTTTATAATTAGCGCTCAAGGCGCTACATCATTATTACCCTGCTCATTGGGCCAATGAAACATTCCAAAGACAATCTCAGCTCCCTGGGGAGCATACAGCTCGATGCTGCCATTTTAGCGCAAAGCAGCTAAAATCAACCACATTAACCATCACTGCCCTCACAGGTACCCATTTACTCCTGGGTGGAGAGAAGCAATGAGTGACAAAGTGCCTTGCCCAAGGGCACACGCACCATGACTCCAGGCTGGACTTGAACCCACAACCTGCAAAGCTCCAAGCTGCGATTTTCGGAGCAAAGCAGCTAAAATCAACCACAATAACCATCTCTGCCCTTACAGGTACCCATTTACTCCTGGGTGGGGAAAAGCAATGAGTGACAAAGTGCCTTGCCCAAGGGCACACGCACCATGACCCAGGCTAGACTCGAACCCACAACCTGCAGAATTACCCGCAGACCAAGAATTCAAAGCTCTAGACCACGAAGCCACGGCAGTAACACTAACAGTATTCACACACGGACTTCATACTCACATCATCAGCGAGATGTCTGAGTGACTCTTCATAGTTCCCTTGAGCTGCATACAGCAGGCCCAGATTGCGAGCTAGCTTGGACTTGATAGCCGAGCTACAGTCGGGCGTCTTGAGTACCGTCCACTGAGCTTGGGCCAAATACTCCTCCGCCTGGGAAAGCTTATGTAGACCTGTCAGTAAATCCAGCAAGGGGGCAATTCCAACGTTATGAAAGGAACTTTGTCTGCGACAGAGCCTAATAATTCAGAGAAATGATCCCAAACTCCTAGTCTGTAATCTCCTTGACCCTTACTAGATGATGGATGTCTAAGATTTGAAAAAAAATACATTTTCAGGTTTGTTCACTGAGCTTTTAAAAACTATGTCACGGACGTTACACAAGGCTATGCAACCCTAGTAAAGCTGGTCCCAGAGTGCAAGCAAGTTTAGATAATTGATTCCGAATGGCTATTCACTGGAAGACTTTTTATGCAATCTGGTCTAAACAAAGGCTGGATTTAGCCGATTCTTTGGTATTGCCGGGTAATCCTATACAATAGCACTGCCCCGCTCTCTTCATAAACCTGCAACCAGTCCATGCCACGAGTGACAGTCAGTCAGTGAGATAGGTGCAAAGAGGACACTTGGCCGGCTCTCTGGGACCAACAAAAATGCCACTTTGTTCAGCAAACTCACCTATGCTAGCCTCCGCTAGGATAAGATATGACGGTACCAGTTCAATGCTATCCAGTCCGTGCACATCAATGCTGAAACGAAGCGACTGCATCGCGGCGGGCACTGCTTGCTCATGCTTGCCTTCAAATAACAACTTCTGACCCGTGGTTCGCGTCAGATCAATCATATTCCTCTGAAGATAAAAAGACAACATATCAAATTGTTTTCAGAGAGAAATATGTTTACATTTTTTAAAGTTAATCACTAAGCTGGCACTGGCTTTTTTTTTGGGGAGGGGGGGAATGGGGGAGGAGGATGGGAAGAGGGCAGGAAGACAGTGGCACATCAGCTGGCCTTTGCAAAATTGAAGAGTCGGAAGGAGAGGGGAACTCATTTCATTTGCACTGAGGGAGAACTCTTGCATTTCTTTCTGTCGTTGGCGAGTAAAGTCTGATTTTTCAAAACATTGTCGGTTCGACATGTCCGATGGTCCAAAAACCATTGTTCCCAAATTTTAAAGAGTTAATGATCAACCAGGGCAACTTGAGAAAGGGGAATTCTAGTTGCAAGTTATTCGTCTATCAAAGCTCCAATCCAAATCCAATAGCGTACAGACCTCCCAAAACATGATAGGGCCTGGGTGCACATGGTACTGCCTTAAGTTCTAACTAGGCATGAGCTTCCACGGTTAGGCTCTAAATTTAATTTGCGATGATGTCAATTGCTATAGGGGGCCTACCTGTCTCAGCAGCAGATCTTGTTCTTTCTTTCGCCGCTGCTCCTCTGACGAGAGAAATGACAGCTGGGGGGTGCGCAGGGGGATGAGCAACTGACATATCTTCTCATGGATACCGACCCAGTCTGCTTGCTGATGTTCAACACCACTTGAAGTTAAAATCCAAAAAAAATTTTTTAATGAATTTCAAATTCAATCTAAAAAAAAAAAAAATTCAAACAGCTAAAATATAAGGCGAAGTAAAAAAAAAAACATGTTTAGCATCCCCGCCCGCTTCCTTTTTAGAGGCCGCCTCCTTTTTTTTTTTTTTTTTTTTTTTTTTAAAGACAAAAATTGATAAATTTTAACGATCTCTGACGAAAGAAATCATATTTTTAGACTTTTATACCGTGTATAAAGCTGTGGAAATAGTCAATGAGTCCAAGTGGCGGCCATTTTGAAAAAAGCTGGTAACCATCTTGAAAAATAGCCCGGCCGCGTTGTCTTGAAAAATGTGTCGGGCGGCCATTTTGAAAAAAAAAAAAAAAAAAAAGGGCCTCCTCCTTCCTTTATGTCAAAGAGGCAGGACGCTAAACATGTTTTTTTTTTATTTTGCCTAATTGCTTTGGCCTGAATAAGTAAAAATATATTAAATATCAAACATAAGCAACTAACAGTAGAAGCATCTGAACATCCTTCCTAGAAAATTATAAATATCTTAATAAATCTTATACAAAACATTAACACCAATTTAGGTTTTTTTCAAGAAAAATATTCTCACCAATAAAATGTCACTCGGCATTTTGTGCACTGCACAAACGCCGGCTTTTGACACAGTTCACAGAGAAGTTTCACTCCTTTTGGGTTTGACAGGGGGTTCAAAGTCATGGTTGTGGAAAGTAGAAAAAGGTAAGCTGACCAATTCCAAATATTGTGTACAAAAAGTTCTTTAAAATGTCCCGTTTGCACTTGATAATTTAAGACCAAAATTCACAACTTTCTGTCCGCCAAGATTCTTGTTGCCATTCGCAATGGTAAACAACGCATGCGTATATTGATCGTACAAAGGATAACCGACGGCTGTTGTCGGTTTCAATCTTTCTGTATTTAAATTTATATATAAAATAGCCGTAGGTGATGTTTTCTTTCTTTTCCCGAAAAAAAGTAATTATTACAGTTTTAATTTAAAAAAATATATAAACACTTTATTTAATTTGATTATTATTAGTTTTGCTTCTGAAGGTAACTTTACGACGAACAATCATTTTAGTGTTAAGTACAAAATGTACAACATAAAAATCAATGATTAATAAGGTGGATTTTAAATGTCTTTCCTCCGCCTCTTTCCGACTGCACTGACGATAAATTAGATGAGAGTTGTATACCAGACGACGCTGGCACCACGTGCAAAAATTTCACAAACCTGCTGTAAGACTGACTGGTGTCGGAGTCTCCAAAAGAGTGCTACAAATTTTTCTCTAAATCGTAGATAATTTTTGCACTTTTACTAAATCAAAGCAGCCATGGCAATTAAGGGAGCGAAGAAGCAGAAGGTAAGTATGGGAATTGGGAGTTTTTCGACTGTTTGCAATCATTTACAGATGTGGAAAGCTGGCGAGAAATTAAGACCGAAGCCACGCCGAAAATGCCACATCGTGTTCCGCGTGTTAGCGGGTAGAGCACGCGGTCGGGTGACCGCGTCACCGCGTGGCCGCCGCACATGGCGTGGTGGCATGCACGTGGTCCATGGTGCGTAGTCGGCCGGCCACGAGGTTTTTGGTCGGCAGACTAGGCCCTATATAAAAAGCGTGTTGAAACATGATTTGCTTAATTAACTATACAAACATGACAAATGAACTTCAAATTTGATTTTCAGTAGCCTATTCCTGGTAAAAATGGGAATTGCGGGGGTTTCCTTTGATTTTTAATAATAATTTTTTTTTTTCTAATTTTTTTTATTTGTAATTTTTTTTTTTTTTTTTTTTTGAGGTGGGGGGAGGGGTTTCACAAGCAGACATTTCGCCAGTAATTTCCAAAATGTTTTCAACAATTGCAAAATGATACTTGATAGACTTAAAAATTTGTGAATTTTTAAAAAAAAAATGCCCTAGTTTGGTTACGCTTGTTACTTTTTATTAAATCAAATCAAAAGGGGGGGGGGGGGTAACAGTACAAAAAAGGGGTCCTTTTCTATTGAGGAATAGGAATCGGGATTGAGTGGCTTCACATCGACTTGTTTGGTAGTGCGGTTCGTATGCTTTCACCATTTTTGGTGAAAATGATGTCTTGCAAACAATGTATGGAGAGTGGCACGTTAAACGTAAGACATATTAGAGGTACGGTAGTGCGGTACGTACGAAAGGTGGTGCGGTACTTTCACGTAAGGCTGTGCGTTATGTACGACAGGTGGTGCGGTACGGTACCTACACTAAGTGGTGCGGTCCTTATCTTAAATATGAAGGGTGCGGTCCTTATCTTAAATATGAAGTGCAGAGACACTTCACAGACACAGATAGAAGGTTGTGCGGAAAATCGGAAAATAATACAAACAAGAATAGCATTGTGCGGAGGTTATCACAAATGTACCGAAAAGTTGTGCGGAGACAATCATGAAGCAAAAGTGGTGCGGTTCCGAAACCCTGAAAACACAGTTCATGTGTTCGAATGATACGTGCAAAAGATTCAGAGGCCTTGGCAGGAAAATGCTCAAAAACTGAAGTATTGTCAGATTATCTGAACTAAACTATACAAAAGCACCTCAAAATTCTGTTTGAATTCTAACCGAGTTGTTCGGACACAGACCACCGAAAATGTTGGAAGTTCCTGATAGAGTATGTATTGCTGCCTGATTAACCCTCCTGCTGTCTGAACAGTCACAGACAGTCAACAAAAGTCGATCCTCTTCCCCTGCCATGCCTTTTACACAGGCTAGTCACTAATAGTTGGATCATATCTTATGCAAGCACTGAGACTAGTCAAATTCAGTCAACAGACAAAAGCAGGCAAGTGGTAGGCACAGCTGGCTTATAAATCACCCACAGTCAAAGCAAAGCTGTATCAAGTTACATAAAACAGTCACAGCCAGTCAATCCTGCTTTATGTAGGCTGGGAGCTTTTAACTGTTGAAAACAGTCACTTGATTGATTTTGACTGAAAGAACAACTTGGCACAGAATGTATGTTTGCATAGGAGGGTTAAGTGACTTTTAACAAATTTGACCCGTAAGAAGTTTAAGAAGGAATTGTTTTAAAACTTCTAATTACATTTACAATTATTTTCTAAAAAGTTGCTTTCCAAGTTTAAACAAAGTAACAGAGAAAAAAAAAATAATTTACAGAAGCCTGCAGCATTTTTGGTCGCATGTATCCGGAAAAACTCAATTTCAAAAACGAAAGCCTTGGCCTCTTCTTTTCCCACAAAATCTGTTGGTTTATCATGAGAGGTGCAAAAGAATCACTCACTTGATTTGCTACCCGAAACACCACGGTGGCTGGCTTCAGTTTGAATGTGCTGTCAACGCTGGTATGTGTGACCTGGTTCCCCGTACCTGGTTCCCCACACCTGTAATCGCACCTTGGCCCATAGACATGGGTCGGAGCAGCTCGGTCATGTAAGTGATCCAGCGGTTCTAGGGCTAAGCATGCTAGTTTATTGTGATCGTTAACTTGTACTTTTTGGGCCTTTTTCACAATCGTGGCGCCTAGCCAACTTCATGGCTCTGCCTACTTAACTCAACCAAAAAAAAAGTCCCCCTCTGATTATTTTTTGTCTAACTCAAAAAACTAATGGGCACATCTTGCTCAAATAACGACTAATCATTACAGAAATTCTTTAGCAATCCAGGCATACTATTTGTTTGGCCCAAAACAGTGATGATGATGCAATTTATGACAAATGGTACTGAAAAAAGTTGCACTTTTGTGTACGTGCAAGGTGAGTGTGAACCACAACTTGCACGGATACAAAAGTGCAACTGTTTTCGGTACCATTTGCCATAAAGTGCATAATTTTGTACATATTATCACTGTTTTGGGCCAAATAAAGAGTATGGCTGGATTGCTAAGGAATTTCTGTACTTATTAGTCGTTATTTTAGCCAGAGATGCTCAGTAGTCTTTGTGTTACACAAAAAAGTATTGGAAGGTGGACTTTCTATTTTTGGTTGAGTGTATAAGGCCAAGTAAAAAAAAAAAAAGTTTCGCGGCCGAACTTTTTGGAAAAAAGGAGGAGGTGGCCCTGTTTTGTTTTCCTAAGATGGCAGATTTTCCATCCCTGACTTGTGAAAAATTGTCTGTAATGTAATTGCTTACGGTCAGCCAAATGAATGATTGTCTTCTAGCAATTCTGTAGTAATCTGTGCCATGAAACAAGGCCTGGGCTCGTATATGTTAATTAAGTACATGTCAATAAAGAAATTGTAAACGTTAACAAATCTTATTGCCACGTGTCCTTTTTGTTTACTTTGTGATCAAGCTGACTTGAAGCCAGCGACTTTGTTTATAAATGCATGCTCGTTGTTTAAACAAATAGGAGCAAAATTTGTTGATTGTTTGCCAAGCAAGTGTGTGATTTTTAAGGATGTACTTATTGACTTTGCAATAATGCTGTTGTAAAAAAAATAGCTTTTTGACAGTCTTTTTCATCTTTTTTTCCCCTCTTCGTTTTCCACAGGGCACAGCACAAATTGCAGAACAGAAGTAAGACAATGTTCTATTCTTGCATTACCTTTTTGAACTTAGCTATTATATCTTGTTAATTCCTTCATTGACATAGTACTAGATGGTTAATATTTTTTGTTTCTTTTGGAAATGCACACAAATCTGTCCGATATAGAACTTGTGCCTTTTGAGCGTTTGTTAATTTTTAACAGCTGTTACATCATTCACTGATTTGAATCCATCTCTTGCTTCGGTCTAACAGGAGTGCCAAGAAAGCTAAGAAGGTTAAGCCAGTCAAGAAACAGGTAGGACTAATCAATCGTTGTCTGAAACCCTCTTACATTCTCTCTAACGGCTTAAAGACAAATGGGATCATTTGCAATGATGCCTGTTGAATTATTATTAAAAAGTTTGCTTGGATTAACCCTAACTCCCTAGGCCTTTTTGCTAGGATGTAGCCTCAATCCTGCAAAATCCTCCAATTGGCCTCATGGAAAAATAGCACATAGCCTCAATCCTGCAAATTCCTCCAGTATTTCTTGAAAATGGTTCATGGAGAGGTGACCACTGCCTGAATCCTGCAAAATCCTCCGGCTATGACTGTCAATGGGTTGAGGCAGAGGCAGTGACATCCTGGAGCAGTGCGGAGGATTTCAAGTATAATCAAGGACTAAATTTATGCTAGGCCGAGCATAAACAACACAAGGTCCGGCCCAAGACCTTGACACAGTGCGTCCTCCGAAATCAGCAACGCACTTTTGCCATGTAAACTTAATCCTGCAAATTCCTCCAATTTGCAAAAAGGATTTTGGAGGATTCAGGGCGGTTAGGGTTAAAGATTGTATTGGTACTAAACACCCTGTGAATGCTTGCTGTCGAGTGGAAGAATCAAGAAATGTAGGTGATTTCCAACGATCAGTCAATGGACTGATTTTTTTTTAAATAAAGAGTGCTTTCAGACAAAATCGTGTTTCCTGATCAAAAGCTTGTGCATGACTTTTCACTGTTTTCTCTAAAAGTGTAATATCCACTGAGCTGAAACTTCATCTTGTTAGGTCTTGAACATCCGGCTTTGGATTTTGAATGGTGAACCCAATAGCCGCAAAGTGTGAAGCCTCATGAATCCAACCTCATGAATCCACGAAGCAGAAAATTGTGCTTAACAAATTCATAAGCCAAGCGAAAATTGGCTGGGAACCAGCTATACGCAATGCACATCCCAGGACATTTTAACTGGTAAATCATGTTTGCTGAGCAGATACTTCTGCGCCGAGGGTCCAAATCCACTTACCATTGCTGTCTATCAGTTTTGGGTTGCAAAGTGGTCAGAAGACCGAGTCACAAACAGCATCACTTGAGCTAGCTGACTAGTCTCGTTGACTGGATGATTGGTTATCCATGCCCTGCTGTAAGGCTGGCTAGACTGACTACGAGGATTTTATTACACAAACGTGGTTCTTGTCAGAGGGCTGGGGTTTGGCTAGGATTTCCAGGGTCAATGGTGCAATCCACTTTAAAGAAGCACTCGCAGTGTTATTTGTCTAGGTTTGAATGAGGAACTTGTGAACTATGAAATTGTTTGACCGAAAAATTTGGGACAAGTAAAATTTAAGCAAACTGGAGTTTGTTTTCGAGCACAATGGAACATCTTTGTTTCTGTCTGTACAGGAATCTTCAGAGGAAGAAGAGAGTAGTGAAGAGGAAGAAGAAATGGAAGTGATGCAACAGCTGAAGCCAGCCAAGAAAACGCCGGCCAAACAAGCAGCGGCCAAGAAAACGCCCAAAAAGCCAACACCCAAGAAACCACCACCAAAGGTAATGCTTATTAAAGAGAGTGTCTGCCTTCAAACAAAAAATTACTAAAAGTCAGGATATGTGAATCCCATGAGGTTTATAAATGCAGCCTTTTTAACATTTTACAGACATTTATTACAATTGAAGTTTATACACCATATACCCTGCGTTGCGCAGGGGCCCTTTTTGACCCTCGGACCCTCGGCCGATTAATTCATGGATTTTTTTCATTTTGCCCAAATCTCACCCCCTGCTTTGTTCAGCCCGAAGTAGTTGAAGACGATGACGACGATGAAGAAGATGACAGCAGCGAGGAAGAAGAGGAACCTCCCAAGAAAGTCACCAAGGCCACACCCAAGGCCACGCCCAAGACCAAAAAGCAAGCTCCGCCCGCTGAAGATGAGGACGACGAGGATGACGATGACGAAGAAGACGACAGTGAAGAAGAAGATGACAGTGAGGAAGAAGAGGAACCTCCCAAGAAGGTGACCAAGCCTGCCAACGGGAAGGCCAAGCAGCAAGTACCGATGGAGGAAGATGATGACGACGATGATGAGGATGACAGCGATGAGGATGACAGCGATGAGGAAGAAGAGGAGGAAGAGCCAACAAAAGTCCAACAGGTGTGTGACAAACACAATTCTGAGCCCCATTTGAGAACTGTTTGGTACAGAAATATTGGTCACGTACATATAATGCACACAAATCAATTGTAGTGTTGGGCACGACACTGCATTCAGGCATTTGATAGCGAGCTTGTCTCGTCTGTCATGTATGCAGATTCTGTTTATTTAAAATTGCACCACCTGTGATCTGTGTTGCTAAAAAAAAGAAATTTAAAAGAGGATTCCATATTTCATAATGATAGGCGAAAAGAGCACGAAGAATGCATCTTGTTGTTTAATGTGTCTCTAACTTGTATATTAGAGTTAAATTATATTATTGAATAGGTCAATCTTTGATATTTGTTATGAATTTTGATTTCATTTAATTACTTTTTAATTCATTTGTGGTGGATTTGTAGGTCAAGGGTTCGAAGGCCGCTGCGAAGAAGGCTGAAGAAGAGGATGAGGATGATGATGACAACGATGATGATGAAGACGATGATGACGATGATGATGATGAAGACGAGGAAGGTCAGTAATTGTCTCTTGTGACTTGAAGTTTTCTTGAAACAGCTTTACGAACCTTGCCTTTTCTTGTACGTCATGTACATGTAGCGTCTACAACATGTTCATTAGTCTGGCGCCACTTGATTCATGTACTTTCATGATACACGTGTTGGCAATAAGTCCAGGCTCCATGCCAACAGTGACAGTGGATTGTACATTTCCAGCGCTCTGAACCGTGTATCCACTCTGAATCAATTGTATGGATTTTTACCTCGTCTTGTTATACGAAGTCTGTTTTTTTTGTCTCGCAGAAGAGGAGGAGGCTCCGCCCATGAAGAAGAAGAAGATGCCCAGTGGAGAAGCCAAGACGACAAAGACCGTGACCGAAGCTGTCGGGGGAGGTAAGATCATCACTTTTAAAATGTGGGAATTCTTGGGCTGGTTTTACGGACTTGTGCTTAACACAGAAATTTGGTAAGCATTGGAAATTATTCTTAAGCGAAAACGGTTACCGGTTAAGATGTTATGCAATGGATATTGCCTTGTGACTGGTTCTCTGCTTATATGGCTAAGCACAGAACTAGGGCTGTGCCAAATATTCGAATATCATTTTTTCTGATTCAGATATTAAAAAAATGTGAGCTCTCTTGAGAAGATGATAAAAAAAATACAAGTTATGTGGTTTTTATTGTTTTTCAAATGCCACACTTTTGTTTAGAAGCCATTATCGCGCATGATTTGAAAACTTCCATGAGAAATGTATAAATGTCTTCTTTAAATTGGTCAAATATCGGCCATTCTGCTACTGGTTTGTTACATTATTTTAACCAGTTCGCGCCGGGATTATTTTGACATCGACCGGACCCAGGCGCAGGATTGTTTTTCACGAACCTCGATGCCAGACGGATTCAGGTTGTCATCTGCGGGTAGCACACCCTGATATTTCCGGCCTAGCTTGCTGCGAGTTGCTGACAGATAAATTCCGGCCTCACTCGTTGCATGTTTATCCGTCATCCATTCCAAATACTGCAAAACCTTTGCGCGTGTACACGTCATCCGGTGCGAACTGGTTAATAATTCGTTTCAGTTTTGGACAAGTGCAGGCGCACGGAAATCCCAATCGGTGTCCAGTTTAGGCTGCTGATAATGTTAAACTTGAGCAGTGCATTTTGATATTGAATATTCCATTTTATCCAAGTTTGAACGATCAAATACTAACTGACTGGAAAATACACAGCCTTTCAGCAGTAATTCACTTAAAACTATGAAATTTGCTTACACTGGTCGTATCTTAATGGAATTGATGTAAACATTCCTTTCAATTTCTGTCTTTGCAGAAATCATTTCTATCTTCATCGGGGGCGTCCGAAAGGGCACACCAGACGAGGACGTGGATGAATTCTTCACTTCCAACGGTGTGCAGGTCATGAACGCCAGGGTCATCCCCAACAAATCGTAAGCTGGAAATTTCACTTAAAAAAAACTTGACCCATTACCAAAAGAAACAAATGTATTACCCCTGATCATCGGGCCCAGGGGTCCCAGCCGCCCTGGACATTATATTAAGGAAACCTTGAAAATGAGTTAACCTTTCTTTCAGTTGGGGGAAAAATCTGAGAAATTGGGAAAAACACCATTTGTCAAGTGCAAACAGCTAATACAAGCCCAATAGCCCCATCCTCTCTGAGAGCTGTACCGATTTTTTTCACCTGGGTGGGGAGAAGCGAATCAAGGCAAAGGCCTTGCCCAAGGACACACACACACACCACAACCCCAGGCTGGACTGGAACCACAGCCTGCGAAATTACCCGCAGATTTTGGAACTCGATACTCCACACTTTGAGGCCACCCACAGCATAGCGTACATGAAGCATGTTTTATCTTCTGTCAGAATTTTTGTATTTTTTTGTTCTGATAGCAAATGGTCACAAAAAATGGCAAATTTTGCAGTGCTGGATTTCATGATGACACCTCTACCGTTTTAAGCATTAACAGTGTCTGTCCAATCCAGGCAGTTCCTTTGCTGATTGGTTCGAGGCATTTGTCTGAAAATCTCCTTCAAATTGTAAATTCAAGAGTTTGATTGCGTACATGTCACTTTTTTGCCAATGTCAGAGGGCAAACCTAGTGTCCCATCTCAATGACCGACTGACTGACCGTCTCTTGTGAGCTGGGCAGTGCTGTTGTATAGGGTCACCCCGTAACGCCAATGGATGGCTAAGTTGGGAATGTTGTGTAGATCACATGCATGAAAAGACTTGAAGTGAATTAACCATTCGGAATCAATTTAATTCGTGCACTCTAAGACCAGCTTTACTAGACGTGCCTTGTCTTGTGTCCCCCCCCCCTCCCTCCCCCCGGATTAGGTTTGCCTACGTTGACGTCACGTCCGAGAAGATGTTCAAGAAAGCTATGGAATTGAACCACCAGCAACTCAATGGGTCTGAAATCCGATTGGAGCGGGGCAAGAGTAAGGGCGACAAGGCCAAGGCAGACAGTGCCGTGAGTTCCGGTAAGGACCCCGAAATCATTCACTCATTCTAGTTTTTTTCCTGTGTTTTTTTTTCTATTGTGAGTTAAACATCATCTGATTTTGATTTGTGTCTTGGAATTACAAGTGTATTCGTGGCTCTAGGTTCTGTGCTTAATGTGCCGAATATCGGAATGGTGGTTTCATCCACCGAATATCCAAATTGTTCTCCTAGTTTTCATTAAGTCTCATTATTATGTAAATCTTGGACCCCTGTTATCTATATGTTCGTCACTCCGTCCTTGGTTGTTGTTTGTGTTTCATTTGTACTTGTCTATTGGTTTGTCTGTTTTCCTTTAAATTCTTTCAAATCATTTTTTAACAGTTTTGCATTTAAGTATAAGCACGCCCCTTTGGCTTTTTTGAAATTTTGTCTCCATCTTAAAGGGAAAATACAACATTTGCAAACATCAAAAAATAAAACTACCAAATCATTTTGAAATACCTTGCTGGACTGTTAGTGAATGACAGTGTAAAGCATCCTGTAAAATCATGGCACCTGGTATACTGTCATTTTCAAGAAAAGTGGTATTTTTGTATCAATTTCCAACGCTGGTCGGCCGACCAGCGTTGGAAAAAAACTGGCTTTTTTCAAATACTGGCCCCAATTGACCATCGCACATGTTTGCAATCGATTACACACCTACGAACGGGTACAAGCCAGCTAGACTGGTTCCCTGACCTTACAATTCCCCAATGTATGTAAAGTGCTCTGTTTCTTCTTATATGGAGTCAGGGAACCAGACTACAGGAAAATGATTGTTTTTCTTGGTTTTTATAGCATTTTCGAACCCAAAACCTCAAAAAAGTCAGTGTAACTATATTTGCTATATATTTCCAACCCCCCAATTCCATCCATTTCTGAAAATTACAGCAAAAGCAAATGATGTATATTCCCTTTAATTTAACTAGTTTTAGTTCTCATGATACTTTTATTTAGTCTGAGTATCATATGTTATCCACGGGGCCAAGTCATGTATGATGTCTGATATGTCTAGACATGCAGATACATGCAAGCTGCGCGCCAGCCAATCGGAGTCGACTTTACTAAATCGTGACGTCATTTCATTCCTAAATCAGGACTGAATGGTTCGATTGGTCAATTCGAATGCAGTGTTTTGTAATACAACAACAGCCGGGCGCGATATCGCGTAACATGATACAGAGCGTGTGACAAATTTTTTTTATCCATTGTCTGTGATGCGCAACGGGTGAATGACTGAAGACCCGATATAGAATGCGCCGCTGATTGGTCAAATCTAAAAGGTCAAGAGGCGGGGCTTTGCCTAATTAATCAGCAAATCTGTTCACGCATAATTAGATAGACATAGACTACATAGACTAACTTTTATTTTGCTTTTGATGGAAATTATTACATAATTACATAGACTGACTTTTATTTTGCTTTTGATGGAAATAAATGTTATTGAAATTGAATTGAAAAAAATTATATTTGACCGATATTTAGGACCACGAGACAATTCCAACGACAGGACGCTGTTCATCAAAGGTCTTAGCTACGACACCACGAAGCAGACACTGCAGGAGAAATTTGGGTCCTGCAAAGAAGTGCGTATGCCACTGAAGAATGGCAGACCCGGAGGGTAAGCAACAAATTAAAGTCTGCTGCGAAGCATAGAATACCATTTGCTGAGATAAAAATTGGTAACCAGCCAAACTGCTGCTTAATATATCTTTGTATTCACTGGTATTCTGTAGATTTGTGCTTACCACATTGCAGGTTGCTAAGCATGCTAAGTGTGTTTTTTTTGTTTTAAAGTTTTTTTACCATGAAACTCGGAGAAACTTAGAGTAAAAATGTTAGGCCGTCTAGCTTGCTCTGATTTTTTTAAATTGAAAAAATAAAATCTAATGCACCTAGCAAGTCCCTTCACATCGGCCATAATGTTTTATGTTTTAAAAATTTTCAAAAGGAGATCCGAGGATGTTTGTTGAATATCAGACGACTATTTACTGTACGCTGAATAAATACATAAAAACAGTCACCGAGTTATGCTCTAATTACACCTACGTTTTGTCTTAAGCAATAGATCGCAGAAATCGTCGCAGCTGCGTAGGGATACAACACGCCGCAGCGCTGCGATGCGTTGTAAGTTCTGATGTGTCTCAAGAAATCGGGTGCTTGATTTATTCAGACGTTGTATAAAATGAATAATGAATGTTTTGCATTCCTGCAGTGGAACATTCCATCTGTCACCTCTTGAAATTATTCTTACCATTGCATGCCCAAACATTCATAACTTGTGTAGACCATTGAAAAGAATTTCAGTGAAAGTTTCAGTGAAAGCCATTCTGAAGCAATTGAACAGCATTGTTCGCACTTTCGAACCAGCTGTAGTAGGCTTGCTGTGCCTTTGATTAATGGCTCTGTATTTAAATTGACTTTAATTTCAAGGTATGCTTACATGGAGTTCGAGGATGAAGCCGCTGTAGAGAAGGCCATGAAGGAAATGCAAGGGGCGGAGATCGACGGCTGGAATGTCATCCTGGATTACGTCGGAGACAAAAGTCAGAACAAGAGGCAGAGCTCAGGGGCAGGGGGTAAGAGAAAAAGAAATGTTTCCACTCAACTCCCCTACCCCCTGAAATCAAAAACCAAACTATCCTCATTTCTCATGTATGGAGAATATTTATTTATATTTTATTAGAAGCTTCATAATCTGCTTTCATGGTCAAAGACTTGAGAACAAAGCGGGCGCTCGACTGCGTAGCGAGGAAGCCTCGTTTGAACGGCGAAGCCTTGTTTGAGCGGCAAACCCCTGTTTGAGCTTAACCCTAACCCTCCAGGGTATTTTAGTTAGAAACCCTGCCAAACGCAGCAACATGCAGCACTTGACTAAGTGACAAGCCTGCCCAGTGTAGCAAGATCCATCAGGGGAAAAGTCTCAAGGCCACACTGCCTCCGAGTCTGTGGTCACCGCACGCAGCAGGATACAACTCGGGCATTTGCTCTTTTCACGCTCCGCCATCAGCATGCAGAGCCTCGATCTGGCAACTTTACACAGTAAAAATAGCCGCTTTAGTGATTCCCGTTTATACACGGGAATCACTGAACCCCGACACTAGAATCACTGAACCGGCTATATTTATTGTGTTAGGTTGCCCGAGCGAGGCTCTGCATGCTGATTGCGGAAGCGTGCCAAGAGCAAATTGTTCAATGGGACTTAGCCCTCATTGTTTCAGACCTGGCCATTCATGCACTGGTGTTATTAGCTGGATGCGTCGAAGTGCACCAGACTTTACCACTCGATGTAATGTGTTGTGTCCGGAAGGGTTAGGGATAAAGTGCCAAATTTTGGAGGATTGAGGATGGTTCCCAACAAAAAGGGCCTAGGAAGTTAGGGTTAATAAAGTACACGTTTTGCACGTTGAGCAAAATAACATGTAAAATAATGAAAGGTTTGCGGAAACACCATGTGCGAATAATTTCTCAACTAAGAGAAGGGTTCTGAAAAGAACCAGAGTTATAAACTCGACGTTCCGGTCAGTATGCTCTGACCGTCTTTGGAACGTCCAGTTTATACCTCTGGTTCTTTTCAGAACCGTCCTCTTAGTTGAGAAATTATTCGCACATGGTGTTTCCGCAAACCTTTCATTATTTAGTATCTCCATTGGCAAAGCCTCAAATCTTACTCAACATGTAAAATGATGTCTCTAATGTCTGTTTTCAAGGTTCAGGATTGACTGGGAGCCAGACTCTGCACATCAAAGGCCTGACGGACGGCGTGACCGAGGAGGATCTCAAAGAGAAACTAGGAGCCGTTGAAGTACGAAGACCCACCCGACGAGACGATCCGGGCAGCAAAGCAGAGTAAGTCTTGCTGCAACAGCTTCACAAACAAAATTCACGACATTACACCTCATTTTGTTTAAGTGGGTTACTTAACAATAGCACCCTCTACAGTCCTGCGCAGATCCCATAAGGTCCGATCTTATGACGTCAAAGTAGCATCAGCTTCGTCGTGAACAGCCACCATTGCAGTAGGCAAGGTTTGGTTAGCATCCTCGTAATGTGTTGTGAAGTAGACAGTAGGCTTATTTTCACATAAAATAACGGCAAAGTTTTTGTCTAATGACATAATGGTCACTACCCGTGCTGTGTGCAGTTGTCCTAATCGTGCCGACCCAGCTTTGGTTGTTCTTGCCATCCATCACAGCCTGGAAAGCTTGCCTACTACCAACTGCGCATGACGCTATACAATCATTGCCTACTACAATGGCGCTATACGATCTTTGCCTACTACAATGGCGACACAGACTTTCCAGTATCCATATGTAGGCCGAGTCACTAGTGTCAGTGAGAGAGCCCGGTAGACATGTAATTCATTCCAATTCATTATGTGGACAGCTTTGCCTACGCCGACTTTGAAAGCGAGGAGGCAGCCAAGCAAGCGCTGGAGGACAACCAGGGGGCGACGGTCAAAGACGCTTTCCTGACGTTAGACTATGCCAGGAGCAAAAAACGCAGTGACTTCGGTGGGGGAGGTAAGTACTAGAGTTTTTATTTTATTTTTTTTTTAGAATAACTGTAAAAGGGCTGCTCAATGTTTGTTAGAAAATCTGCAACTAATGTCAGGCGTGCAAGTTTTCCCTCGGATCGGCTGATTTCCTCTGTTTTTTAATTTTCCATGTCTAGGAGATGCTGTAGGGCTTATCGAATACTTGAATATTTGATCATCAACTTAATATTTCAATATTTTGTTGCCAGCTTGAACATTCGAAAACAAAAAAACGTAAGCACGTATCCCACACACGAATCCTCCAAAATCAACGGACACTTTTTTTTGCTAATCAGCCTCAATCCTCAAAAATACTTCAAAACCGCCTGGAGGATTTTGGAGGATTGAGGAGGGTAATTGTTAACCCTAACTTCCTAGGGGGTGTGCAAAATCGTATTGAAATTAGAGGATTCAGGACTGTTAGGATTAAGCCATTCGTGCCTGTACCGCCCAAAACTGACCAGTCTGTTACTCCCTGTACCGCTCCGCACGGCCCCAGCACTGTTCGGTTGTATGGAATCATCGGGGGAATAATTACAATGTAGCACAGGCGCTGATGGACTAGCCAACGAAGTTCAGAAGTGATATTTATTGAAAGTGCCGTTTCCAACGAATTTTTTATTTCCTACAGATCAACAAGTTGACAAGAAGACGCTGTACATCCGAGGGTTGTCCTGGGAAACAACACAAGATCGTCTGCAGAATTTCATGGGTGCTGACTCGGTCAGAATACCGTACGATAGAGAGACAAACCAACCTAAAGGGTATGTACTAAAAAGTATCAACAATTGTACTCCTAAGAACCTTTACCAAGCTCTTTAATTTCTTGATGTTTTTTTTTAATGTCATAGTCTTAAGAATCCCACCACCTTTGTACAGAGTTTTTTCAGTATGAAACTTGGTGGGTACATAGAATACATTGGTAGCATACAAGGTGAAGTCACGATGTCATCAACAATAGATTTTTTTTTCAATTCTTTTTGTGTGAGGATGACTTGAAACTTTGCACATGTAAAGATCATGGAATATAAATCTGTCCCTGAAAGTGACATCACAAAGACATCATCATGACTTTTTTGGTGTTTTTAATCTCCCAATCCTATACACTTTGAACATCATTTTCTCAACATACATTTTTCATCCTTTTGTGTTTTTATGTGCGACAAAGTATGAATATATAAATCCAGCAAAAACACTTCATCGTATTTCGCTGGTCGTGCATTCTTTGTGTACACCTATTCTTACTTATTACTCCTACTTGTCATAATAACTTCAACCTCGTTCCCATGGGTACAACTTGCTGTGCCATGTTGGTTTCCACCATGCCTTGCGTGCGATCTTAACCCCTGGTAATTTGTAACTCCCACGAATTGGGAGATTTAAATTAGGACTGCAGTCGATGCGTTGAACGCCCGACGCAGTGCTTTAAATTTTGAAGTTGTTTTCTTTTTTAGTGTACAATCAATCCTTTCTAAGACGAGATTTTGAATCCCATTATGGGCCTTATGCACAAGTTGGCGATTTGTGTCTTGTTCCCTGCATGTTTTTCATAAATTGTGAACTGTTGAATGAGATGGTGCCAGACTATTTATTCACTATAGCCTCATTTTCAATTTTTTTTTAAATATGGCTTAAAACATTAGAGTATGTTCAACATAAGAAACAGGTTTCGTTTGGCGAAAAATGAGGCTTCCAGACTCCATATCATACAGTCATCGCGCCGTCTTGAAAAAAAATGTTCATAGTGATGTGCAGGAGAGCACAGAGCGCGCAGCCTTTGAGATGCGGGCGCAGTACGCTCTGAATAGTCAATCAGCGTCGTTTTCGTATTTCTACATGGCCAGGGGTTAGTGAAGGAAGTGTACGCAGCCCATGGAGTCGAGGCTGCAATAACTTAATTACAAAACTGTTAGCAATATTCACATTGACGCCGATCTGGTTTCATTTAGGTTTGCCTATGCAGAGTACAGCAGTGAGGGTGAGGCTAGCGCAGCATTAGGCAAACACAAAGGCTCAGAACTCGACGGCTACACATTAACCATCGACTACGCCAAGCCACGTACAAGCTTCGGATCGCCTAGAGGTGAGAAGCAACACAAACCAAGTTTGGGATTTATTACTAATTTGTCATAAAGAAGCCAATAATTCTTCAAAAGTGAACTAGCTCAGAAGCCTCAAGAAACCCAGAAGACAATGAAGACATGTTCGGTTTTCAAAGTGGGTGGAAAACCTTGAAGAAAATTTTAGAAAAACCCCACGGAATAAGGCAGTGACTAAAATCCAATCCACATGTGGATGTGAGGCAGGATTCGAACCCGTGTCACATTGGTGGAAGGCGAAGAACATACCACTGCACCAACCTGACTTCCATCAGTCTGCCTTTTAATTTGTAGCTGCGAAAAGCAGCTCAAGAAATCGTCATGTCTTTCCTTTGGTTGGTTGGTTGGTTGGTTAGTAACACATGACAGCACATCCTTTTTTTGGCAATCAATCACCTTGTCCCTTAGGCCCTCGCAACAACACATGCTTCAGGTCTCCACTGACCAGTACAAATTTATTGCAGTCGTGGAAACTTGGGTCACAAGGTCACTAATTTCGCATTGGGGCTGGCACTGTACTGCACACAAATTGGGTGTTCCACATGCTATAAAACGCTCCATGCACCGACTGACGTTCAACAAAATAATTGGAACCCTTTTCGGTTGACACTCACGACCACATGAGTAGTTTTGCATTACAAGAACAGACTTTAACATCATGTACATGACTAACATTATAGGCTTAGGCAGGTCTACAGTTAGGCCTTAGCTTCCGAGATTATTTCAAGCTTGTTATTTTTTTTTATTTATTAGATTGTGAACTTGTGTTCTTGAGCAAGATGATTTACACCAATAACTCTCCACCCACCACTGATAGACTCACAGACGTTTTGTGACACAACTACATACTGAAAGCGGGACTCTATGGCAAATAATGCCACCAGTGCAAACTTTAAAGCTTTGTCTTTTCTTTTTTTGCAGGAGGCCGTGGTAGCTTTGGTGGGGGATTCCGTGGGGGTCGCGGCGGTGGTGGCCGTGGATTTGGTGGAGGCCGTGGATTTGGTGGTGGTCGTGGCGGTCGCGGTGGTCGTGGAGGCCGAGGCGGTGGCTTCAGAGGTGGTCGAGGCGGCCGAGGTAAGTCCCATAATGCCTCTAGCCTTGGTCAAGGCGTTCTTCATTATTCGTCCGTACGCGGTAAACGCTGTGTGATTGGACACTCCACATATTAGCCCCGCCTACACTTATCTGTATTCGCATACGAGGTCCTGCGCTAGAAATCTAGCGCAAAATAAGGGAAAACGTGAGCTTTTGCCGACGATTGAACCAAGGTGTTCGATCCGGTCTAACTGATTTGCATAAAATAGTGGCCGCATGAGGTCGCTGTTCGCACTGTGTTTTTAATGCACTGCATGCATGGCGAGGATATGCTGCCGATCGTTTACCGCGTATGGACGAATTATGACGAATGCCTTGACCAAGGCCTCCGAAAATCTGATCTCATGAAATATCCGGGATGAATTGGGGACAAGTTTATCCACAGTTGGCCAGATGTATCGATGAGATGACTCCAATATCTGACAACTTTCAATTTTTTCCACAAGTTTTGTAATAGTATTGCAATAAGCAATATGCATTAGGGCATAACAGTTACTAGCTGTGACGTGTATATTTGTCATAATCGTGCTGACCCAGCACTGGACGTTGGCTCTGCGTTTTTCTCACAGTTTTTGCCATCCATAACAGCTTTGAAGAATTGCCTACTACCAACCACGCGGGGCTATACGATCTTTGCCTACTACAATGGCCGACTTTCTGAATGTAGGCCGGGTTGGTAAGAGAGCCCTCTGTTGGCGTCCAGTAATTACCATTCTAACGTTTCCCTTTCCATCCCTTTGCTTTGTTGTAGGAGGTGGCTTTGGCGATTTCAAAGGAAAGAAGACGACCTTTGACTAAATGTGACCTGTGACCTTATGACCCTTGCTGCATCTGTATCCCGAATGCGTAATTTTTATTTCTAGAATGGTTAGGGCCAATTCGTGAATAATTCAGTAGTTTGGATGGAAGAATTATGTTTATTCATGAGAACAGAACAATGACATCAACAGCGTTATCGCTATTTAGTCAACCAGTTACATTAAAGCATTTTAAAGAACGGTTGTCGTCGAGCTACCACACAGTAGCCTAGTGGATAGCGAGACGAGCTATGGATACAAAGATCCCTGGTTCGGATCCACGTCGATTTAATTTAAAGAAAAAAAGAGAACAAGAACCTATGTCTTGCAATGATTCAAAGGAAACCACTGAATTATTCATGACATTGTCCCTAACCCTCCTGGGAAAAATAAACGCTGCCTGAATATTAACAAAGCTCATTCCTTCTGCGCTCTAAATGTGGAAAGAAATTGTAATTAAAAAAAAACCAATATCTTTTAACTTCTGATGGAAGGTTTTAGATTCATTTCGGGATTTTAATACTTTTTGGAGAATAGAGGTCTCCGATTATGAGTTTTTTACTCTGAGCTTTTGTTAATATCGAAGACTAAAAACTGGTAATTGTTTTACCCGTTTTATTTGATTTGATGTAGGGCACTTAGCTTCCCCCATGTTTTTCTTCATTAATGATGCAAATACATAATGTATAAATGTTTGTGAGAACTCTGGCCAATTTTTGTCATGTTGTATTTTCAGAATATCATTGAATTAAACTTCTTTTAGCTACAAAGTTGTTCCTGTTCAATTCGAATTTAGACGCATTTAAATCCTAAATGCATTTGTGAATTCATTCTTTCTTGAATATTAAACATTTTCATCAACTGTTTCTTTTTTAGTTCATTTAATTTCAAACTGGATGTTAGCTACGCCGTAATTGTTTTGTTTTTAATGTCTTCGTTTGATTTCCTTTTACTCAAGTTTTTACTTTTAATTCTGTTGACAAAATCGTTAACTTTTGTTTACCACTTTTGGAAAGGTTATGTACATAAAACGATTTGAGATCATCATGGTTACAAAAAAACTACTTTTTGGTTTTAATAAAATTACACATAACAACACATTTTTGAATCCAGACCATTACTTTCAGTTGTTTTTGGTTAATTGTTCAAGAGTATACTGTCGTCTGCAAAAGAAGAGTTGCGGCAGAGTATATAAAGACAGTTTTTCTAAACTTGAAACTTTTTGTTGGGAAGAAATTAGCTTGTTTGACATTCATTTAAATTTGAGAGAAAACCGAAAGTTATTGGATGATTGTGGTGTGGTTTTTTGTGTGTAGATGTCAGCTTTCGCAAAAGTGGGGCAGATATTGAAAATATTTTGGGACTTATGCTGCTTTTGATGATACAAGCATGGCATTTGGCACACGAGAGTCTGTCATGAGAAAGATATTTGGCTAAATGGTTCATTCTTTTCCAGAGGGCGCTGTTGCTGTGACGTCATTTAAGGCAACACGGTATTTTTTAGTGATAGAGGGCGCTGTAACGAGTGGGCTGGGAACCAGTTAAAACGTTATTCCTCATTTATAAAATTTAGTGATCGTGTCTTCACACGTTGTTGCTTTGGTAATTTGATAGACGTGCAATTATTTTAACAATTAAAAAAAAAAGAAGCTTATAATATGAATGAAGAAAGTTTTAGGGAATTTTTTTTTTTTTGACACCATTTTCATTACTCATGAATATGAATATTATGGCCCAGTCAATATTGGCCAATCAGCATCAAGATTACAAACTCGCGCCTCCAAACACTGACCAATCACAATTGTTCCTCTGTGCCTGGTCACTGGTACCTAGCCCTGGAAAGAAATTTCAAGATTATTTTCCTTTTATTTCTAAAGTTTAAACACTGAATTTTATTTCTTATATTCTAGGCAATAATAGGGAACTTGATTGTCAGTTAATTCTTGGCAAAATATCGAAAAAAAAAAACCCTTTTATAGCTTGATTGGTTCACTGCCCCCATTGGTTTGGCAATAAACTGCACTGCATACCCATGATGCAATGCGAATGTCAAAATGGTCTACTTGTGAGTAAACTGATTGCGCCGTTCCGTGGTTATTATTCGAATAGGGTTTCAACTTTAGTACGAACCTGAGAAATATTGGGTACGTGTAGATAGTATAAGACTCCAGGTAATATAGGAAGCATGGATTAATGTCAGTGCCCATCCAGTTCGTTACGTTAGTAAAAACGTCACAGACGCGCGCGCACCACTGACTACTTGCGCCCATTGGATAAACGCTCGAGTTGCGTTAACTTCCGGTTCCATTCGTGCTATGCTACATACACCGTGTGGTTGAATTGAGATGACGTCACACTATGGAAACGGATACCCCATTCAGAGATAAAAACAGTATTGCGGACTGATTCGCCAAAGGAAATTTCAGTGGAAAAATCATCAAAAACTGTCAAGGTATGTGAAATAAACAGTTATTTTGTTGCTCTGATTATAAAAAAAAAAACCCGTTATTTCATAGAATATCGTATAAAAAAAAGGTTTAGGGGATGAGGTAAATTTTTGACATAAATTATTTAGGATGCTTATGATTATGAAGTGTGTTGAGCGTATTTAGCGTGTGTGGTCCTGTGTATAATTGTTTAAGGATGTTGATTGAATTGAATGGGAGCTCCGATAGCGCAACAATGTGCAGGTCATAATTAATATGGGACATACATTCAAAATGGCGGACAGTGTTTGTTTACCGTCATGGTGACGTGTCTTGATCCACTGTTAGGTGCATTTTTTAAAATTCTGTTAAGGCACATGGTAATATTAATTCATAATTATTATACATTTAAGCATTTGTGAAACAGCAGTTTTATATGAATATAAGGAGTAAAATGGAAATTTTAAATATATTCCAGTTGTAAAATAGCAATCAATGTAATATGGTACCTGTGGTGATGATGACGTCATAGTTTGCGTAAACCTCTTTTTTTTTTTTTTTTACGGATAAACCTTAATAATTGGGCCCAAATACGATCTAGGACACACAAGAAAAAACGCAATTAGATAATGAAATACAAAGAATAATGTCCAAGGAAATAAATAACATGAACATTATGTACATCATAGTTGAGAAAAGACAATATCAATATTTAAGGAAATGATGCACCCTGGTACAAATGTTTTGCTGCCGCCTTTGTATGGCTCCCCAACAATGTTCCCTGGTATAGGCCTAGAGTTCCAGACGTGGATAGCCGCTGGCCAGGAATGCATACCACATTGGTTGTAATTCTAACGTTAAAAGAAAGGGTAGTTTCAATAGTAATGTTACTGATTCCAACAACAAATGTAATTTGTTTTGTGTGACGTTATCTATGCAAATGGACTTTACGGTCCCATATTACCTGCACGAACGCAGCCGTAAGCGAAAGTTTAGAATTAACGATCTTCCACGAGGTTCAGTGTTAGCCCCTACACTTTTTAACATCTACACATCCGACATGCCCTAAACCAGCTCTGCACAGTTTCTTTACGCCTATATTATGATTCAGCTGTAGGCTATTGATTATATAATTTGTTAGATTAAGTTAATTTTTATTTTGAATTTGTATTTCTGGAGTTGGCCGCCCATGCACGTTTGATTTCCTTTTCACTAGTGTGTATACAAAGTCATGTACACCGTAAAAATTGTGCTTAAATGCACATGAGAGTTTACATTTTTGTGCCCACTTTTTTTTCGCATGTTTAGTCAAAGACGTGTTTAGATTTTTGTTTGCACAATATGAATGTCTGTCAGTGCCATAAACGTTAACTTATATAAAGTCAAATATATTTTTTCAAAGTTCGTTTTTTTCTGAGAGATGACAAAAAACGAGTGATAAAATCATTCCTACCTGCATGATAAATGTGTGTATTTAGCCTGTCATTTGACTTTATGGTGCTAAAATGGGCTTTCGTACGAGGCCTAAGGGTGCAGGCTGGTAAATCGGTCCGAAAATACCTCCGGCCAAATCACGATTTGCATGCCCTCAAATTCTTCAGTATTTGAGCATATTGTGGGCCATGAACTTGAGGGTTTAAAAAAAAGGTGGTCGGAAGCCATGTACAGGACCGTGAGCTTGCATTTCTGTGAAGTTGGATGAAATTGGGGCTCCGAAAACGCTCTATTTTGCAGTGGAGTGTAGTCGATGGGCTTCCGGACTATTTTTAAGAAGTGATCATCTTCGGTGAAAATTTCTCCCAAAAGTCATCAGATTAAGCTACCCCAAAAATATTGGAAAGAAAATGAAAGATGGCCAAATAAGGTGTCTCGAATACCTTGGAGAGTTGTGAGTATGTTTTTCTTGAATTTCTGAAGTGGAGGCATTTATCATTTGGGGTCTGTGGCAGTTTATTTACTGGTCTGGACCCCTAAGCATTGTCACAGACGATCAGACATCCATAAACCTAAACATGTCCTAGATTCAAACATGTAAAAAATCTGTAGAAAAGAAAAGAAAAAAAAGGTATTGTTGAGAAATGTGTTTAAAAACTCTTAACATAGCTTTTACAGTGCCGATGTTAGGCCTTGTAAGAACACGCGGCCTTCCATACGTTGGCCTTTGTGAGGATGACCTTTTCCTTCTTTTGTTCTCCTTTTATTTGTTTCTATCGACTTCCATCGCTTCTTCCTAACGGGGCAGGTAGGTTTCTGAAGAGGCTGACGAGTCCTATTGTGCTTACTGGCGTGAGGAACCACGCGTATCATTACTATACATCATTCATGACTGTGGTGTCTGCGTGGCATTGCCCTGATAATACCGAAACGGCCTTGTTACAATTAGACTACAGGCAACCATCCAACTGTATCAGTATAGGCGTTGTCGCATTTGCAGCTGAATGATGCATTCAATCTAACGCATACCGAAATGGGCTCGCCCTTGCTTCATCGAAATGGACGAATTTTCACGACGATATCTTACCAAGTCACACCAGAACAACCCTTCACGAACGCACGGAGGAAGGAGAGCGTTTCCTTGCATGGTGCCGGAGCAAGGATTGAGATTGACGCGAGAGCAGACAAACCAACCGGTAAGACGAAGGAGAGTCTTCCTGTCTCTAGTTTGTCTCGTATTTGGTCTGGTCGTATTGCAATCGGCCATTTTCAAGACCCCAATCACACGCCCGGTCCAAATTGCTGCCAGATCACCATCACTGTTACGCGAGTTGGTGAATGCTACCACTACCAGCCCTAACCGTAACATGAACAACTCAAGAACTCATGTGATGCAACTAGAAAATGCAACTGAAGTGGGGGCTCTCGCTAGAGGAAATATCAGCCGAGATTGGTGCTCATGTCGGGATCGCAGAGGAGATTCCAACGGGACGAAATACTTTCTAACCGCGGTGGTAAAGGTCCGAATTTACGCCGGCGATGTCATCAAGTTTACCATTAGAGAGATGGTGCAGTGGTTGCAGTATCTCAGCTACGCCGGCGTGGAACATGTCTACGTTTACGATTCCTATCTCTACAAAAATGAATCTCAGAGAGAAAATCTTCGATGCTTCGTCGAGAACGGCTTCGTGACCTACGTGAACTGGAGCCACACGGCGGTACCGAATAAACCTTATGTAGGCCAGCAGGAAGCTTATCAAGACTGTCTCGACAAATACGGCCATGAATATATCTGGCAGACCTCTATAGATATCGACGAATATCCATTTGGCCCTAAGGATCAGGCTCCGGGATTCCTGAGTCGCATCATCAAGCAGATCAGACGTGAGCAAAAAAGGAACATGGGACAGATTTTCATGCAGAATTTCCTGTTCCTCGGTAAACCCTTGAACGACACAGAACACCCTCTCTTGATCGACAGACAATGGCGGCGCATCTTGAAACCATGGAGCTCGCAGACCGTCAAACCGATTTTCCTGTCCAAGGCTGTTAGGAAACCGATGGTGCACAAGCCTCATCTGCGAAAAGGTTATGTGGGCTTCTTTCCAAAGTACAACGTACTTCGACTGAATCACTACCATGGAGAAAGACATAAGGCGAAAACTGAAGTAGATAGGGGGATGGCAACGGCTGTCTCAGCCTTAGAGACGTGCCACGAACGATGCCCATTAGGATGTTGT